CACGCGTGGCTGAACAGTATAAATCTAGGCGCGATCGATGTCCTCCCGGTAACCAGTCCCGAAGACATTCCGTTTCGTCGAATGGGCCTGGCAACTCAAGGATGACAAATTTCCAAGAAACTCTTTTGATTGATCCCTGTCGCGAATCTTTAAACTCGGATACCACGTGATTCTATCCATTTCCAAGCATTTACATAAATATGCGTATACCGTTATTTTCGTCTTAGAGCGCTCTATAAACCCATAAACTTTCATTAATGAGTAACGATTCCTGGTGTTTCCTCTGCAACCCCTTTGGGATTGGAACCGAGGGGTTGGGAACCACCGGGTTCCATAAGATGAGTGAAATGAAAATCTATGCCACGGAAATTAACTCCTGGATACTACTGACCCTATCAAAGAGAATTCTATATCCTGCTTTAGACAATACTCGGTTCGTAACTTATCTTTGATAACACGTAGACTGTTATTGAGGTGAGTGGTGACTTCGATGTAAAATTGAAAGGTAAAATTAAATTTGAAAATTCGTAGAATGATTAATGTACAACCGATCGTCGGCAAAAAGTGTGTAAAAAAGAGAAGGAAAAATTGCTCGATGACTGGTCAGATTGTGGAAAGAGGAGAAAATATATTCAACATGGAAAAGATGCCTATCGAGGCCACGGTTAGGCATAACTAACGACAGTGTCCAGACAACTATAGAAACTATACAATCGTTTGCTTCAACGAGAAGTAACGACCCCGTTCAAGGGCGTTGTATGTACTGTGTTACGCGGGCCAAGGTCGACCCGATTACGTGTACACGCGTCGAATGATGCTTTTTAAATAACCTTCATTGCTTCGGTTTACTTCATCGACCGACGATAACCTCGTAAATCGAGACGCATTTCGTGCAGATTGTCGCAGGCAATCATTTTTCTGCCGGTAGATTATCGTGCGATCTACGATCACGTCAGGAATCATAGCGTATTTTGTTTACAATGAATATCGTTAGATATCAATGTTTCTACAGCTATGTTCACGCCATGTGACAATGTTTTACATTGTTCGATGAAATCCAAGTACGATTTGAAATAAAAGAATTATATCTAGCATGCACTAAATGTTTGTGAATTTCAATAACTCACCCTGGCGTCGAAGGCATCAACTGGCATCCGCTGCACGCCGTTCATTTTGTTGATGAAGTTGTCACTTTTTCGGATCAACTTGCTCCTTTGCACTTTCGATCTCCAATAGTCCTCGTTGTTGGATAGCACACAACAATAATTTCGTATTCGAACTCTCGGTAGAATTGCAACGCGACACGGCACGCGCGAACGTGACAGCACATGAAAAGTTTAAACTTGGAGGAGCCTAGGAGCCTCCTCGACGCATCATCGTTTACTTACGAACGCACACGATAACTGAACGACGTTCGCGTGCCTTTTGGAGCGTTCGGTGTTGATCGGGTGTTCGATCGAATGTTTTCGTGTCGCGCTCCAACCGGCAAAGGACGACGAGAAACGAAGCGATCAACTGCTGATCAAAACATGCTTTGCTGATTTAACAAACAACTGATTATTTACAATCTCGATGTGCAATCCACGGTTGCATCGAAACGATCGTAGCACCACGAAACGTACGAGTCACGCGAATAACGAAACGATAACGACGAAGGATGCCGAGTATGCCAAGGTTAGGTTTCGATCCTCGAACGATCTCAAGGTTCGTTTAGAAACTGATTATCGATTCCCGAGAGCGAACTCGAATCCGATACTCCCTGTGTATCTGGTGGCATCTCGTTGACGATACTCGAGAACTAACGTTCACCGTACTACGGATCAAACGCGCACCACGTCGTGAAGAAGCACGCTTCGCGGTCTGCGATAAGAGATTTGAAACTCGTCGACTCGACGGGCACCGTGGTTCGCGCATGCGCCGACTGATTTTACTCTGAAACACGTGGTATCCTTCAGAGCATAGCCCCCCACCCCACCGCCACTTTTTCGCGGCGTGCAGAAAACTTTTGAATATTTACGAAGGACGTAAAAAAAAGCAATCGATCCGTCGAATCTACTAGCAATGAAATCTCTCCTAAATAAACAACTTCGAATTTCAAATCAGTGCAGATAAATTGCATTCGTGTCTCGATCGTTGCGTGAATACCGTTCTTGCGGATAAATTTTCATCCGCTCGAACGTTAGAAAGGACTTGGCCCGAAAGATACCACGAACAGGTACCACGAAGGTAGGCTACTCGAAAAGTCGACGTGTTCCGTGTCCAAGGGGGAGAGAAACAGGTTTAAGAGCGTAGTTGACCGGTCGGCTTTTAAATCGGTCATCTGTCTAACCGGTAGAAATTACGTTGATTCGAAATCAAACACTTGTACCACGAGCTTGGTCGGGGGATTCGAAACTCACTGAAAAACGTGATCGGTCGTGGAAACCGGTAGATCGAATCCGTACGAATTAAAAAGGAAGGTGAACGTGTTCGCGATCGAGCGATGGTTTCGTGACACCGAGAAAGAAGGAGGACACGTTGCACTCGCGATTGGAGAAACGATACGTCGCGGACAGGCACATGGCAGACATGTCCCCGCCGCAGGATTATACGTAGCAGCCGGCGTTCGGGCGCTCCGCGTCGCGACTGCCGGCGCGGCTAAAAAACCATACGATGACCTCATCACACCGAGTCTGTTCTCCTGCCCATGTCACTACTACTAGCCATCCTGAAAACATGCTAAAATCTCCTTTGCCTCCAGGAGGTTACTGTTCGCATTATCGCTTTGTTTGGAGCGTCCTGCCAGGTCACTAGGACATTCAGAAACTGCATTTACTTTCAAATGTCTTTGCCGACAATTTCGACAGAGATAATTTTGACTTTTGATTCTATTTTTTAGAAATCAGTCAAAATCAGTATAAAACCTGCAAATTATTAAAATCATTATTTGACATACTTATATTTTAAAAAGACCGCAATAAATTAAAAATTTTTTAAATTCGATCCCACCGCTATCTATACAAAAATGCCGCAAACTACTCAACAACTTATCGATCGGGGAACACTATCGCTACCTATTGAAAAGCAGCGGAAGTCGATCGATTTTTGAACATTTTTGTACTATGATAAAGCAGATGGTGTTGAGGCACAAAGTGATTGGGATCGCAAGTGCCCGTTGGCTGATGTTACACAATTCTACATTATGAAAAGAATAAGTTTGTGACATTTAGCATTTAAAAAGTAATTAACGATGGCATCTGATAAATCTGGCAATTCAAACACTGCACTTCCATCAAACGTTCAAATAAAAGTTGAACCTGGAACATCAATGCCTGTAACCTTAAAAAATATTAAAACAGAACCTGGTCTATCAACTAGTACAACCAGATTAACTTCTTTTCGTTTACCAAGAGATTTAACGTTAGGGGGTAACATTAAGACTGAGAAACCCAAGAAAATATATACACCAAACTTAAATGCTCAGAGAATAAAAAAGAAAGAGTAAGTTCACTTAATACCAAATATTAATCATTAAGTCTGGATTGATACAACAATTATGTTTTAGAGATGCAACACAAAATGATCATGCTAGATCAGTTAGAAATAGGGATCATAATAGAGGACGTGGCAGGGGTAGTAGATCTGATAGAGGCCGTGGTAAAACATCCAGCAATCTAATTCAGGTATATTGAAGAAGATATTTTATTAGATTGCATTCTGTACATGTATTGTTTCAGTCTAGTGGTGTTTGGTCTACTGGAATAACAAATGAAGCAACAAAACGCCACAGTAGTGGTGGTGGTGGTGGTGGTGGTTCTAGAGATACTGGCAAAAGTTCTCAGATGAGTTTAGAGAAACCAAAATTAGATCTAAATCGCAAGATTGATAAAGCTGATGAAGAAGAAAAGTTGAAATTATTGTTAAGGGATGATTTTATAGATGATGGAGAACCCTTAAATCTTGAGAATAGTCCTGTTATATTGCCAATGGTTAAAGAAGGTAATTCAGTTGCAAAATGTCAATGATTTGTGTAGCCTAATCACAATCATTTCATGTTTGTTATAGCAAAATTGTATAAAGAAGAAGTTAAGGTAAAAGTTGAAAAAGAAGAAGAAGAAATAGATAGGAAGCCAATCCTTTTAGAAAATGGAGAGGGTAAGTATATTTTTTCTTTCAACAAAATGTTGTAATAATTAAGAATTACTTTTAGTACTACCACCAAAAAAGGAACCCAAAGTAAAGATATGTAAATCTGACACAGAAGTAAAAGATAAATTTTCACAGAGCATTCCCCAAATCATTGAAAACAAAACAAATTCTTACATTTTGATGCAGGTAGGAATATATTAATCTGAAAACTTGTATTTATCTCTATGATATGTTAATGTAACAAATCGAGCACAGTTTCCAGATTGCTTACCGGGTTTGATGAGCAGTGCGGATGATACGAGACCAAATCGTTCAAATACCTCGAATTTTGAAAAAGAAAACGAAAATAAATCCGAAACGGAAATGTGTACTCTGAATAGTTTAAAGCCTGGTATTCTGGGCAAGTTACAAATTTTGAAATCTGGTAAAACGCGCTTATTGTTGGGTGAAAATAACTTGATTGTAGAGGTTGGATCGCATCTGAGTTTTCGACAAGTACGTAATGCAAAACTAGCGTAAGTATTGAATGTTATAATAATAATAATTTATATTGCAGGATCTCATCGCGGCGAAAGTAGACAACGAAAAATTGAGTGGTGACCTAATTAATCTCGGACCAGTCAGTAGTACACTCATATGTTCACCGGATTGGGAATCTATGCTGGCCAAATTGTAGATATATTTATACTATTTATAAATTTTGTTGAATTAATGATGTATGATGATTAATCTATTGTACAATATGAACGGTTTTTTTTTCCCCTGTTGTAAATCACGTATTTTAAATAATTCGATATGCGTAGAACTTGCATCACGTACAAGTTCAATAGTAACTCAGAAGTCTAAATAAATTTAGAGTTATTTTAGATTAATTTTTGTTATACAATTTATGTGTATAAATATCGCAACAAGAGGGCGTGTTAAGTCCGTACAAGGTACGTAATATTTTTCATCAAAACGCAATTTATTCTGTTAGCTTAATATAGATAATTTGATGAAAAATTATTTTTATACAAATTAGATTTACAAATTAAACTTATTGTCCTATCAAATAAACATTAAATCATGAACTTATTAACTAAAAAGGATATATCTTTGTTCGGTTGTGCCGATACTTTGAAAAATGTAAAAATCGTACATTAAAGTGGCACAAGAAATTACTGTTACTACGGGTATAACATACGCTAGTTTTGTTTACTAAGTCAAGGAAATAACTATTGTATTTAACTCTGTAATCTTAAACTTACGTTTAAGATTTATAAAAATTAGGGTTTTATCGCTCGAGGACGAATTCATTTAATACCAGACTTCTTTTACTCAAGAAAATATGATACGGTAAAATCCTACTGTAGATATAATAAACAGAAACATCCGTGAATACAATTAAAGCAAGTGCATCGTAATACAGAAATACACACATATTACACACCCTTGTTAATAGATCACACAAAGTCTCAGTCACTTCTTTCTATACTGTGTCCTTTTTTCATCGATTTCAATGCTTTCTCACGAAGCTTTTTTTCCAGTTCTTCAGTGTTACCTTCACTCACATCAGATTCGTCAGAGTCAGCAACCTTCTTCTTTTTGTGCTTCCTATGCTTCTTATGTTTTTTGTGTTTCTTGTGCTTCTTATCTTTTTTCTTCTTCTTTTCTTCTACTTCGCTTTCCTAAAGAACACAAATTATGATTAAGAAATAATTTATGTCATCGTATTTCCCTTTCATCAGTTACCGCCGAAACGGAAAATTACCTCTGATTCACTCGTACTAGTTTTAGTCTTCTTTTTACGTTTTTTCTTCACTTTCTCTTCATCTGAACTGTCATCTACTTTCCTCTTCTTCTTTGCATCCTTTTCTCCTATCTCTTCGTCTTCCGTACTCGAGTCTCGTTTCGACTTCTTCACTCTTATTTTTGCTTCATCTTCGCTCGTTGAATCTTTCCTAGATTTCCTCGTTCTAGATTTTTCATCCTCCGAAGAACTATCTTTTCGTTTTCTTGTCTTTTTCGGTTCGTCATCTGAGCTTGAATCTTTTTTAGACTTCCTTAACCTAGATCGATCATCTTCAGCTTTGTTTCTTTTTGTTTTTGGGTCTTCATCTCCCGAAGAAGAATCTTTTCTAGATCTCTTAGATTTCTTAGTTTCTTCTTCTAAGTCTTTTTTCGGTCGTTTACGAGATTCATTTTCACTGGTGTCTCTCTTCCTGTTATCCTTCCTATCCTTGGAACGTTCGTCCAACGAATCTGTAAAAGTGGATAAAATCTTGAGATTGTAGTTAACTGAAATTTTATCAAATCTGAATAATTAATAAACTTCACCTCCTCGGTTCGAGTCTCTGATCTTTTTACTTTTTTCTACATGCTTCCTCTCGTCTTCGGAATCCGAGCTGGAGCCACCTTTGTCCGATTTTTCATCATCCGTAGAAGCCTTCCTGGATTTTCTGGACTTGTCTATTTTCCTCGATTTTTTCTTTCCTAAGATTTAAAAATAACACGAACATCGTTCAGATCATGCGTTAACATAACCTCAAATTAATTCTTACCTTCGCTTTCACTGTCATTCGAATCCGAAGAACCATCACGTTTCTCCCTTTTTGATTTTTTGATCACTTCCACTGGTTTCTTCAAAATCACTGGTTCCGACGATTTTTGACCTGACTTCTTTTCTTCCGACGTCGTTTTGATTGATTTAATCGACTTGTCATCTTTCTTTAATGGGAAATTGTCTCCCGACGAGAAGTTGGATTCTTCTTTCGGCGATTCTTCCTTATTATCCTCCCTGAAAGCAATAAATAATTATTCCAATTAAGAATATCGTAAGCAACACGCCGAAAAGCATTCGAACAACACTTACTTCAAAGGTTGTTTAACTTTAACTGCAGCTATGATGTCTTCAGTCTTTTTAAACGGCGAGGGCGTTCTGGACAGACTCTTAGAAAACTAGAGATAAGAGTAAAGTAGAAACATTTGAAATAGCAGAAAGATACAGTTACATGTAGGTATTATTAAACTTACTCTATGCCTAGTTACAGGAAGTGTGGTAGGTTGAAGCTTTTTAGGGGAAACACTTGGATCCGGTTTCTTGATAGTCGGAGGTTCAACCTTCTTCACTTCCTTCTCGGGTCGTTTGACGGGCTCTTCCTTAGGTTTTTCTTTTTCTTTACGTTTCTCATCCACGTGTTCCCGTTCCCTTTCGCGTTCACGTTTTTCCTGAGACGATTTCCGTTCGAGCGATTTTCTACACAAATAACAAGATACATTATTGGAGACTGTAAACAATTATTGTTTAAAGCTAAGCAGAAAATGAAACATAGCTCGCTTTACGCTCCAACAATCGTAAGGTCTGTAACAACATATAAAAAAAATATAATAATGATTTTCTTTACTCACCTGATCGCTTCATCCTCATTGCTAGAGGAACTACTTTCGCTACTTTCCGAGCTACTTGACTTAGACCTTCCATTTCGTAATTCTTTTCGCGATCCTGTATCGGTTGTTCTTTTAACTTTTTCATCCACTTTCTTCTCCTTTATCTTCTCCTTCGGATCTCTCGACCGATCGGGAGATCGTTTCGCATCCCTCGAACGATCCACCGATGCCCGTTGATCTTTAGACCTCGATCTACGATCTTTAGATCTAGATCTCCGATCTCTATCCCTTCTGTCCCTGTCTCTGGAACGGTCTCGCCTACTCGATCTGTCGCGAGAGGAAGATCTATCGTACCTGAGGGATCGATCCCGTCCATCTGGTGAACGACGCCTGCTGTCGCGACGATCCGGAGATCGACGCCTGTCTCGTCGCTCCGACGATCGTCGTCTTCGATCGAGGGATCTTCTTCTGCGTCTCTCACCGGGACTAGGAGATCTGCGCCGATATCTTGCCGGACTTCTGCGAGGAGGGCTTCTGTAGTAATTACAAGTTATCGATATTAATACCCGCGTATGATTTATGCATGCAATTTATCTTACCTTCGCCTACTAGGTGCTCTGCGCACTGATGGTGGCCGCATGCTGCGGCTACCGCTATATCTATCCAGCCTTTCCCTTTCCCTTTCTCGTTCCCGCTCCCGTCTTCTTTCTCGTTCTCTATCTATGGATCTCCTGAACAAAGAACCAAACAAGTTGAATGCAACATTGATTTATCGCAATTTATAATCTAGAAATTGTTTTACACACCTCCTGTTCCTATCTCGAGATCGATCGCGTGACCTATCTCGCGATCTATCCCGTGATCTATCTCGCGATCTGTCTCTATCTTTTGATCGACCTCTGTCTTTACGCGGCGAGGGGCTTCTTCGTTTGGGGACAGATTTCCTTTCCCGGCTCGAATCACTGTCGCTACCGCTATCATCCTTGTTAGTTTTTCTATACGATCTTTTAGCCTGCACTCCATCTTTCTTCTTTCTAATTTCGAAATCATTCTTGTCTTTCGCTCCTTTGTCTTCTTCTGACTCGGAACTGCTGCTTGTACTAGCATCTCGTTTCCTATTTGAATCGAGAGCGTCCTTTCTCTTATCGGGTGATTTCGAGCGAGACTTGGACGACCTGGAATCGCTCGAATCTGACCTCGATTTCCGGGCCTTGCTCCTGTCGATGCTTTTGGATCTTGATTTTTTCGATCGGGATCGAGATCTTGAATGGGATCTCGGTGACTTGGATTTCGTACGTCTCGATTTAGAACGATCCTGCGATCTGGATTTCGATCTCCTTGACTTGGATCTAGACCTGGATCTTCTTGATCTTGACTTGGAACGAGACCGTCTCGATTTCGACGCAGGCGATCGAGAACGGCGTGTTTTTGAATCTCGGCTCGGTGATTTGGATCTAGATTTTTTGGAACGGCTTACAGGCGACTTTGATCTGGATCTAGATTTCTTCGCTTTGTCAAGTGACTCGGGGGATGGAGTACGATTGTTCTTCTTCTTTCCATCGGCAATGCTCATTAGTTTGGCTTGCAATCGGGATATTGCAACAGCGGCTTCCCTGTTAAAACATTTTAATGAATAACCCTTTTGTGAGTTTACGTTAATTAAAATAAAATATCGATATTTACGGTTTCGTCTTAACGGGCATCAGCGGTATAGCGTTTTCAGGTTGAGGTGAATCCTCCCGTTCAACTTTAACTTCCGGCATGTCTTTACCGTTGTCCTTCAATGAATTTTTGCTAGGTGATCTTGAAGATGATCGTCGTTTACGACTCGATCTGTCGCGGTCTCTGTGTCGATCTCTTGATCGACTCCTCTTACTTCTGTAAACGATCATACAACTATTAATAATATATGTAAAATTAGACGAAAGTATAGGATTACGTTAGAACGCGGACAAGTACCTGTCCCTATCACGATCTCTGCTTCGATCTCTTCTACGCTCCTTTGACGAACCACGTTCCTTTTCTTCTTTCTTTATCTTGCTTTCGGCTTCATCTTTCTCCTTTTCCCTTTCCTTTTCTTTCTCTTTCTCTGCCAAAGAAGCTTGGAGCTTCTCTTGCTCCTCCTGATTTGATATATCGTGATTTAAAATAATCGGATATTGATTCGTTTATTTGGAAATAACAATAAAAGAAATCGAAACTGAACCTCGTGCAATGAAAAGCATTTAATCAACTGAACATTTTGTTGAACGACAAAATCTAGTTACTCAATTGTTTTGCTGTTATCAAATCATGTTCATGCAATTAAATCTAATGAACTCTGCATTCAGTCCATCTATTGTGAATATCGCATATTAAAAAATAAGAATATAAAAAACGGATAATTACCAAACGCTTTTTAATCTGATCTTTTTTTTGTTGCAAGAAAGCCTCTGGAATGCCCGTTACACTTTCCTGAGCAGAGACCAGAAGGTCCCATAATTCACCCATGAAAGATCGGGCATTCCTTCCATTCAGGAAGCCTGTTAGGTTGATCTGCATTTTTCGGGGGTCGGGAAACTGTAAAATATACAGTGTTCGAATTTATTTCTCTATCCACGTAATCGAAAACTTACATCAATGATTGACCAACGAACGTTCAATTTTTATGAAATTTTGAAATAAAAAAGTGAAATTATATACGATATTGATCTCGCTAGTGACGCTAACTGCTTTTCCCCCTCGAAAAAGCAGATTTATTTGTTGCATTTCTAATGTATCTTACCAACTCTGTAAACAGGCTCGTTTCACGTCTGCGCTAATCAGTAATACGCTAAGAAAAAAAAAAATAATGATACTCATCGATAAACGCACAAGTAGCACAGATATTATATTGATACCTTCTCAATGAATAAATGCTGCTTAGGTGGACGCTGAAATAGAACTTAAAAATACATGTTGAAAGTGTTAGCTGTAAATGAAAGGATTAATTTGGAATAGAAGGAACACCGTTCCACCAACCTGTGATGTTGACAAAGAGTGTCAAACTGAGCAGAGATACCTCCGGCATCGACCATCAGCCAATCGCATCCGATTGACTGCATTTCCGATGAATCATTAACTGGAGAACAGACCTGCGCGATGTATAAAGTTCCTGGTTTCCTTGGGATGTTGTTGGAAGTACGAAGAATCTGGCAATCTGCATCTCAGTTGTATCAGCTCCACGGATGTCCTGATGGGATGATTACAGCATTCTGGGTAGGCAGCAGGGTGATTCCTCCTCCTTGCTCGAACTCGAACCGTTGACTGCCCGTTGATGATGGGTGTCCGGAAGCTGCGACACAGCTCTCGCAGTTGCAATTTTGATGCTGCAACCACCTCGACAGAGGCAGTCGGTAGTAGATGAAGACGACGGTTGGCGCAGATAGTAGACGGATGCGGTCACGGCAGAGCAGGCATCTGCAGAATGGTAGAAGGCCCCGGGAAGAGCTCCGTACAAAGATGAGAAGAGCGGGAACAGCATGATGATGCGGCGATATTACTGCGAATACGCCGTTTCTGCCGATGACGACGAATCGATGGTGGATGAACTGCTTAGGCTGAAGTTTCAGCAGTGGTTCTAAGATGACGTTGACATACCAGCTGGCATCAGCTAGCGTTGACGGCTGATAGAAAGGCGGCCAATCGGATGTAGAGAGGAGCACATCCGAATGCCATTTGGACAATAGGGTTGAGCCCCACCAACGGTCTCTACTTATACTAACGGGGAATTCAAACATACGTGATAAAAAGTTGTTTTCACATGTTACAGTGTTGCAGGATCAGCTACATCAGTTTTTCTTTTGTTGAAACAGGATATAGCTTGGAAGGAACATATAAGGTGAACAAGAACAGGTTACACAGGACATATAAGGAACGATGATATTTTATCAAAATTCAAAAAAATAAATAAAAAAAGAAAAGAACAATGAGGCAAGTATGACTAATATGGTTTCTGCCTCCTTGCTTTTCATCTCCAAAGTCAGCACATTGTGCAGAATTTGGATTATCATTCGTAACTGGTACAAAACATTGTGCTGAAATAATGTGTATTTATCGATTTCCTATGATGAGGGGAAAAAGCCAAGTGAACATATTTTTTTTTTTTATTTCATGTTAAGTTACAATCCCTTAGATCTAATTCTAATCTAAATAGTAATGCAAAAACAAACTTCTTACCTTTTCCTCCAGTTGATTATATACAAATTCTACCACTACATCATCCTCCATTCCTAAAATCTGTGTGATTTTTGTAGTGATCCATGGCTTGATAACATCAAGTTTAACTTTGCTCATATCCACCTGAAAATATTTTGAAACATAACACCAAATATTAATATTTGAGTAATTAATGCATATTATAAACAAAAATTCACATTGTAAATATTTACTTTCTGAGTGAGAGAATCTCCAAACTTCATTTGTTTCAGAAGCTTTTTCTCCTTGTCGCTGAACCTCGTATCCTGCGACGCGGTAGTCCCCTGATAACCAAAAATATAATATAAAATTGTCAAATATTTAGAAACGATAACAGAACAAACTTGTAACACTAGGGAGTAGTAGTTTGGTTTGTTCTAATCAAAATTCTGGCTAATTTACCGTGTACATCATTTTGGCAACGTGTAGAAGTCAAAAGCTGCACGATGTTCGATGTTCCTAGCTGGCGGCGTTCCAATCTTCCTTTCCACTGCTGAACAAAAACTAACGAGTCGTCGGAATACGTTTTAAGCGAATGCGTCTTTCTCTTAACCACGAAAAATGATAAGTGGTTTTGTATATACAAATATTGAACGATAGAATGAAGCGTATACGAACACGGACGCACACGATAGATCAATCCCCGAACATGGCGACTGTATCATTAAAACGGAAACCTGAAGTTGCAGTAACGCAGCGCGGTCGCATCTTTCAGTGCTACCAATATTCTTCTATACCGTTTCCTGTCAAGGATACAAGCGTCAAGACTGAACCAAAGAGGAGCGAACTCCGAATTCCGCATCGGTAAAACAGTCAACGTTTCATCAAAAATTAAAATAACTGCATACAATATAAAATTTATATTTCCTCTTATATTTCCTACACATCTCATATAAAATATCTTGTGCATTCTCTGTACATATAATCAAAGCAATACAGAAAATAGAAATAATTAACAATATAAATTAAGTCGTAGTCGTATTTTCTTGAGATTCAGTCAGTTTAACGAGAACCTTATTCTTAGGGACATTATCACCTACTGAACATGATATATTCTCGACAATTCCATCGGTGGATGCTCTAACGATGTACTAAAAATAAAAGATTAAGTTTAAAATTAAGACACATACTAAGAATCGCTAAAAATCACAATTTGAAAGAACCATGCAAATACATACTTCCATTTTCATTGCAGTAATGACGAGCAAAGCTTCGCCTCTTTCAACAGTGTCTCCTTTTGCAACGAATAATTTCTCTATAAAACCCGGTATCGGACTCAAAGCATTGCATGGATCTGCTTCGAGTGCAGTACACGTAACATCAGAAAGAAATTTCATGGGAGGTGTACTGAATTGCCATTCGCGATCCTACAAAGAGAATTAATGTAAATTATTTTTCCAAATGATACCGTTGAAGCGATTAAAATCCAAATAAGAGAACGATGGTATCGGTAAAAAGAATACTTTGGTGAATAGGTGTAACTTGTTGCGGATCTTAATTATTCTTGCTTTCCAGATCATTTCGTCGATTTCAGTAGATAATTCTAACGAATTTTCTTTTTTCTTTAAGACACCAGTTACTGTTCTCCAACGGCCAATTCTGTTGATTCTCATAGAATAGATTTCAGGTTCAACGTATTTTACTTCAACATCGATATCATCACCATAAACGTTGAAATGAAATGTACGGGATGAATTATGATTTAACCTCAGTCCAGTTTCTGTTGCGAAGGGGCTGAAGGGATCAACAGTTTTAAGAGCCGATCGTAGAGAGTCTGTGTCTTCGTAAAGTATGGAGGCAAGGGTAGCTTGTGCGACAATTTCACTTGGCACTTGTAGTTTTGGAAATAGTTCTTCACGATGTTCTTCTATGAACCCAGTGTGTACATGTCCTTCACGAAAGCTAGGATGCGAGCACAAGTCCTTAATAAACTCTATATTGGTATCGAGTCCGGCTATCTGAAAATATGCATAATAGATTAGAAATGCGGTTTGATCTTCGATGAACAGAATCTTCACTTGCGAATTTATTTACATTATAATCGCTTAGTTTTAATCTAAGCGTCGCCAATGCTTCTTCTCTATCTCTTCCCCAGACAACCAGTTTTGCGATCATCGGGTCATAATGCACGGATACTTCATCCTTTTCGCGAACTCCACGTTCAATTCTGATCGTTTTATCTGTGGCTTCTGGAAGTCTCATGTATGCTATACTTCCAGCTCCTGGTAGAAAACCCTTCCTTGGATTCTGTGATTTATTATCATAACAAATGAATTCAACGTTAAAAGAATTAAAAAGTTTGATTCAATAATCGTTGAGTGAACAAGTGTTTACCTCTGCGTATATTCTAGCTTCAAAAGCATGCCCATGAAAATTAATTTCTTCCTGATTTAACGGAAGTTCTTCTCCGGCTGCTACTTTCAATTGCCATTCTACCAAGTCCAATCCTGTAATTGCCTCCGTAATTGGATGTTCCACTTGAAGACGAGTATTCATTTCCATGAAATGGAAAGTGTTTCGCTTACGATCCATTATAAACTCAACGGTACCAGCGCCAACGTAGTTTACAGCTTTTGCTGCTCGAACTGCTGTTTCACCTAATTTCGCCCTTAAATCTGCTGAAATTCCGGGCTGTGGCATATCACGATCATTATATATCTTTTAAATTAAACCATCGATCAGTACGTGATTAAACGTACGTACTGCTGGCGCTTCCTCGATGATCTTTTGATGTCTTCTTTGAACGGAACAATCTCTTTCAAACATATGAACGACATTTCCGTGTTTATCTGCAAATACTTGTACCTCGATATGTCTTGGTTCGTTGATATATTGTTCGAGTAACACCGTCGAGTCACCGAATGCTTTCTCAGATTCAGTTCTCGCTGATTCTAACGCTTCAGAAAAATCCGATTCCTTTAAAACGATTCTCATTCCCTTTCCTCCTCCGCCGCATACAGCCTTAATCATCAGAGGAAAACCTATCTTCCTTGCTTGCTGTAATAAAGCCTCATCAGACTGATTCTTTCCGTGGTATCCTATTTTTTTAAATACCTCAGAGTTAAATTTCATTAACATTTACATGCATTTCAATTTCACTTGCAACACAATTATACCTGCTACAACAGGAACCCCAGCTTCAAGCATTATTGTCTTTGAAGTACTTTTAATACCCATGCTTTTAATTGCATCTGATGGAGGGCCAATAAATATTATATTCTCTTTTTGACAGAGCTCTGCAAACTCTGCATTTTCTGAAAGGAACCCATAACCAGGATGTATTGCCTGACACTTTGATTTCTTAGCGATAGATATTATTTTATCCTGCCTCAAATAACTTTGATGGGAAGGTGCAGGACCAACACAGTAGGCTTCATGCACTTGATCTACGTGCATAGAATTTCTATCTGCTTCACTGTATATGCCTACAGTTTTTATTCCTAATCTTTTGGCAGTTCTTACAACACGGCATACAATCTCTCCTCTATTTGCAATTAAGATCTATAATATAATGAGAAACTAGGATTTATGAGCTTTGTAAATTTATAATGCTATAACTAAGGCACTTATACTTACCTTATCAAATCTATTCTGCAAGGTTTTAGAGGTGTGCAAATTATGTATACATAAAACTATTACGCGACATCTGAAAATTGTTACACGTGCGTCATTATTTTGGTTTCGCATAAACAATTTTTATAAAATTACTTTATAATGTACTTACTGTAAAATCGGCGTCTTTACCCTTGTTATCCGATACATGTTACTATTACATATGTTAGCGCAGTTTGCGACGCATTTGCTTCTGGTCTTATTTAATACTTATTCAACTCATTTCAATTGTAAATAGGAAAACAGATATGAGCAACCCAAATATAATCTTTAACCCTTACTCAAAGGTTATATAGACGCATATATACATTGTAAATACAATAGATAAGACAATTACGTAAATCCACGTGGTTGTTTCAGTTTTATAAGCAACCTTACTTAAAACAAATGTGTAAACAAGATCCATTATTTTTTTTAAATTGTTTAATGCATATTTAATGAGACTTTAATGTTGTTCTTCATGTCAAAGAAAAAAAAAAAGTTGGCTCATGGGGGGATCGAACCCGCGACCTTCGCGTTATTAGCACGACGCTCTAACCAGCTGAGCTAATGAGCCTGAGCTACTGGAATTTATTTATTATTTTGATTTCGGAATTTGTAATAACAAAATAATAATGCATGTATAATTTGAGTTTTTATTATGTAACATAAAATAACAATAACTCTAGCTTCATTAAGCTTTTAATGGAGAGCTTATTAAACCTATAAGAACGCAGTCTGCTTCCAAGATTGTTAAATCTGAAGTTGCTCCTAAGAACCGTGTAGATAATTCCAAGTCCTTAATTCTTAATTTCACTTTTGCTCCCCTAACATATTTTCTGAAATAACAAAAGAAGAAGATGGTTATTACTGATTGAGATTAGAATTTTTGTTTGTTACTTACTCAGAATCTTTTTTAGGTTTTGGACATACACAATGAAATTTCCATCCAAAGTCAATATATAAATCATTGCCAACTACTTGAAAAACTTTCCCTGTTATTATCTTATCCTCAGGATCTCCTAGCTGTAACAAAATTAATGTTATTAAAAATAAAAACAATGCAACAATTTTTATACAAACAAAAGATATTGTTAGATTATAAAATATCACAATACATCTACTATTTACATCTATGAATTTAGAATATCGAAGTAACGAAGGAAATGTAGCACGCTTTGGAATCGCTACGGCTTCCTTGGCATCATTAGGATTCATATGTTCATAAACTAGTTTTTGGAAAATATTGATTTTATCTTCTGCAACATCACCACTTTCTTCGCTTTTATTTGTCTGACTTTCGTTTGAAATTTGTTTAGTACAATAGTTTTGCGTAAATATTGAACTTGTCTGAGACGTATAAATGGTATACAGTTGCATTATCTTTTGGCAACGTTGAATTTTATTCATTTTAGTAGCCGGGAAACGTGCTTCTTATTCAAATATGATAGGTTATGTTTGAATGTTTATTTTCTACCACGTCGGTATACCGATCAGCCGTATACGCGCTTACGATTCCTCATTACCCTAACGATTAACGCGTTGAAATTTTTGGGATTAAAAAGTAAGTGAATTGTGTAATTTTAAAGTTCTATCACGTTTAAAAGTAGAAAATCAAGAATCAATGAGGTCAATTTAGTTCATTAAAAGTCAGACTTATATTCAGTTTTGTTTGATACGTGTAACAAAATTTGCGTTCATAACCTGTTCATTGTTAATTTAATGTTATATCTTTCAGGAAACGTTACGATAATGTCGAGAAATGGTATGGCATTCAATATTTTATCCAGAAGTATTTCTACATCGCCAATATCTAATCAAATAATGAAATTAACACGATTGAGGGTCGTGGATAATAGCGATATTGGAAAGCAAGCAATGTTAGAAGGGAAACCGCCACGCTGTATACATGTTTATAATAAAAAAGGAGTTGGATACATTGGTAGGTTGATAAGTGAATTATATAAATAATATTGATGATAAACTTTCATGGTTGTGTCTGAATAATACAGGTGACAAAGTTATGGTTGCAATAAAGGGTGAGAAGAAGAAAGCTATATTAGTTGGCTTGAAACAGAAACAAAATGTAAAGGTTCCAAAGTTTGACAGTAATAATATAGTTCTCATAGATGATAATGGAACGCCTTTAGGTACCAGAATTCAGGTTCCAATTCCTCATATTCTTAGAACAATAATGAGAGAAAAAACACACAGCAAAGGTGCTGATTACACAAAATTGCTAGCTATTGCAACAAAATTTGTATAATCGATTTGTATATACTTGATGTCACGAGAGTCCATAACTGCGAAAAGACCAGTTTTCGTTCTTTTCTGCGCATTGTCGCTCTGATTGGCGATACTTCCAGCGGAAGTGGAAAGCGATTGGCGGATCGCTTTCCCCCACCATCGCTGCGTTGCCCCGCCATATTCCAACCTGCGCGCTTAGTTATGGACTCTCATGACATCAAGTATAAATAGAAACCTACTTTCATTTACATATGTGTATACATAGTTAATTAAATGTATGAAATATGTTGTTTCAATCGTTATTCGTTATGTTTAGCAATGAGGTTATGTTGAAAGAACACTCCGCCTGAAATTTGAAAACCGAAATAAAAATTGCATTTTTATTATCAAATTAATTCACTATTAAATGAATCATTTGTTTCGGGTTTAAATAGATGGATAAATTAAATGTATAGTCTGCAAAACCAATGATATTTGTGAAACAATATAGGGAATTTTTCTGAACTGCCTATATTGTTGCATAAACTGTGTAACTAAACGATTGAACTCTGAAGGCATAAGAGAAATTTATATTGGTAGAATAGCGGGAAAAAAGTGAAAAACTGTGGCTAATTTACGTTTTATTATTGTGTCATGGTGAAAAGATTAATATGTCTATGCAAATACGAGAATGGAATTATGAGAATTGTAAATTTTGAGTTAAAAGAATCGAGTTGTCGTTAGTTGAGGTTGAGACCTAATATTTGTAACTTTAATAGGGATATTTGAAGAAAAGTAGGAATCTTGTGGTTTAGTGATAGGTGATAGTGGTTGTCTTATAAATGGCGGCTCAGGGAGAAGCACGCTGTTTCATTTAACCGCGAGATTTTACGTTGACGAGATTTGTGTATGTAACAAGTATTTAAAATATCAACGTAACAATCCGCGGTCAATGAAACAGTCCGATTGCTATACCGTTTACAAAACAAAAAAGTAAAGTATATAAATTTTTAGGTATAAAAATCGAATAAAATGGGGAATGTACTAGCTGCCTCTGTACCTCCTCCACCTTCGCCGCCACCTCCAACTTCAGGATTACTTCCGAATTTAGAAAAACCAGATTTATCTACGGGATTGCACCCGTCTACCAAATCTTCGGATAGCCTATCAAATCCAGGCACGATCGAGGATCTTCATAAAAAGTGTAAAGGTATCCGTACAGTTTCATTCATTTTCGTTTTTTTTCACATTATTTTACGTTATCTTGCTATTTCTATTGAAATAGTAGAATGGCAATAGTATATGATTTTTATTTGAAGACAGTTGAGTGTAATATTAACATTGAGTATTAATTTTGATGGCAGATGTATTCCCTGTAAATTTTGAAGGTGCAAAACTAATGTTCAATAAAGGCCTTAGCAATCACTTTCAAATTTCCCATACAATAAATATGAGTTCAGTCGCACCGTCTGGATACAGGTAAGATTAAATGCAGTTAAACAAACTTACAATTGTTAGGCCATCGAATGATGTTAAAATCTGTTTAGATTTGGAGCAACTTATGTTGGTACACAGGAGCCAGTACCTTCAGAAGCTTACCCAGTTTTACTAGGTGACATTGATCCAAGTGGAAATCTTAATGCCAATATAATTCATCAGTTTGGTCAGAGGATAAGAGGGAAATTAGCTACTCAAGTACAAAAAAGTAAATTCACCGCTGTGCAAATGACAACGGATTATCGCGGCGATGCTTACACGTTGTCTTTCACGGTGGGCAATCCAGATATACTAAATGGTTCTGGTAAGCGTGCGAGGTAAAGGTCTATAATGTGAAATTTTCATAAAGATTATGGTACCAAACTAATTTTTTTAGGCGTTTTCGTGATGCATTATCTACAGAGTATAACACCTTCCATCGCTTTGGGCGGAGAATTAGCTTATCAAAGAGGCCCTGCTATACCAGGAGGTCAGGTTGCTGTTCTATCAGCGGCCGGAAGGTATACATGCGATGATTCCACAATCAGTGCTAGTCTAGGTGTGTAAAAATTCATCCTCGAGGCACGTGACTTACCATTGCCGTTCGAGTTAGATCTCGTCTCGAGAAAATTATTTCTAACAAAATTATGTTTTCTATAGGTTTTTCTGGTTGTCACCTTTGTTTCCATCAAAGAGCTAGTCCGCAGTTACAGGTTGGAGTGGAGTTGGAAATAAATTCTAGAATACAGGAATCCACCGGCACTATCGCGTATCAAGTCGATTTACCAAAGGCCGATTTAATATTTAGAGGTAGAACGGTGTTGATTTAGACGAAACAAATGTTCGATGAATTCGAATGGGAAAGTAAAGGGAGGGGAACGTAACTATAATTTCATTCCAGGGAGCGTAGATACAAATTGGACAGTGGGTGCTGTATTGGAGAAGAAATTGCAGCCATTGCCATTCTCATTTGCGTTAAGTGGAATGATGAATCATAGTAAACAACAATTTCGGCTCGGCTGCGGTTTGATAATCGGTTAAGGCTAGGCATTTAGTTGAATATCGGTCGAGTACATAATCTAGCCAAGCGATGAGAAGGAGAGAAACGCAGGAGTGACTTGACCACTGCGTACCATAATTAAGGGAACGTTGTAATTACTATCGATGAAACCCAATTGATTATCTTCTTCTCGTTGATTACCTCGTCTGTTCGCTATTGTGTTTATACGACCATTTTGTTTGTTTATTTTTTATTAAAGATACACCGTACCAACAGGGTTTGCTCTCATTGTGTACATTCTTTTAATTTAAGCTGAGCGCCTGTGTGTGTGTATGGTTGCATTTACAGTCGATTAATTTATTAGTGTAACTTCTGTTTGGATTATACAAAGAACACGCGTGTATTCAATAATACGAAATATAACGTGAAATTTTCATACATTGACGCAAGTACAAGTACAACGCGAGCACTGAGAATATGGGGCACGCGCGCGTGCATATACGTGCATAAATGCTTGAAACAAACGGCGATAAAGTTGTTGTTTCGTGCTTTGAAATTACGAAAAAAATTTTTAAGGAACGTTATAAATTTGACTACTGTTGTAAGAATATTATCGACGTTAAACTTTGGTAAATCATACAGATTTCATCATCGTTTCTCGTAACCGTAGCTTGATTGCAAAATATCGAGCGAGTAATCTTTTCTTTTATTTTTCATTCAGATACGATGTAGGACAAAAAACAATTTTGACGATGCTCATCGTTACCGCTCGTGAGGATCAACCGAATGAAATATAAATCTTCTGCTAGCGTCTATTTTTCTTCGTTTAACAATTGTAAGAAACAGTGGAGGCAGAAAGAAATGTATGGTGAACAGAGAATGAAATTAAAGAGGATTGAGATGAAACGAAGGTATAATAAAGTTTCCTTTCAAATTAATTCCATTTTGTATTTCATAAGCTTATCAATTAATATGTTCTCCTGAATAAATGATCAACGATAGGTAATTTAGGAGAAAGAAGAAAACTACACGATCCAGTTCATTTTTTATTACCCGTTCCACAATGTACATATTAAACTCAATTATTTTTCTTTTTTCCAGTGTTTGCTTGCTCGAATGTTGTGTGTGCGCTGGAAGGAAAAAAAAAAAAAAAAGGCGGTGGAAATGAAAGCAGAGCGACTGATTGAACCAGGTGAACTTAAGTAGGTGAAATACATTGACTTAAGTACCGACTACCGTTATCGACGCATTACGACATTACGAGATGTAACCGATTTGTTCCGTCGGTGTTACACGTTACACTAGCGCAAACGTGCTTGGAAAAATACATAATACGTATCGTTCAGCGGCGTCGAACTTTGACCGACGGCCATTTTTGCTTGGAATTAGTAAAACCAGTCGTTCTTACCTTGAATGGAATAACGATAATTATACATGATAATAATACACATTTATTTCGATCCTTTCGATTTTCTAAACGATGCGAAAAGAATTACAAAAAAAAAAGATTTATTCTTGTACAATGTCATCGATTCCGGGATGAGCAACTGGTGTTACTAATTTATTCCTTAATTAGCTGCGACACGTGTTTCGATTCAGAATCTAGTTTAGGGTCGCGCGAGGGAGAGAGAGGAATGTGGTGGCAAGGGAAATGAGGATATCGGGGGGGAAAAGAATAGACGAGGCGTAAAAGTTTCAGCACGTCGAGGCTTTGGAAAGAGAAGAATAAAAATTAAAAGGACAAAGCATGGTCGACAAAGATCACGAATCGATGTTGCCTTTAGCCGGTGTCGCGGACTTTTGTGTAGGTGTGCCGCGGTTGAAAGTCTCGCGGGAACGTTGATTGTTTGCCGAGGAAAACAATAAGCGATCAACGGTGAGGTTGTTAAAAGAGGTTTTGCTAAGCGAACCCGAGTCCTGTTCGTTTCGTTGAATGGAAACTAGCATCGGGCATACGCGTTCGTAACATTTTGGAGGCTTCGTTCGAACGCTTTTCTACGAAATACAAGCGCTGGTAAGCTTCGCTTACAAAACTATCGCGGACGTCGTACGTCAATCGTCGATTCAGTTGATCAACCATCGTACCGTGTACTCGAGCCTTCTGTCTTTATTTCTGCCTCTGACTGTGTCTGTGAACCATATTTCCCTTGCCCTCACCGTCCCCCGGTCTACTCTAGTTACCGATAACGTGTTCGTAAGCTATATTATATATGCACCGGAGAATTTGCCATCCGCTTCGAGGTAATTTTGCGATGGATACAAGGAGCATAAAAAAGCGCGCGCTTTTCTTCGAGCAGTATTTGGGAGAAAAGAGGAAAAAGATCCGTGAGAAGAGGGAAGAAAGTTGGTACGATAAACGCGTTGAATTGAATGAATGGACGAAGGAACGAAGGAAATCCGATCGCTCGATCGATCGTCCATATTAAAGTCGAATGAATGAACAAGCGTATCCTTGGATCCAAACGAGACTCGATAACCTTGATCGTTTCGATTGATTGGAAATCGGTTAGGGGATGTTCCTTAACGAAATAACTGTAACATATTCTCGATCGAGTAACACGGATCGTAAACCCATGGTTTAGCGTGAATCATTGACAGGGAACAATCGGCATTTTTCCTAATTTCCGTGGCTGCAGGTAATTTGTTTACGCGTCGCGTGAAAAGGGTCGGGAAAGGAAAACTCGTGAGTCACCGTTGAAGATTCATAGCGGGCTTTACGTACTGTTAAGTGCGTACAATAGAAAGCGGCCGAACAATGTATCGTTGCGTTTGCGCGCAAATATTAGCGCGATACGCGTTGACAAATGTCGAGGAACGCGTTTTCGAGTCTCTACGACTCCGAAGGAATCATTTGTATCGTGCGCGGCGTGTTTGTTTTCCTACGTTCGACCGGCCCGTGACTAATTATATTCGTGATTAGTTAGCGTTACATAAATAAAAGCGCGGACAAACAAGTAAGCGAGTCAGAACGAAAATAGGTGGATGAACGGACGTTACTCCGGCTGCATCGTTTCATCTAATTATGTACATCCGATAACTGATCGATCATTGATTCCGCGAGTTTCATTAGGTGCCAAGATTTATTTGATAATTTAGATCGCCGGGATAAGAAGTAAGTTATAGTCGGTCGCGTATAGCCGGATGGGGCGGTGGCATAAAACGAACGATACGATATGGAAGAACAGTAGGAGAAGCAGAAGTAGAAGGAGAACGAGGAGAAGGAGACAGGAGGGGCAGAGAGTTTGATTTAGGCACTCGGGGAGGGTGGTGGAGTGACAAAGTTTACTGGGGAGGAGGGCATTAGAATCGGATAATGAGCATGCCTGCGAAGAGAAGGAGGAGGAGGAGGAGGTAGTGACAAATGTACGCGTATTCCGACCGAACGATAAGAAAGACACGTTGAAGAAAGAAAGAATAACGGATACGCGATTTTTTCGCGATAGAGTGAAACAGAGAGGCATAAATTGGCACACGTAAACGCGAGCGCGAATACGCTTACGTAGATCGAGTTACGTAGATCTAGATCGATCTACGTCGAAGCGATAGACCGTACGGGTACATAGTTTTCTCTATCGCTATTCGCGGTACTCCTCCCCTCCCGTCGATCGGCGAACCGAGTCGAACGGAGGCCGATCGGCACGCTTCCTCGTTTAACCAAGACGGGTCGTAAGTGTCCTCCCGGGAGACCTATAGCCTTCTCTTTGTATTTCCTTTAGAAAATTGACTCGGCTTCGAATCGAACCATTTCACTGGATACGCCACCATTCCATCCAACCTGATTCGACCGTCTGCCTTCTCCGTGTTTCTTCCACTCTGCTCTCGGCTGCTTCCCTTCTGTGCCTACGTAATACACACACCAGTCTCGTTGCCGATCCTGAGAACGGTGGTCAACGCGGGCTCCGCTCGAACCGGCTAAAGGATTATTCGATCGTTTCACGGGGATATTACAAGTGTTTTCCGCGCGTTTTATGGAAACACGGACGAGAAGGAACACGCGGTGGCAGTCGATCAACGTGTTCGATTAGAAGAGACCCGGTGAACGAAGAGGAGTAAGAGGAAGGTTTCGTCGCTGATCCGCCGACGAAGAGTACCTATCCACGTATAAAGAAGAAATCGACGATGAAAAGAAGGAGAGGCACGGAGGAAAGTCGCGAGGATGGTGGAAAATATCGTCGGAACGACTATGGTGAGTGAATTACAGTCTCTCTTCCTGGTCCGCGCGACGGACGATTAACGCGGGTTGTTTATCGATGGTCACTGCGAAAAGCGGATCGCGCGAGTACTGTGTATCTAGACGAATTCGTCTAAATGGCGTGTGCTCGTCGAAGTAACGTGTCGAGAAATCGGTTAGCTACGGGTCGATGGTCCGCGACTCACTGGAGAACCGGTGGCCGATCGTGGGGGATGTATATACGTTGGATATCAGAGTGATAATTTCACTGGTGCGCAAGCGATAACGCGACTTACACATTCATTGTCGTCGTCGTCGTCGTCGACGTCGTGGTCATCGCGTATCCGTAAATCGCGAGAAACGTTATTCGATCCGCGACCGTTTGATTCGACTGCTTCCTTAATTCCCCTTCGAACGAACAAGAATCTCCTTCCCCCGTTTCATTTTTATCGCAATCTTTTCTTTATTGTATCGCGTCTTCTGCTCTTGATATTTCTATTCGATCATTTCCGCGAGCAAGTTCTAGCTGCTTAGATCTTTCCCTCTTTCCTACGCGCTTATTCGTGCCCGCAGACGGTGCGAACGAACGTTTCGAGTCTCGGAACCGTCCGCGTTTCCGCGTCGGAATCGACGCAGCCTTCTTTTCGACTTCGTTACTTTCTCCAACTGCTTTTCCTCGAGTGATAAAAAGGAAAGGCAAATGAAATAACAAAAAAAAAAGCGTCTGATTCAACGATGACCCGATGAAATTTTGTTTGGAAAGTCGAACGTTGCGATGAATCATACAGTGCACTCTGTTCTCTGCTGTTGCTCTATCGACGATACGTTTGTTTGCGTTATTCCTTTCGTCCATTACTCCCCTCGAACCCCTTTCTTTCTCGCTACAGATTATGACGTTTGATCGTTCGTACGCGATTCGAAAGCTGGCGTAGGGTAAGCCGAATGATCGGTGAAGACGCCACGGAGTAGGCGAGTTGTTGTAAAGAGGGAACGAAAAGTTCCGACTAGTCGAGAGGTCCAAGTCCAATCTCGTTATCGGACTTTTTTCTACCATCCGGCGGACATGTTGCCCCGTCACGGGTCAACGTACGCAACAATAGCACGATATTGCCGTTATTTGCGTTGAAACGTTCATTTTCATTTCGTGTCTCATTTTCAATAATTTATTTCCCGCGAAGAGAAACCGGGATCGAACGAGGGATGCGCAGGTGCGAAGGAGAGGAGGAACGCTCGATGGGGAAGAAAAAGAGGGAGAGGAAGGATGCGCCGCGGTGGATCGTGGATCTCGTAAAATGGCCGCTCTGCCGAGATGCGAATGGCAGAGAAGGTATTCCTTTCTCTCCGCGCGCTCCGCCTTTATCCCGGTCGAATCGACGCTGAAGCGTCGCCCAAATTTCAACCGGGAACCATCGTCTAAACGTCATCGATTCGGCTATCGAACTCCTCGAGTTCCCTTTTCAAACGCTTGAAAAAGTAATTGAAACCGCATAGGTATGCGAAAACACGAACGCGCGTTATAAGTCGATTTAACGACTCGATCGAACCAGGAAAATCGCACGGTGCGTTACGTCGCTCGTGTTCCTGTTTGCTTAACGCGAGCGTCCAAAGAAACTCGAGTGAGCAACGTTCGCGTACCATTGCGCTACGTTATTTACGATCCGTCTGGGTTACCCATTGTTTGCGAGCTTTTCGAAACGGCCATTTAACGTGTACCGGTAGTTTAAACTCAGCGACTACCGAGTTGTTCCGCTTTCCACCGTCGCGTTTTCGATTCCTCTCTTCTCACCACGGTTTAAGCTCGAATATTTAGTCAAGAGCATCGCGGTTCACGCGGAAAGGAAATTAGAGGAGCACGATGGCGAACCGAATCGATGGCGACTCTCGCGACGACTGATTTCACGAATATATCAATTGCCGCGTCCACGCGATACGTCCACGTTGTATCCGTCACACGCGCCGGTTTCTATCTCGGCAGCGTGCAACGCGGAATGGTGGGTGGTGTTCTATCGGCCGGTGTAGCAGCTACCGCGATACGACTTATCTCACCGGTGCCGATACACCGGTGCTCGGCCAAGAAACCTTTGCCTCCCTCCTGTCAGTACTCTTCTTTCAGCTTGTTAGCCTAGTCAAGATCGGTCGTCGCGCGGTACGCTTCGTGCTCCAGTTTCCTTCTGCATCCGTAATTACGTACCCGCACGGATCTTGCGAACGCGAATTATTTCTCATTCGTTCGGTATCGTCGAATATAATCGTTCGTGTCTATTCGCGCATTTCATCTTTCATTATCGGTCGCGTGCAGCGGACTCGAGACCGATCGAAAAACGCGCGCTTTTTTTCGCTACGCGTTGAAATAAAAACGCGGCTTCGTATGGAAAGGAATCGAGCCAGCGGAGGATCGAGTTGGCAGCCACTGTCGGTGTGCAACTACTCCAGATAAGGTATCGGTCGACCGCCGCGCCGGTCCGCGATAACGCTTCGCAGCATGACCCAACGTAACGCGCATCGTGCCTCCTTTGCCTCCTACCTTCGGCCCTCTCTTTCCCTCTGTGCTTCTATCTCTCCCCTGTTCCCTCGCACCTTTCCCCCGTAATTCCACGTTAATTTCGGACGTTACACGCGGCAGCTATGGCACGGGAAACGAATGGAAAATAGCGGCGATAAGAATTGCGAACGGCTCGGGAACGTTTCGACGTTTCGAGGAAACGGTCACATCAGGTATTAGGCGGCGCGAGTTTCTACGCGAATCGGTCAGCTTATCGGAATGTCCTCGAACGCGAGCGTCCTCGATCGACGATATCGTCGTTTCTTTAGCTACCGCGTTTACCTCGACTAACTCGAACGAGGCACGAAGAAAGAAAACGAGAATCGAGGAGAGTAACATCGTGCGAAGATGGAAAGGAAGCGAGCGGGATTTAGGGAAATCTATGTTTCTGGCGGGAAGAAGGGCGCGTAAGGTGGCATCTCGAAAGCGATAGAATTGATAGGGATGATAGAAACGCTTACGTGTACCGAACGTCGGAGACGTAGCATAACTGGCGGTGGTGATAGGGTAATCTTTCACGGACAGAGATTAGCCAAGGACGCGCAGATAAACCGCGACATTGTTAACGCGTCTTTCTCTTTCGCTTTTACCACTTCCTTCTTCTACCTCCCGTGATTTCGAGCAGCCTCGATCGTTGACTCGAGTATTTCACGATACCCGTGACACTCGTTTTTACCTTACCGTTCGTTCTCTCCTAAGTTTCGCGCAACGATAAACGTATTCAACCAACGTTGAATTAACGTTCTCCATGTAGGAGAACGACCACCTGCGGTCACGTTCATAGGGGTTTCGTTTACGTTTCTTTCTTTTCAATTTTCCGTACAAGAGACAGCTGAGCGAACAATTCTCGGCGAGTAGAAGCGAGAAACGCGTTCGCAATCGAGGCACGGAACCGGCGACGATAACAGGAAAATACCTACTCCGGTTATTTTCCCATGCGAGCCGGTGAACGGAAACAAAGCTGGAGTGAAAAAAAATTGGAAGACGTGGTTGCGGCCGGTGTCGGACGATTCGCGTGTCGTCGTTTATGCGGGCGTTATCGGTCGAAACTCCTCGTCGGGTCGAGTCGAGTTTCGATCGTCCGCGAACCATTCGGAACGGCATGCTCGAAGCTTTACTCGAGGGAAAAAAAAGGCTAGCGTGGCTCGTTAGTCCCTTAGGAACGCGAACACCGCCCCGAAAACGCCCCCGCTGTACCACCGGTTATCTCCGCGTACCAGACGCGAAACCGGCTCCGAATTACCATCCGTCCGTCGTCGTTCCACGAAACGTTCGACTCTTCTTTCTTTCTTGATTTTCAACCGATTCAAGGGTATATCTGTGATCTAAATTCCAACCCTCGTAATTGATGAATCGATGCAAAGGTGCAGCGAGCTAATGCCATCTGTGACTCGCTATTAGAACGACTCGATCGTACGCGTTAATTAAGAGGCAAGTACGAATAAATATCGTTGAATTTCAATGAATTTCAATCGCTTCGCAGGGATGATCGGTAAAATATGCAAGCACCTTAGGATTTTCGGTTCCGATGGGTAGTGGATCGTAGTAAACGGATAATCCAAGACGCGACAAAGCACCGTCGTAAAATAATAACGAGGCAAATATTTGTGATCGTCCTTTGGAAACCGCCTAACTGGTCGTTCGGTGAAAAATTGTACGCGCGACCGAGTGTATCTCTAGTCCGTGGTAATCTTGTTCGTCACCTTGATGCAGAGAAACAGGGACAGACTAGCGGGCATGGACAAACTAGGGGACGTTCCATCCGTCTCGTCGGTTAATCCCGTTGGGATTTCCAGTGCGTTTTCCTCTTCGCCTCTGTTTCTTTTTCCCTCCTCGTCTCGTCGACGATTTGCAATCGGTTTCTTTTCCCTCCGTTCGTTCGCTGTCCGTCGATCGGAGGATCTTCATCGATTTCGAGGACGCGACTGGAAAAGGGTAGCCGTTTCGAGCGGTTCTTTCTCTCCTTCTCTCATTTACTTTTTCTTTCTTTTCTCTTAACAAAACGTAGATTTTGTTATCGCTCTGGGACAGGAGTCCGGCAACGAAACCGGATGTCCGCCCGCGCAGGATGTGACGTCAGAACTGCTGTTCGCTGGCAGGCCAGTGAGTACCGTAAACCTGCCCGCTCCCCCGCCCCCCCCGTTCTCTCTTCACTCCTCTCCTCTCCTTGCATTTGCTTGCTCGTTCGCTTTGCTTGCCTAGCCCGCCTGTTTGCCTGCTACGCAAACAATTTTTCGCTCCACACCCCGCGCACCCTCTCCTAGGGAATTCACGCACATACGGGGTCGAGTGTCTGTCGTTTGTCGCGCGCTTTTCCTTACCTATTTTCAATTTTTTTTTTTCTTCTCTCTTTGAATAGTAGCAAAGGAAAAGAGAAAACAAGGATACGGATATTTTCACGAAGTCTATCCTTCGGTTTTGCGGTGTTGTAAAAACAAACGGTCGTTCCGTTTCGAAGAGGGATTACGTCGCGTTGCTCCAATTCCTTCGACTTTCGAGGCGAGAAAGTCTTAAGTGGTCTGTTTGTTTATCTTAACTGGTGTCGACTCGTAAGGACTTAGAAGAACTTGACGCTGAGTTCTATGCACGTTCACGGGTGGAGGTAACGGTACCGGCAAATTCGACCCCTTCGCGTACCGAGAAAGAAACGGGTAACCAGGGAGAAGGTTACGAAGAAACGAGGGCCGAATGTATGCGGTATCGGGACGAACTAATAACCATCTCTCATGCTGCAGCTGCGAGCCGAGAGCTAGAAAATTAACTCGAAAATCCTCTCGACTTAATATCCCATTACGGTCTCGATGCGAACATAGTGGGGCACCGCTCACGACCTACGACCTCTCGACGACTGATTTATTACCGCTTCGCTCCCTCTGTTTCTTGGCTCGTCTCTCTTTTCCATAAACTCTCCTACGGATCTTTAGCTCGGCAAACGAAATCGCGGTCAAATTATTCGAGATTATCGAGGAGAAAATTTACTTGAACTCGGAACGATTTTATATTCCTTTCCACTAAAGATGCTCCAAACCCCCCCTCGGAAAACTAGTATCGCGTTTAAGTACCAAAAGTTTCAGAAAAAAAGAGCAGTAAACGCGTGACATAGTTATCGTCCGCGCAGTTAACCGTTTACGATCGTCCGCTGAAAAATGCCCTGGCGGAAAGTCGGTGGTTTTAAACGCAGGTTTACGAGGGTGGCGCTTAACCGGGCTTGGAATTCGAGAGGGAAAATTCTTTGGATGAGCTGACCGTGGCTAAGAGGGATGAGAAGAAAGGAAAAAGCGTGTCGAGTCTGTTGCGTCGCGATCGACACCCTTCTCGTGTTACGCCACGCAGTCTGCGTTTTGTTGTTTCGCGGCTCGTGACGGTTGACACGGAAAACGGATCGTCCTCAGGACTCGAGTGTCCACCTTGAAACACTCCACTCTGGAATGGCTTGTTTCGTGTCTGTCGTTGGGAGTTTCCTCGACTCCTAGACGGATCGTTGATGGATCCCTCTATTACGACGATCGATCGTTTAAAGAAATCGGTAAAGGATCGGTAATTGGGAGGTCTTAAGATTCATGGCTCGTTTGTCGTTCCTCGAGACGCGGGTTCGGTCGGGTTCGAAAGTTAATGGGGCTAGACGAATCCGGGGACGGTGGGGGTTGAAACTCAGCTCGACCGTGTTTTGTAAAAAACCACCAGAGAAATTCGACACGCGGTATATTCCCTGGTAGTCGTCGAAATACGTCCCACTGGATTTCGATAAATTCCCTTCGAGAAACTTGTACGAGTTCGCGACGCGGCCGGTTAGTTTTAGACGAGCCGCGAACGCAGGTCCGCTTCCGGTATGGTTTATGGCTCATGGGGTACCCTTGCTGTTTCTCCCTGTCACCTTCTTTCCTCCCCCAGCTGCGCGCCAACGGTCGGCATTGTTTCCCGTCTCGGGGCATCGCCAATGATTCAACCGCGGTCTCCCTTTCTTTTTCGTTTTTCTCTTTTAAAAGGTGAGCAAGCTTTAATATTTACCTTCCTTCCTTCCTTCCTTTCCTTTTTCCTTCAAACTGCGTACCTTTTTATTACGGGGGAAAGTCTCCGAATTATGGACCATCCGAGGAGGTTATAATTTAAATTAGTGGAAAAATATTTTCGAAACATAGAGAATAGGAAAAATGAGGAAAAAGGATGAGGATAGTTGCAAGGTTCAAAAGACGAATTAAAATTGTCTCTCTCTCCATGGTCCGCCGCGTCGTCCTGGGGTTCTCTCCATGGTCCGCCGTCCGAGGGTTAAGAAACTCATTGTATTTATATTCCTTACCTTTTTTGGAGAAAGGTTAATCATTAGGGGTTAACAACTGTACACTTTATCCTATCGGACAGTTGTGGTTTCGCGAGTAATAGATTGTCGCGCGTCGTGGTCGCGTGCCAATCCGTATCGCCTTATCGAACTTATCGTTCTCTATCGTTTACCAAAGCAGCGTCGCGCGTACCGCGTCGCTTTCAACGCGAAAATCCTCTCCCAATGAAACATTATAAACGTACAAAGCGTCGGTCCGTGGTTTGGTAGGAGCCAAGACACCTGGCTGTCGGCTTATCGAACGCTGCACCAAGAAACACAACTTGCTCTCCCTGTAAAGGACGTTCGGGTCTTCGTACAATGGTATCGCTGTTCTTTCGCCGAGCATCTGGAAAACCTTGGTCTACCGCTAACTTTATTCTCCTCATTCCACGCTAGCAAATTACACGCTCCGTCGGTTGTTCGTTCTTTTTTTTACTTGGAATCGATGGTCGAAGAGAGAAACGAAAATGATGGAAGCGTTGACAGTCGGGGAGTAGGAATATAAGCGAACGGTGGAACGGATGAAGAGAGAAGAGCGACGGAGGAGAGGATCAAAGAGGTCGAGATAAAGAGGCTATTCAAATCTCTGAAAATCTCGTCGTAAACCGCATCGATATATGCCGTCTCGGTCGCTTACGTTGTGGATAACAGTAAGCGTTTTTATGGGGCTAAGAAGATAAGAACAACCTCTGCCCCCGATGTACAAAACGTCTTCCGTTCGGCCAGCGAGTTGGAATCTCTGTTCTCGCTACCGCTTCCATGGAGAACGTTAACCTCGTTTCTTTGACCAACGGAGCTGGAAGAATCCTCCTATTCTCTTTGCTCGATCAAGCTTTACCCTTTCACTTAATATACTTACCTGTTTGAAAAAAAGGAGAAAGGTAAATGGACGCGAATGAAATTACTTACATATTTTTATTTGATATTCTTCAAGCGCATTAATGGCTCCAAGACGATGGTGCGCTCTAGTTTCGCAACGCGAGAGCAAGAAAGAGGTTTCTCGACGCGACGTCGATCGCGTATTTTCTTCGTTCGAGTGATTAATCGGGGTCGCGGCTTCTGCGTCTTCGCGCCACCGCGCACCACCGCACCCATCGGTCGCCGGATCGCGTCGCATCACCGCGAATTCTTAACGATTCGCAACAATGAAGTTTCATTTCCGATAAACGAACGAGCTTTCGATCGAACGTTGTTCCCGGGATCCTCGAGTTCGCGAGTCGCGTTCACACGCGTCGCGCCGTTTCCAGCTCGTCCCGTGTTTATAAATTATGTTCCTCGGAACGGGGGGGCGACTCGTACTTGGACCTTTCGCGAAAAATATGTTTTTTAATAGAATTCGCCACGAAACGAACCGCCAGATAATCCGGTGAGCCTGACCTTTCCAATTCGATTAGGTAATGTCAATAAGGTCGGCTGAATGTTAAACGATTGATACAGAGCGTGTTTGGTCAAAGATATCGGAGTAGTCGTCTTCGAACATCCACCGATACATCCTTTCCTCGGGATGAAACTTCTTTCTTTCCGTTCTTACCTTTATCTTTTTGATTCTCTCACCTCGATGTCGAATGTAAATTTCCTCTCCTATCTATCTTGGCCACGCACGATGGCGATGTAATTACATGTTTGAAATCATTTCGCAATCGTACGATCGGTGATCGATAAGAAGATGCGCCGATAACTGATCGATAAGTAGAACGACGCTTCTGTGGACAGTTTGATTGAATGAAAGAAAAAAAACAATTTCTTTATTTTTCACGCTTCTAAAAATAATCATTGTCGTGTTTTTATCTATTTTCATTGTTACCGTCTACCCATCCATTCACGCAAACTGTTTTCTCGGTTCCGAGTTCGAATGTACTATAGACGCGAGGCGACGCGCAAACACAGAAGATCGCGACCGAGGAGAATACACGAGTATGCACGACCGCTAACGAGCGGCTGATAACAACGATCGGTTATTTTTGTAACTTACTGGCTAGCAACAGTGATCGGAACGTATCGAGTACGGGGTACCTTCGATCTATAATCGATCTTCTTTCATCGATTGCTTATAGAAAATGATTTATCATTCGGAATACGGTCGGTGTACGGCTTTCAAATACAATACGTAATGGGTAATCGATGATCAATTAAATCTGAAAAATGAACGCGTCCTAAATCAGACGCAATTATCGTCGTTCAACGTTTCAGTTGAACTTTGAATTTAACAAAAACGATGAAAAACGAACAATTGGACATACATATTTGTACGTTTACATAGTTTGATAGGTGGTTAAAATTAGAAACGGTTGCAGAACTGCTCGAGTACGCGGACGAAGGGACGGAGTATGGGAGGGAAAGAGTCATAGAGGTCGTTGGTGAAGAGAGAAGCGAAGAGTACGAGGAAGAGAGAACGGATAAACAGATGCGTTCGAAAAGCAGGGCGATAGTTTCGGAGCTTTTTCGAGGGCAGCAGGAACAGCAGCAGCAGCAGCAGCAGCAGCAGCAACAACATCAGTTAGGGTATGGAAAGCGCGACGCCGACGAAGGCGGGGACGCGGTGGGCGTGCTGGAGGCGGGACAGCAGGAAATTGAAAATGGCGCGATCGTGAAGTCGAGTAGCATCGAAGCTGTGGTTATTACAGTTTCGTCGAATCATGGAAACGATGCCAGCGCCACGTACGAATTGCATTCCCTCGATTATCACGATCCGGTCCTTCGAGAAAGGTGAGAGCCAAAAAATTTAATTAATTTCTTTATTTCGGAGTCAACGACCTGTTACAGAGTTATCATTTTATTGTATTGATACAAAGATAAAATATTTTTTTACAAATTTTTCTACTCTTTCCGCGAAGGGTATATCTGGAACAGGATTCCAGTTGCTACGGGGGTGGTAACTCGAGCAACGGGGAGGAGCAAGAGCAGCAACAACAACAGCAACAAAGGGAACAACATCGTCAGCAAGAGGTTTCCCAGCTCCCCCACCAGCAGCAACAACACCATCAACAGCAAAGCCAGAACCACCACCATCGAGCTCAGTATGTCGAGCTGGGGGCGAGAGAGCACTCGGTTGGAAAGGGTGGGGATAACGAAGAGGCGAGTGAGGGCTCCGCGTTGCCGGAGGGAAAACGAGCCGACAGTCACGCGCCTCGCTCGACGATGCATCGTTACGGTACTGAGGCGCTCTCGCCGACCGCGACCGATCATCACAACCACCACCACCACCACCACCAGCACCTCCACCTCCATCATCGCCACCACCATCATCAGCAGCAGCAACAGCAGCAGCCGCAGCATTTGCAGTCGGACGATTCCCAACGTAGCGCGCTTTCGTCTACCGGTCATCGTCGCTTGGACGAACACGAATCGCAGTCGCAACCACGCTCGCAAACGCAATCGGTTCAACAGCAGCACCAGCAGGTAGAGGAAGACGCGGAGAGAGCTAGCGGTATCGTGGCAGCCATGAGAGGTGCACGGGGTGACTTCAGTTTGAACGTACTGTTCCCGAATCTCGGTATCGCCGGTGCTAACAGTACCGGCGGTGACGTCGGACCGGCCGATCATCATCATCAACAGCAACAGCAGCACCATCATCAACAACAACAACATCATCCTCATCATCATTCGTTGGATGAGGTGTTGCCGGACGATGCGTATCTTCAGCATCAGATACGCGGTGGAAGTGGAGGTGGTGGCGGAGGTGGTGAGGGTAGTAACGGCGGTGGAGGAGGTGGAGGTGGTGGCAGTGGTGGTGTGGACAATGGCGGCGGTGGCGGAGGATCGCCGACTCTTCGGACCGGTAGTTCACCGGGATCCAGTCGCAGCCCGCACGACGATCAAGGAATCTCGTCGCCGCATCGTCGAGGCCAACCGGACGGCGGTTACAGCCCTACCGATCAGGGTAGACAATCGTACGCTCACTTGACGGCGATGCAACCGCCGTCCTCGGTGCAACCGAACCACGGTCTCGGTCAGGATGCCGATCGTGTATCCGATCAGCTCTACATGGAGTCGATGTACACACATCACTCGGCCGGAACGCCGCATCATCATCAGGATCACGAGCAAGGATCGTCTGCTCCTCACTCGCCCAGCGGTCCTTTACCAAGGTTAGCATTTCAAATTTCTTTACCTTCAATACGTGGATACGTAGTTGAAAATTGTGTTGCACGCGCACGCGCGACCCTCGGTTACCGATCAAACGCAACGAAACCTCGCAAAGCTATTTGCAGAACGGCTTAAGGGATGCTCGGTGTTCCGAAGGTTGTATACGTAGGCGATACACAAGACGAAAAATAAAACTAAACCGACGATGGAAAACAGTGCGACGCCTCGGTGGCCCTTGTGCCAACAGTTTTGTGAAAACGTACAACGTCCTTTGCCCGAATGGTCTGTTTGCCGATTGGTCTCGGGGCACGAGCCGCGCGTCCCCTTCGATTCTTCATCGATCCCTTTCCTCTTCCGAGCTTTTCCATCGCGATCAAGAATCACGCTTGCGCCTCTCGCTGCTCCTTTTTACCGATCGCCGACTACCAACCGATAAGAGTTTATTGACTCCGATAGAAACGGATTCTCCGATCGTCGTTGTTCATCTTGCTCCGTCAGAGAGGTGCGTTACCGTTACCGCATTTTCTCCGATTTTTCATCTTCAACGATGCGAAGGATCAGTGAAACGATCTTCAGGGAAGCGACGGTAGAATTATGGAGACGAAGAGGATCAGTCGGGTTTCCGCACGCTCTTTGGCCCGACTGGGTCGGTCGCTCTCGTGTTTGTCAATGTCCTCATGCGGCGTGCACGTGCACGGGCCACGACCTTCGAATTTAGATATCTAAAGTTCGGGTGCAGAGGACGATCCGTTTCTCGTTTTCTCTTTTTGCGGGATATCTCGTTGTCGAGATTAACGGACGATCCGGTGACGCAAAGTATCGTCGTTTACGATCGACGATACGGAACTCCGTTACCCTAAATTCTCTTCGTTTCTTCGTCTTCACCTTTTCGATTTCAGCCGTCGGTTAAATAACCTTCCTCCCCCGGGGGTGTGGGATGCTTTTCTGTCTCTTGTTTGGAGAACGAACGAAACCAGAGATCGTGTAAATCGTAATCGTCGCTCTTCGACGTAAAGTTTGGCATGAATCATCGTTAGGTTTACAGTCCGGCAGAGTGGTACCCGTTGCGTTCCAAGAAACCTTCCAGTGTCGTGTGACGCGACATCGAGCAATGCTTTGAACTCGGCATCTCTTTCGTTGGTACGCTTAAATACGAACACTTTTAATTATTAACGATATCGATCGGAAGTGGTAATTAACGTTCTTAAAATCCGGGATTTAGGGGATGATCGTTGAAATGGTGTCGGCGACGTGGATGAGTTCGCGGGAGGATAGTGGAGTTAGCGATCGGGTAAATCGGTGGATAGATCAAGAAGCGGAATGGCGATGGAGGGGATGAGAGATAGTAGGGGAGGACGTTTATCGAGGGCGGGAGCGAGGCATCTCGCGAGAGGGGACGAAGAGAATAAAGAAAGAAAGGAAGGAAGGAAGGAAAAAAGGAACGAGGAAGGGAGAGATCCGCGGAAGGGGGAGTCCTGAGCACGTTTCATGGTCCTCCAACGCCATTCGCTTCGACGTTTCGTGCATCGTTGGTTTATATCCCGGGTCAGTTGGAGTCTCTTCGCTCGTGCCTTTTCATCAATCGTGTTTTCTTCCCTTTTTCGCCGAAGGGAAACGTTCGAGGAACATAGAAACGGAAGAAGAAGAAGAAGAAGAAGCGTATCGCGCTAGACAGTATGCAGTGAGTGGCTCAAATGTTACACTTTATTTCGTTTCTTCGTCTCTCTGTTTGTACGCCGGGCGTCTCGATATCCGGTGGGTGATGCAACGCGTCGATACGAAGAGCGATAAGAACGTTCGATGCTCGGATAAAAAACTAACGGGCGTCGAAATCGCGTGGAATCGGAGGTTTGCCAAGCGATTCGCGACGCGCGGTATCGGTGTTTCCGTTTTCCAATCAAACTTCCCCTCTTCGAAACGAGATTCCATTGCAATTTCGCGCCATTCGATAATGGCGCTTCGCGGGGAACGCGAAACGAAAACAGAGTAGATAAAAATGGAAAAGCGATAAGGTTTGCGGAAAGGTGCGATATTGAATTTCTCGTTTCAATTTTATTTCGACGAGGAAGAGAACGGGGGTTGCGAACGGTGGTACCGATAGGTAGACTTCTCAGAGTATCGGACCCCTCGCCGAGTTTCTTCCTCGGCTCCGTAACGCGCTATCGTGAGAAGCGGCTTATCGAGTCGGAGGATTCAGATAGCGATCCGGTAGCAGGGGCTATAACCCTGTCGTCACCGACCTTCTAGATTGAGTTTCGCGATATCTGCATTCTTCGCGACTTTTTTTTTTTTCTCTTCTCTCCCTCGCGCTTTTCTCCGCGGCTGTTACCTCTCCGTTACGTCGCGTCGGTCCAGAAGAAAACGAAACTAAACGGAAAGGAAGGAGAGGTAACTTCGACAACAGTGGAGTCGTTGAACACGATCGACCTATACGTACCGCGAACGAAGGTGTACGCTTGGCGGAGAGGAAGGAAAGGAAAGAAGCAGATTGCGAGAAGCTCGATCGAGAACGTCTTAGAAAGATTCTCGGAAGAAACTCGAGCGGTCGGTCGTTCGAGTTTCCCGGGACGGATAACGCGTTGGGTGCGTGTACGCGACTCCGAAACCGATCCTCCCCGCGGAAGGGCCTCGGCGATCGTGACACCGATCTCCAGTTATTCGATTCACGGAACGAAAAAGACGAATGGAGGAAAGGTGAAAAGTAGGGTTCCGTTTCGAGGCTCGTTCGAAGCGGATCGCGTGCCGTGTACTTATCCGCGTGGTTGCGCACGATGTTGCGATCGTGTCCGTAGAAACGAGGAGCAAGCAGCACGTGCTACGCCCGTGTGCACCGTTTCCTTCCTCGTTTACGCTGGCCGACTCGAAGGTGGTCGCACCTGGTGAAGAAAAAAAGTGATACGGGACGATGCTCAACGCGACGCGATCCACAGTTTCTTTCTCCGCTCCGTTCCCCGCGGTTTGTTTATAGGCTCGCGACGTTTTCACGTTCGCGAAACGCGAAGGCCATCGTTGACACGGTTATCGATGTGTTTCTCTTGTACGATAAACGCGATGGAAGCATCGCCGTTCGACTACGTTTCGAGGGAAACGTCGAATCGTCCACGGAGCACGTACCGATCGAACGGTACGTGTCCGTAGGAACCGCGGCGAGTTTCAAGGCTGCGCGTTTCACGCTTTAGTTTGCCTCGTCGCATCCGCGCTGATAAAGAGAGCACCGTACCTCCGTCAACGATCGGTTCGTGTCTAGCTACCGTGCTGGCGATCCGTCGACGTCAACCGGGCCGTCGACGCGGGTTAATTTCGAAATCGCGTACGAGCCACGCGCGTCGTTCGTTCCCCGCTCGTTGCGCAATGCAACGATCCCAGCGTTTCTTCTCCTCCTCTGTTCGCGAACGTTTTTCCAACTCGTTTCCCCGAGCGAACAGCTTCTCGAGGCTGTTGCTACGAGCCTGCGAGCAGTTCAGGTACGGAAAAGGTGGATGTCGCTAATGGTAACGGTATTGGTGGTAATAGCGTAGGTTAATGGAGGTAATGGAGTAGTTGTGTTCCGGGTAGCTCTAAGGGGTCATCGAAAAACGTGCCTGCGTGTTGGCGCGTGCCCGCATTTACGGCTCGACGAATCGAAGAACCGTTCTGCCGCTTCCGGTCGGGCCGCGGAACATTAGCCTGGCTTTCGCCGTGCAAGAATTCACCGATCGCCTATTTCTCCGGCCCGGCAATTCCCTCGGGTAGGGGCGTGCGCGATCCTCGTACGGATTGATCGTAACTTCCATCTCGATCGTGTAATACGCTTTGTTTTCAGCTCTTTGTATCGGACGATGAGCGGTGTGAGCACGATGACGGCGAGTGCGGCAGGAAGCGGAGGCGCATACTCGCTTCCTTACATGACCGCCAGCCCCACGGAATTGACCGGTTCGCCGCAACAGCTATGGAACGCTCAAGGTAATTCGAAGGATTTAATTGAAATTTAAGGAGCTTTCTAATCGATCGACCGATCTCGACAGGTGCGTTGAGCGCGGCACTTCCGTCGATTTCGGAGGATTACGGCGGTGGCGGCAAGTCGTCGGGAACGGTGACACACCAGGCACTTCCAGGTTTTTCGCAACCGTTCTGCGGCAGAGCGAGTTTCCGAGGATACAGCCCGTCTTATTCGAGTCAACAGAGCAGCGGAGGAGTCGGAGCGGCCGGTGTCGACGCGTCTTCCTGGAGTTACGCCTCGTCGACGAACGACGCGTTGAGCACCCAATACGCGACGCCCTCCAGACGACAACCGGTGAATCCGTCCTCGACGCCCACGCAGCATCAGCTCAGCGCAACGGCTAGTCTTAGCGCCAGTGAGTACATCTTTATACCTAGTTTCATTCTATTTTCTCTCTCTTTTTCTTTTTTTATGTTTTGCCTCGCCTCCGCCTACGAACACATCGATTCGCGATCGTTTTCGTTCCCCGCAACGACTCCGTTTTTCTTCACGGCGACGAATCGTCTCGCGTTACGTTCCGATGACTTCGAAAGACGATAAATCGTTGGCGCTTCGTAGGGTGCGCGGATCGTGTTGCGTAGATCGTAAATAACGAGAAAAAAAGGATTCGATCCGTCGCTCCAAAATCGTTCGACATTCGAGGGTGGGAGAGAGGAGGGAAAAAAAAAGAGACAGAGACGTATCGATGGCCCGGGTGGCGCGGGTCGACCGCTTCTTGAAAGGAAAATATCGCGTTACAGTATTTTTTTGTCATTCTTACGCCCCCTTCTGTGTCTGTCTCTCTTTTTCTCTCTCTTGTTTCCCTTCTTTCCATCGTTCGGCGTGAATATCGTTCGATCCCCGTTGGAAATCGCGTCGATCTTGCTACGATTTCGCGTCCATCTCCTTCGTCTCTCCTCTCCTACCGTCATCATCGACACGACCCGCCCCTCTTCTTCCCGTTTCTCGGGAATCGCGTTATCTTTCGTGCAAAATACGAATGGAAACGTACTCGGCCGGTCGCGTGGCCGCTGTACACGCGCGATCCAGAGGGAATAGGTACGAACAGTCGTACGAATATCCCTGGTTATCGCGATCGGTCGACGATTTATCAAGGGTCGCGGCGAAGCGCCGCATCCACGTGTTTTGGCGAATATCGCCGGTGCGACGTCTTCTTTCGTCGACCGAGCGTGCTACACGCGGTCGGTTTACCGTATCGAAAGAGACGTTGATACGAGGAACCGACCCTGACCTAGACAACGTACAACAACGCTAATCTAGCTTCGTCTACGCGCGATACAGAGCTACGATAATGAGCGGTCGATGTATCTAAAGTTGTTCCGGGACCGCGAATTTCAGATAATTTCGAACGTATCTCGGGAGCCGGGCGTCGCGCGACCAGGGTACGTTACACCTTTAATCGAGCCACGCGACTGATTCTCATTCTGTCGATCAACTCGCGCGACTCTGATCGTTGCCCTCCCTCGTTTTTTAATTAAACGAAGAAATCTTGAAATAGTCGCTCGTTCGACGGCGATCTTGAAATCGCGAACTAGTCGCGATTGAAATAAAAAAAGTACATTTGGCGACGATTCGCGGTCGAAAGCGTTCGTCGGAGGATCGTTATTTTTACGCCGCGCGTTATTGTAATAATACAACGGTTGCCGCGATAACGTTCGTGTCGGGTGCATCGCGCGACGCAATCTCACCGAAGGACTCGAACGGTTCAAAAGGTCGTCTTCGGCTTCTTTTTTTAATCCGACCGACGTACATCTCTCTCTCTTTCACTCTTTTTTCCCCTGTTTTCGTCGTCGACCTCGCGCAGACGAAACAATATTAAAAAATAAGCGACGCGTCTCTTTTCTTTCCTCCTCGTCGCGAATCGAATTGCGTTCGACGATCGTTCGCCGTCGGCACCCGTCGCGTTTCCTCCCCGGATGACACTCTACGCCCTCGTGGTTCTTTTAAACGGCGAAGAAATGCAGAACACCGTCGAGATGGGAGGAAGGGGGAAAAAAATACGGCTCGTTTTAAGGGGGTGCGCGAACGTCGAAAGGTTTTGAAGTGGCGCGTGGTCCTTTTTCGGAAACGACGTTATGCGCGTGTGGTTTTCTACGGTGCCGGTCTCCGCTTTATCCGACAGTTACAGGCAACGGAGAATGCGGCTTTTAACATACCGCGATCTCGAGTGGTCTAGAACGCGGACGAGCATCGGTAGACGAGGCATCGTCGAGGAAAACCCGATGGAAGTAACGGCGATGCCAACGACAGCCGCCCTTTTGCCAGCACGCGCCTGGCATGGCCTGTCACAGTCTGCTCTATCCCAGGCATCGTCTGGCCTCGGTTTAACTTTAACTTTCTTTGCCAGATTTCTCCTCTTGGATCGTCCCATAGCGAGCTGATGTCCCGTGTCTTCGCAACTTTTTAATCACCTCGCTCGTTAGCCGCGTTCCCTCGATTCGATGCACCTGTTGCGCGCATTTCCAAATTGAATTAAAACGCAAAGTATCTGAGATTTATAGAGGTTTTTTTTTATTTTAACCCTCCAACATTGAGAGAATTTTCATTTTTCAGAACTTGCCTTCGAGTTTCTATTTTTATTTCAAGAATTTTTATTTTTTCATCACAAGTTCCACTTGGATGTTAAATTAGAAATTTTAATAAATATTTTAGAATTTTTTAAAGCATAGAATAATAATAGGAAGGGTTAAAATAAAGAAACCAATTCTCATATATTCCACTCTGAATTTATTTCAATTCAAAGATACACTTAATTTGGATAACCCTTTATTTCCTCCATTTCCCTCGTCTAGCCGTTGCACTCGTTCGAAGCTTCGCCCCTTTCTTCGCCTCCGGTAATTCGACTTCGCTGTTCCTTTCGTTCCACGTCGCTTAGTCATCCAAGGTGGCGTCGGCTCATCATCATCGAATACTCACTTACGAACAGCCTAACAATTTCCGCTATGTCGTTGATCAGCACGCGTTCTCTCGATTCCATTTCGCGAAACAACGTGAAAATTCGTTGAAACATTTCCAAATACCTATTTACCATTTCGCATTGTTTCGGGATCTTGAGCGACCGTAAACGAGCCCAGGTTGAAGAATGCAGCCCCTCGGGTGACGCGTCGCAATCGGTCTGTGAACGGGTCAAGAACGGCGCCTAAAAGACGGGCTAAAGCAACTAGAGCCACGCGCAATAACGAGCGTACCGTGTTGTTCCGTGACGAGTTTATTTGCTTACATTTTCCTCTCTCGCTCTTTCTCCGCGTCGTCGTACGGTGGACAGAGGTCAGAAGATCGTCGCCGACGTCAGCGACTCTTGGCTTACCTATGTACGATATCCGATTGCTTCCCAGTCGGTTTTCTGCAGGACACGCGAGATTAGTGCACCGACCTTTTTCTCCTTCTCGTTTCGAGATACGCGTAACGTCTCTCGAGAGAGTAACGCGAGACGAAGTCCGACGTAGTCAGAAATCCATAAGGGATCTTCGATACTTCGTTAGAATCGCGTATGGAAAATCGTTAGCGTAGGGCGATGCAAATTGGTAGAGCGATAGCGTGGCGAACTAGCCAACGGCTGCTAGTTGTTATTATCGAAAGCACGCCGGAAGTGGCGATAACGCGGCGTGTCCCTCTACATCCTTTCACGCGAGTTGCTGCGTTCCAGAACTGCCGCGTTTCCTGCGATCCTTTCCTCCTCTTTCGTCGGCTACGTTTCGCTCGCTTTTCCGGCGCGAGCGCTCCAAGAGGACCGCGAGTTTCGTAGCCGTAGTTGCCCGCCACCGATACGCCGGAAACGCGTGTAGACTTTGTGGATTTCCTTCAAATACCGCCTCGAGCACGAGTGAAAACTCGAAACGACCGTAGGCGTAGGAAAAGTACGAACGTTTAAAGTCGTACATCGTTTCACGACGCGATGCGTCGGTGAATCGTCTGTTTTTCTATGTATTTACACGTGGCAAGGTAGGAGGCGCCTTAGGCTTTCGACGTTATCTTTTTCCAACGCGCACAAACGAAACCGGGAAAACGGGAACGAAAACGATCGAAACCGTACGTGGTAAAGTCGCGATCCGCTGCTCCATTTGTAAATCGCGTCCGCTCGAGACAACGGCGAGGGGCATGGTTTCCATTATGAAATACTGTACGAACTCGCGCAGTGCACAACATCGAGGCGGAATACTTTACGGAGGGCCGCGAGTGCGTAAATTGCGGTGCAATTTCCACTCCGTTATGGCGGCGAGACGGTACCGGACATTACCTCTGCAACGCATGCGGTCTCTACCACAAGATGAACGGAATGAATCGTCCCTTGGTGAAGCAGCCGCGGCGATTGGTAAGAAAAGGAAGAACGCCGTCTTTTTCTCTTTCGGGACGTTCTTTTCTCCTGGACGCGCGATTCGGATGCAGCTTGAGAGAGAAAAAAATTAAAAAAAAATTAAAAAAAAAAAAAAAAGAAATACCGAGAACGAAAACGAGCAAGTGTTGAATGAAAGAAAGAAAGAAATAGGAGAAAAATCGGACCGAAGAAGCGACGGATATACGGATAGAACAGGAGCCTGTGTGGAAATTCGCCCGTGAACCCGTGATTTCAATCGCGCTAATTATTATCGAAATTATATATATATATATATATACATATCCCGATCCGCGTGTTCTCGCGTCTCGTCCGTTCGTCGGTTGGTTCGTTCTCCGCCTGTCGAAATGAAAATGGATTTCGACGCGTGTGCGAATACGCGCCCCAAAGTAGAAGCACCCCTAACGTTTGGCATCCTGTCTCTGTTTCAGTGGCGGACCAGGGCGATTTCTACAAAGGCTTCTGTGGGTATAGTGGCGCCCGTCGCGCCTTCGAGGAGAAATCGAGCCGCCGTTTGGTAGGTGTCATCCCCCCAACTCTCTTTCTCTCTATCTATCTCTCTTTCATACATCGTTTCACACTCGTTTCGCTATCTGTAAACTTTGATACTTTTCTCCCTTTTCCCCTCTCATTTTAGCTCCCATTTATTCTGTTACGCGGATTACTCTCTTGCTCTTTCGATCCGTCCCATCGATATCTTTATTTTATGCTTGTTTTTTTTTTTTTTTTTTTTTTTTTGTTCTTTGCACTTTTTATTTCTGTTTATTTTTATATTCATCGTTTCATTAGCCCTCTGTGTCGTTCGTTCTGGTATTTATCACGCCGCTGCTCTTGATCGTAGGAAGAAACGTTTTATTCTTTCCTAGAGTTCTATGGTTGAACGTTTCTCGTAGCTTCGAGGTGCCACTATACCCATGGTACGATCGCTCTCCTTCTCGAAATCGCGCGTTCACCAGCGACGGATGGAAAATCGAGCCAGTCGCGAAAGGTTCGCGCGATTTCGCGCGGAGAGAGCAGCCTGTCGCGAGCGAAATCGAACCTAGTTTTTAATTTAAACTAGACGTAAGATCTTTCTTTCTTTCTTTCTCTATGTCTCTTCCTCCTTCCTTCGATCCTACTTCCGGTTCCTCCGACCTTTCGAAAGAATGGAAAAAAGTATATAAAGAAATAGTCGTCCGACTCGTCGCGTTCTCTCGTTCTCGTTCTCGTCGCTCCTACGGCTGTCCGAGTGCGACGTCTCTGTAGACCGATTTCGAGGCGTTTTAAAACCGATTTCGTGTTTGCGCAGTCCGCTTCGAGACGCGTAGGCACCTCTTGCAGCAACTGTCAAACCACCATGACGTCGCTCTGGCGTCGGAACACTTTGGGCGAGCCGGTATGCAACGCGTGCGGCCTTTACTATAAGCTTCACGGGGTGAACAGGCCTCACACAATGAAGAAGGACAGCATCCAGACACGGAAGAGGAAGCCGAAGGGCGGAATGAAGTCCACCGACACGCCGATCTCCGGATCCGTCGCGGCTTGCGCGAACAACAACACCACCGCCACCAGCAACAACAACAACAACAATAATAATAATAATAACAACAATAACAGCTTGAAGTTGGAACCAGGTGTGTATTCTTGTTAAGCCTATGGTTTAACCCATTCACTGTCAATTCCGATATCATTGCGCTACAAGTTTAGATTGGTATAATTGAATTAGGAATTGTTAGAAAGAATGAACGAAAATTTTGTATAATATTTTATTTTTTAAAAACAAATTTACAACAAATAACTTACGTTTCCTTAAAATAAAATCTTGGCGCCCAGTTTTAATAGTTTAACGATAGTTTAATTATTGAATAATGATTAGAGGAAGTGTGATTGATATTTCGATTCGAATTCTTCCGAATAGACACCTACGGCGACCTGAGGATGAGCCACGCAGGAATGCCTCAAGTGAGCTACGGGAACGCGTTGTACGGGAGCACCCAGCCACCCAGTAGGATAGTCTCCTATCAGCCGACGTATTACGACATGATCGCTAACCAGCAACAGCACCAACACCAGCAGCAACAGCTGCAGCACCAGTCGCAGCACCCTCATCAGCACCCACAGTTGATGGAGACCCACTCGCCGAAAGTTGAATGCCCGTCGCCGCCGTGCGCGAATCGATCGCCGGTTATGATATCAGCTGGTCATTCGCCCGATCATCACCAGCTCGCTACACCTCACATCGTGACACTCGGCAATTCCTCGCCAAGCGCGGCTACCAAGATGATACTTGACAACGGTCATCTGGACAGACCCACCGTCGTCTCGATATCATCTTAAAACCCGCGATCGTGTATCTCGTTCCTCGATATACCCGCGAGATCCTTTCCCCTCTTATCGACGTTACGTTATCGCGTCACGACGACGGGGCGAAAGGATTAATTTCGAAGGGGAGGAGAAACCGCGCTGTGTAATTCCTTCTTTCGATAGAAAACCGCGGGAAAACGAGACTCTTCTTTCCGACGAACACCGGACTCGTTGTAAATACTTTCGCCTAATGATAATATTGTAAAAGGCCGAACCATTTGTTCTTTCCACAGCTGCATGAATTTTTTATCGTTAAGATCGTGCGATCGCAGCCGATTACTCGATGCGTCGTTTCTCTCTAAGTGTAAATAGACGGTAATGCTAAAATATTCTTAAGCGAAAACGTTAAGGGTAGGATCGAAGACACTTGATATCTGATAATAATAATAATAATAACGATACTAAGGATAAATAATAATGATAGTGATATGATAATAATAATATTAGTAATAATGATGATAATAAATAATAATCGTTATGTTTATCGATCTAGTCGCGTTGTACGGCGCGTCTCAGACTTGAAATAATTAGGACGCGTGTAGACGATGACAGGGACCAGGACGAACGCAACGACGACTACGAATAGAATATGCCAGCAGATAAAAAAAAAAAAAAATAATAATAATTGGATTTCCCTCGGAATCTTCACGTTCGTATATTTCCAAAGTGTATTGTAAGAAATCGGTTGTTTTTAAATAAAAAGGGATATTTAAGTGGGAGCGTGTTATTGAAGCGGCGAGAAGTAGGTGTAACGCGTATGTTAGGTAAAAGTAAACGCAAACGAATCCGACCAGCTGGCGAGGAGACGTCGGTGAACGGGCAGGAAAACTTCATCCCTGTGTGTTTTCGGCGATAACGCGCGATATCTCGGTTAATCTCGGTTAAAGGTTGGGACTCGCAGCGAGACAGCCCCCCATTCGCATTGGCGTGGCACGCTGGCCGTGTAATAAACGCTGCTGTCCACGATGAGGGCGAGATTTTTTTTTTTTTTTTCGGTTCCCCGTCGAAGGATTTGCGTGGGCAAACACTGTGGGTAATCGGTCGCGAGGAGGGTGCGCTAGGCGCGTCGCTTCGCATCGTGGAGGCAGCGTTACGCGTCTTACGACCGTGTCTCACCTGACCGTACCTTATCGCTGGAATCCCGTGTGTGTGCTCTGTGTAAGTATGACGACACCCTCTGCTCTCGAAACGAGCGCTCTCGCTGTTTTCCATGATAACGCGTCGCGATCCACATAGAACAGCTACGAGAGCGGCGTTAAGTAAACGAATCCCTTTTCGTTTGGTCGTCACGAAAAATATCACCGCCACGGGGCAATAAACGGTCCCGACGCCTCTTCTATATCATTCTCGTCCTTTCCTCCTCTCCGTTGGCTCGCGCGTTTGCTTTCCCTACGGCATCGCGAAGAGGAGAAGGGTTGCTCGGTGAACGGCGCCGATTGGACGCGCGCGGGAGGGCTCGTCGTCGCCGATACCAAAATGGTGGCGAGCGACAAAACCGCGAGGGAAATAAGCGATCGATCGCTCGGGCGACGAAGGTTTTTTGCCTTCGCTCGCCTAATCGTGCTCGGTCAATATTTAACTCGCGCGGTTTTTCCATTCTCTCTCACTCACACTCTCTTCTCTCTGTTCCTCTCAGTTCCAGACCCCGTTCCCTCTGCCCCGATGGTCGTCGCTCCAGGATCGAAGCTTCGGTGCGACGCTACCAGGCGGCAGCCGACCCGAAACGTCGACGCACCACACCTTGGCAGCGCACCTGTGTCAAGCCGCGCAGCACCGCGCCACGCTCTCGCCACCTTTGCTCCGCAATCGTAAACGCGTTGGCCTCGTCAACGCGAGTCGAGCGTCGACCGTCGACGCGACACTAATCACAGCCCACGCTCATCGATACCGCCGTCGTCGTCGTCGTCTTCGCCGATCGCTATCCAAACAACATCCAACGAGACACGCACTCCTCTTGGCGAACTCGTCACGGTAAGTGTCCATCTCTTCGTTTGCTTCTTCGTATGTAGATTTCCCTTTTCGATCCCTTAAAGAAATTTCTTGCGATCTTCCGTTTATCCTCCCGCTTCTTACCGATCATCGATGATAGATAAATAAGAAAGAGAAACTCGCGTGAAAAATCGGTTTACTCCGCGGAGAGACCTTTTTTGGTCGCCGGTGGAAAGGGCGGCCGACCGAGGGGCGGAATCGAGCGACGTCGCGCGAACTCCGCGGATACCGAGGATTCCACGGGCGAATCGTTTCGGGGAAGAAGGGAAAGCGGACGAGGAGGAAAGTGTAAGGTATAAAATTGGAAGAAAGAAGTGAAATGTGGCGTGTCGCGTCGTGGTCCGGGTTTGACGGGGGAGGGAAGGGAAAGGGGACGGTGAGACGAAGCAGACCGTTTCGTGGCAAGAGGTGCGCGGAGCGTTGCTCGTCAAGGCAAGGCATGCCACGGCGAAGCGAAGCCGAGGCAAGGAAAGGCGCGAAGGAATAGAAGAGTTATTTGGAAAGAGCCGCTCCGGTCCGGTATACCGTGCACGAATAAACGAACGATCGAAACGAAACACTTGTGTTTCACCGCGAACAACACTTGTGATTCCGTGGAAAGGCCCGCGCAAACGTTCAACGAATCCTCTTTGAAGCTTGCATCACCAACGATATTACACCTACGTTCCGTATAACCGCGGACGGCCGTTACGATCGGCGAAAGAGGAAAGAACGACTCCGGAGCGTGTACACCTGGCTACACCGTCTCGAGACGACGTCTGCCACGAAACTATACGATATCGAGACGAGATAGCCCAGAGCGCAGATATTTTATTAATCGTTAAGCACATAGCCGCCGTAAGATAATGGAATAATATCGGGCAACGACGATAATGCTGTTTGTCGCGCGAGCGTTAATTATTCCAGCCATCCGGCAGACTCCGGGGGTCGGTCGACTCGTGCGTGTCCGCTTCCTTCGTTCGTTTTTCCGTTCCCGCGGAAAGCTCGACGGAGGAAGGCGGGAAACATAAGGAATCGGGTTTCGTTCGTTCGAAAGTGGAATCGCGGTCGTAGCCGCCGCGCCGCATCGGTTCGCTCGTTATTTTCCTAATTACCACCGAAAGCGAGAAGCGTGCAACTCACGACGAACGGTGTTTGTTCGCGTTAAAGCCGATGACGGCGGCGACGAGGAGGGACGACGATTCGGTCGTTGTAAATTATTACGGTAATTGCGTTGTAAAAGGCGAGCAACGGAGAGAGAGCGAGAGAGAGCGAGAGAGTCGTTCGTGGTGGATCACGTTATCAAGGGAGCGAGCACGCTCGCGCTTGTGGATCAGATCGGATCGTAAAGAGCTTTAGTCGTCGCGGTTTCGTTGGCTCTTCTCTCGAGGGTCCAACAGGCAAGGTCGCGCAAACGTTTATTTCCAAAAGCCACGATTAAACCCGTTGTATCTAATAGACATTTCTCCGCACGATTGCGCGAAAACGGCGCGGACCGTTCGCGTTCGCGGCTTTCGCGAGATGGAAAATTACGGTAGCCTCGATTCGAGGAAGAACGAATGGAGTTGCGTAACGAGACGCGCTCGGATACGCGTCATCCCCTTGCGCGGACTCTCGAACCGTCGGGCTTTCGTGTCCGCCCTTTGGACGAGGAGCACGCGCGTACGCCTTCCGACCCCGCCCGGCCCCTCCCCCGCGGACGCGCGCGTGCTCGACCTGCCATCGCGTCGTCGCGTCGTGTCGAAATAAAAAAAATTTCGTCTCACCCAGCGTACACGTACAAACACTGGTACGCGTCACCTGGGATTTTCATTTACGCCGATAAGAATTTCCTACTCGACTGATAAAGAAAATGGCCTCGTTCGGCTCGCGATTCCGCCATGACGCAACCCCGTTCGCGGAACCAGCCCCTCTATACTCACCGTTTACAAATCCTTCGAAATATCCATTGGAAACTGACTGTCGTTCGCACGAAGAAAACGATCATTTGAAAATCTTCTTCTATGATCACTCGCGATCGACGATAAACCGTATCACTGTCGCGGATAGGATAAACGGATAAATTTCTACGAAACCATAGAGAAAGTAACCGTCGGAAACGCGAAGAAGACCGGGGATGATCGGCGGAAACGTAAGAGTACGGCCGCGAATGGTCGGATCGGCGCGGAGCTAGAGAGGCAGCCCTACGCGTTCCTGGCGGACCCGACGACTGAAATTATCATTTTAGCTGATATACTAGCTAATGTAAGGATGCAGTTTTATCTCTTATTATCATGGGAAACGAGATAAATCGCGATAGTGGCGTTTATTTTGACAACGGCGTGCCTCTCGCCACGGCTCGATCGACCTCCCCATCGGTGGTCGCAAAATCGTTTCACCGATTCGCGCCATTATTTTCCTTTCTCTTTCTCTATTTCTTTTTGCAAATAGCTAATCGCTATTCCGTCTCTTATAAGAACCTCTTCTAAGAAATTCTCTATCAACCCTTCGGTACCAACCCTGGTTCCTATAAATTCTCAACCCCGAAACAAAAGACATTCCGTTTCTCCGCGAGTTTTCAATCTTGCTTTCCGTCGCCAAAGGTGTATTAAGAGCGATCAGTCTTCTTGAACATAGTGGACAACGTGACTCCATTCGTTCCTTATCATACGTTATCAACGATTCGTGTTTCCTTCGATCCACGATAAACAACGAATTTTTTTGATTTCATTCGAGATAGCCTTTACGGCGGTCGAATCGACTCGTTGAATTCACCGCGTCGCGAAGAAGTATGCTGTTAATTTCTAGTTCGATGATGAACGGAAAGAATGGACAATATTGTCGAGAAGGCGCAAAGAAAAAGTAAAAAAGAATAAAAAACACGATAGGCGATTACGAGACGGTTCTTGATCGCCGCTCGATCTCGCGAGCTTCTTATCTCTACATTGAGGGAGGGGGCGGAAAGGAGACGCGATAGATCGTTCGAAACGACTATGAAACGCTTTCGATGTTTATCGGGATATATGTTCGGTTAATCCCCGATCGGATTGCGCGAAACATCGAACGGTGTCACGTAGGCCCGTTGTATGCGTTTCGGTGAGCAACGGTCCTAAATCGGTTGCTCGAGTTTCTACCTTGGGCGGTTCGTTTGCGAAGGTGAATCAGACCGGCAGCGATGACGCAAATGTAGCACGGGATCGTTATCTGAGTAGGAGAATGACTAGGAGAATTGGCGAGAGTAAGGAAGAAGTAAACGAGTCGTGGATCCTTGGAGGGAGAACGTCGACGGAACCGGTGCCACCCCATCGCCACGCGTTACCTCGCGAACAGAAGAATTTTTTTCTTTCAGCGATAAGCAAACGGGTGCGAATGATTCACCCGTGACACCCTATCCATAGGAAAGCGGCGGCAAAATGGCGTTGGCAACGATGGCCGACCGTAGAGGCGAGAAAGAGTAGCAGGACGAGGAGAAGGTGGACACCTCTTGTTGATCCCCTCGCGCTGCCTCCCTACCCTCGTGTGCCGTCGCGTTATCACCGCTCTCGTAGCTAGCGAACGGCCGTTCGTTATCGTCGAACAAACAAACGGACCCCTCCGTTGCCTCTTCGCCACTCGATAGCCCGTAGCCAGAGAGATTCTCGATTCGTCTTCCTCCTCTGTTTCGCCAGTTTTCCCTCGAAAGAGAGGAAGGTCGAAACTCGAGCTGCGGTGGCGCCGCCGCATCGGTGTACACACGAGCTTCTTTCCCGTCTATCCAGTTGTCCGTTTACTGTTGCGAACGTAAGCGACATCGGGGGTGCGTCAAGCTTTCCATCCAACAATCGGACCGCTGGTCGAAACGAGGTAGGAACCAGCCGAGTATTTGATCGTTTCTGATCGCTTTTAATCGCGTCTTCGAGCGTTGGAATTCGTTGGAGAATAAATCGGAAGAGGAGAGGAGCTGTTGGAAGAGGAGCGAAGGTGTCGGGGCTAGGTACACGGCACGCGCTACGTTGAAAGAAAAAGTGGTCGCGCGCGTTCGCTCCGGAAGTCGTAACTTGACATTGTCGAAGGGAAGTGTGACGCGAGCCAGGGTAAACAGCGGTTCGCTCCGTTCGTTTTTTCACCAGACGGACGAGGTGCGCCGCCGCTATCCCCCTCTCCTCCTTCCTCTTCCTGTCGGAGCTGGTCCTCTTCCGTTCTCCTTGCGCTTCTCCCTCCTTTTCGCTCTTTCTCTCTATCTCCGTCCGGGTCGCGTGCCACCGCGAATTCCTACCCCACCGGAGGTCGTCGATTTCGAAGTTCGTCGGGACTCGTACTGTGACGCGGTCCGTTGTTGCAGGACTGCGATGAAGGAGACGTTGGTGAAGCAAGAGATCAAGCGGGAATGGGAGAACGATCGCGCCGAGGAGAGTTCACCTCGGATGATGGCGAACGAGGAACAACCGACGTCGGAGAGTCCGCGATCGGTGATCACTAGCAGGAGACACGTGCGAACCATCACCACGACCGGACACATCACCGAGACGGTTCCCGAGTCGGAACCGAACTCTCCGGATGGGAATTTACAGCTTCAGTCGCAACGGGCGCGATCGCGCGGTTACCAAGAGGAGCTTCAACAGGATCCCGGGTGCAAGCAAACCGCGCAACATTACGTGCAAATCTCTCAGCAAGACGTGGACGCTCAGTCCAGGCAGCAACAGCAACAACGTTCCAACGAGCAACGCGTTGTTTATTTAACGAGCAACGGCCAGGAGGTGGTGCAAGTCGAGGTACCGGAGAACGTCGATCCAAACGCGTCAGCGAAAGAGGTGGCCAGGTAAGTTCGATCCACGGTTTTTCACGGTCCAAGTCTTCCGGCGCGGTTTCCACAAAATTCCTGTGATTTTCACGAAGGTACGAGACCCTCGGCTCGGACAGGACCTACAGTTACTCGAACGACGAGCAACAGCAGTTGCGACGGGAGGAGCACGGGATCGTTGTTCAGTCGCAGCAAGACAGGCGACCTCAGTCGGTCGGACACCAGAGGTACAGTCCGCGCGAAGGAGGCCGGACAAACGGCGGAAATGATGGAAACGAAGGATCGGAAGCGGCAGGAACGTACCAGCAAAGTTCCCCGGTGCTGGTACCGAACAGCGAGGAATACGAGAGCGGTCCGATAGTGTCCCAGGCCGCTGCGGCCGCGGCGACTGTCAGCGTCCAGTTAGGTTCGCCCGCGACCCCTTACTCTCCGCCGATCGGCGCCGACGGCATCCGCGCCTCGGTCAATCAACAGCAGCAATCCACGCAACAGCAGCAACAGCATCATCAATTGGTGACAGGGTACGCGGATACCGGTGCCAGTGTGAAATACACCGGAACGAGTATAAAGTACGACTCGGCCGCTGCCGCAGCCGCGGCGGCAGTCGCGGCCGCCGTCGCTGGTGATAACATCAAAGTGTCCAGCACATATACTACTCTCGAAACTGTGCCGATACCACCCTCGCCGACCGTCCAGTACCCTCAATACATGCCCGGTAGCGAAAGCTTCCAGCAAGGACCGACGTACACTTATTCCAAATCCGGCGACCAGGTGATCCTCGCGTACCCGTCGCCCGGTCAGCTGGGCTCCCGAGTGTCAGGGGTGAGTATCTCTTGAATTACTTCATTAGAGAGCATCGTTGCAGCAAGAAAATACGTTTGTTTCACAGGTGGAGTCCATCGGGAACGCGTATATCAAGGGCGACCCGACTCTGGCCTCCTCCCTGGGGACACCTCGCAGCGTTCCGTCTATGCACTACGAGCAACCCGCCTCCCCCGGATCTCAGGTAACGCTATATGGTAGCGCGGGCGTTTCCTACGCTTACCCGAAGCCCACCGCCTCCGGGGATTACTGGTCCGCCGCCGGAACTCCATCGCCGCCGACGTTCGAGTGCGTCCAGGGCTACCAGGCGGTCACCACCATCGTCAGCGATGCTGCCAATGTACAGCTATACCCAGGTAGCTACAGTCTGTCTACCGGTGGTACTTCAACACCCTGGACGGGATTACCTCTTGCCGGACCGGACGAGATCTGCGACGACACTATGATGACCAGCGAACCGAAAGAGTGCTACATCTGCGCCAGCCTCACCACCATCTGGAGGAGGGACGACGCTGGTCATTACTTCTGTCACGGGTGTCTCTATAGTAAAATGAACGGAGTGTCCAGGCCGTCCATGAGATGCGGGAAACCGAAACAACCAGTCGCATCGGTAAATCTATCGATTCCATTGATTCTGTGCCTCTTTTTTTCTTTTTTATTTAGTCTCCCCTTACCTCGCTCTCCGTTCTATCAACCGTCACTCGTCGTCCGCGAAAAATGGGAAAAAGATCGCGTTATCTGTTACTTGAGCAAACAATCGCGCCGTGGGTCGTCGAGACTCTCGCGTCCGTGGTTGTTTACTCTAGTTTCTGCGTCTCGAACGCTCCCATCGCGCTGGCTTCGATCTCGCTCAGCTTGGAAACGTATTCACGATGTTCTTCTATCGTTCTTCTATCTTCAGTCGGGCGTGCGAAGGACGGGGGTGCAGTGCGCGAACTGCAGGACCAGCAACACCACCCTTTGGCGGCGAAACAACAACGGCGAGCCGGTATGCAACGCGTGCGGTCTCTACTTCAAGCTGCACAACGTAAGTATCAAAGAGAGGTTTGGAATTCGGTAACGCGCAACTACGCGATCCCTCCTTCGGCAACGAATTGTTTTCTCGCGGCTCGCGTCTTCTCTCTCCAACCGATTCCCCGTGTTTGCACAACTGTCGCGACCGTTCGCCGCGATTTCTCCCGCAAACAATTTATCCTCGCTCGCGTAACCGGCTGTGCCGGCTACCGATCCGTCCGACCATCCGCGCGTCGATCCCGCTCGTCTACACGTAGACCGGCTAGATAACCTTTGGCTCCAAACCGTCTAGGTAGGACGGCGCTAAACGATAAGGTGGCGATAACGAGAGAATCACCGGGACTGCCTTTTGCCCCCGGTAGCGGGTAAGAAAGAATTTAGGAAAGATCGGTGTCTAGGAATCGCGATCCAGTTTTCGTTTGCCGCTTCGAGAACGGACTCTTACGCAACACCTCTTGGGTCTCGTTGTAATCTCGGCTAGATAATGTCTCGATAAATCTACGTTCTTCTCAACCCAATTTTTGCTCTTTCCGTTACCATTTCGCAGAATCTAAAATCGTTATTAATACCGATCCGATCCGATCCGATCTAAACGTCTTCTCGATCGCAAACGACGATACCGTCGACGCGACGGAAAGTTTATCGCCGTTTCCACGAACCCGATCGATCTAGCTCGATCGTTATCGGCTACGTTCCACTGATCTCGCGGTCCGATGTTTTCTACGAAACAGGTAAACAGGCCGTTGAGCATGAAGAAGGAGGGAATACAGACGAGAAAACGGAAGCCGAAGAATCACTCGGGAATGAGCGGAAACTTGGCCGGGCCGAGCGGCATGCACAAGACCGAGATCAAGTCTGGCCTACTCGGTGAGTCCTCGGTGAGCAAGTTTATTATTCAGCTTAACTTTCCGTCCATACTTCCGTGTTTTCTGTTTCTTTTTTTCGTTTCTCGATCGCAGGTGTGCCTACGGGTCGAACCGCCTTCGTCCGACCTTCGACGCGTCTCTCGTTCTCCGCAACCGCGACGCGACGCCGCAAATCTCGAGGCTTCGCTCGGGCGTCCTTGAACGGCTCGGAAATCGGAATTGTCCCGAAAACGGGAGCAAAGTTCGCCGCGGCGCAAACGTCGTGGCGAAGCAAACAAGAAGCCAGCCGACGATAGACGACGATCGAGATAGAGATAAAACAAGCGCGTCGCAAGCGGTGGAGAAAGGGCGACGCGGCGGAAGGAAACTAGTAGATGAGTTTACCGATGTGTTGAACTTGTTCCAGGGGAGCAGGTGCAGTTGAAAATGTACGGTAACGGTGGTAGTGGGAACGGGGGCGGGCTGGGGGTGGTGGTCGAGACCGGGAATCCTGGGAGCGAGTTCGGCGCCGAGGCTCGGACAGGAATGGAGAACGGAAGCGGTTGCGTGGGTGGGAACGGAGAACCGGAGAATCGCTGTCCGCCCGTAGGTACACCGACCGCCACGCAATTGGGCCACGCGCACTCGCCCCTCGCTTTACCCACTGCCGCCGTCCTCAATCGACAGACCATTCTTACGTAAGTCTCGTCGCCGCCGCGCGTCTCTCCGTCTCGATCCACCTTCGATCAATTCTTTCGTTCGCTCTTTCCAGCGTACCACCTTTAGAGCCAACCGCTAGTCAATCCGGTGGCGATCTCATCTCGGTCATAACGTCCACCACGGCGGAGCACGCCAAGAGAACGTAAAAAGGGGAAGACGAAGGAAAGTACAACGGGACCCTGGACGAAGGTGCACTATTTACCGACCGGCGCTAGCGTCGCGTTCCGATTCCAAAATCGTCGCTCACGTCGGAATCCGTTGGACTCCTTCGAAGTTTTATCGACCAAAGACTCTTTCTTCTTCGTTTTCGCCGGTACACAGACGGGGAATTTTCTGTTTCGAAAGGTTCTCTTATCGAACGGAAACGAGAAACCGATTCATCCGCGTTTAAGTTTTAGTCGCAATTTCGAGTACCTTTCTCTTCTGTTTAGATCGCATGGTAAATGTCGCGCCAGGTACGTCGGAATTCTATTTTATCGACGGTAGGTGTCTTCGCTATACTGTTTCGCCCTCTACAGGCGGAATAAAGAAGCGCTTTATTTTCTTCCTCTTTCCTCTCTCCTCTCTCTCACTCTCTCTCTCTGTCCACCTTCCTTCCTTTCTTTCCACTTTTCCTTAGAAGTGTAAGCGCGTTGAATCGTCGTCCTGGCACGTACCAGAAACACGCAGCGGATAATCCAAGGCTGCCTTCCTTTGCGTATTAAACGAATATATGTATATAGAATGTAACTGAAACACGGTGCACCAGGAGCACGCGCGTACAGGTGTGTACGGATGGTGCACCTTGGTATCGAGGTAAAAAATGTACGCGCGTTTCAGGAAAGCAAACGCGCAAAGTATTTATTTCTAGCCCTATTAAAGAAACGCACGCGTTCGTTAAGCTCGTACGATGTTATCGTACGAAAGAAACTTATTTTGTAGAGGCTTTTCTTTTTTCGGAGCTGAATAAAACGAATCGACGAGCTGTGTTTCGAAGATGGTGCGTTTTCGAATCCATCCATCTCTGGACGTAAACAGATTTGGACTCGAACGTAGGGGGAGTTTTGGCGAATTCGAAGAAACGCATTCGCGAGGGAAAGAGAGGAAGAAGAGAAGAGCGAGGAGGAAGGGGAAGCGAAGCAAAAGGAGCGCGATCGAGCGGCTAGAAGGAAGGCAAAATGGGCGAACGGCCGGCGGGCGAGGTAAAGGGGGACGGGTAGGGTGTGTGGGTCGGCGGAGGGGTGTAGGGGGTCGACGGGGGCCCACGAGTCCATCAGCCTAAAGAGTGGCTATCGTGCTTGCTAAGGGCTATTCCATGTTCAGCCGCTCTCGTCGAGCTCCTTTTTTTTTTTCTCTCCTCTTTCTTTCCCTCCTGAACTTTTTGTACGGCGCAAACGTGGCGCCGCCCTCGGGATCCCTTCTCGCACGGGGAGACATTGAAAGCTTCGTGCTCGATCCGCACCACCCGCTGCAATCTCGCCCTCTCTCGTTTCGTTTCCTTTCTTTTCTTCTTCCATTTCTCGTATTACGATCTGCGTTCACCGTCGCCGTCGTCGGCGTAGTCGTTATCGATCCGTAGTCTTTTCAACGTCCATGATTTTCCTCGCGAATGCTTCGACTTTGTACACGAACGATGTTCGGATTCAGCGAATCCGACGGCAACCGATTCCCGATCGACGATTCCATTTGGAAGGGCAACGGTTGTTTGTCTCGCGTTCCGATCGTTTGGAATTCGAGGGATGCCCCGACGCGTCCCTATCGCGGTGGCGCCAACCGGTGTACCTTATCGCGACCCGAGCACCGTTACTCTTCCACTTTCTTCCACGGGAAATTCTTTCCGTTTCCCTCGATTCCAAGAGACGCGCGAAGATCCGCGTTTCGCCGGAGGATCTATCGGAGGATTATTCGGGGTCGTACGGTGAGGCGAGAAAAGGCGCGTTCTATATCGGAGCGGCAAGTTTGGAGACCGTAGGAAGCGAGGAGACGCGAGTTCTCGCACCATCATAAATAAACTCGAAGCGCAACAAATTAGATCGCGCGATCCCGTGCGGAACATCGCTTAGCCTGCTCGTCGCGCTCGCGATATTTCACGGCCGAGGCACACGGACGTAAGTTAAGCCGTCCACACGGGCCTCGCCTTTCCTTTCCTTTCCTTGTTTCACCCTCCTCCTCCTCCGCCTCTTCCTTCGACCCGTATATTTTCTCGTTTCGCCCGTCGTGATCCTTTGCTCGCCTTCTCGTTTCTCCTTCGAAAACTTTGTTTCCTGCCCGTTTCGCGACCGTATACCGGCCGTGTATATTACACGCGTCGCCCGATTCCGTTCCGCGGGCAGCGACGCTTTGTCTCCGATCCGCGTTTCCGATCGGACGATCTTTTCGCCTCGGTCCTACGGTAAGTTCTATGTCGAACGCGTGCGATCGTTCGCTTAACACCGCTCTCTTTCTCGCCGATGTTCTCCGTTCCGCGGAGAACCGGACGGTGCGTCGCGATCGTCTCGAATCGAATTTTCTTCTTTTTCAACGAGTCGACTCGTTCGCCCACAGGGCTATTACAGTGAACCTACGGCCGATCCTGAGCACCCACGAACGCGTACGTGTACGTGCGTACACGTGTACCTACACGCGTGGAAACAAGCGAGTACCGGGGGTACCGGCGTACCGGCGACCCGGTTTCCAGGAAGAGGACGAAAGGACGAGAGGGACGGCACGCGGTTCCGACCAGGAAGAAGGACGAAGAACGAAGAACGAGAAACGCGACGATTAGATTAGAGAAGGAACTCGAGCGTCCGACGTGGAGGGATCTGCCGAGCGCGGCAAATTGAAATTCGCGTCGTTTCGACGTCGGAAAAAACCGACTTACCCTTTCACGCGACTCGAAACCAAGTGTAATTCTTTGGATGCATTCGTTTCAAATCGCTCCGTGATTTAGCGCGCTCCTTCGACCGCGGTAGACCGTCGATATGTAAATGCGTTAATGCTTAATGCGTGTCGGTTGATTTATTGTCGCGCGATCACGGTTGCGCGAGTGAAAGGAGCCCGCGTGCAGCCTTCCTCGGCGTCGACGAGTTTTGCCGTCCCGCGAACATCGAGAAAACTTTGTCTCCCGACGAGCCATCGAGCAACTTTATCGCCGAGGAAATAAACCTGCGACGGGACTCGAGTCCATCGAATAGATAGATGGAAATAGAATTCGTAAGAGGGCGGTTCACCCCGCCATGGGGGTTCGAATTCTCGTTGGTGCCGGCGCACCGGTGCACCTAAGGTGCTGCACCTTACGATTTTTCGATCGGCGCCACGCCTATCTGCGTCGTTACTTAACGACGAGCTGGCTTTTATCCTACCTTCCAGATAATCGTTTCTACGAGTCCTCAGGGATTTTACTTTTCCACCGAAATCGACTCGGACGATCGGGCGACTAGGTAGCCGTCGCATTTCGCGCGTGATCGATGGACAAACGCGTTCGAAGCTTCCGATCGATCGATTCAACGGGCGCCAAAAATCGATGAGAGATCGAAAGCGTCGCGGCGAATGAACGGCCGTGATCGGGACGGGGGAAGGCGCGCGTTTTTGTTGGCTTCTTCGCTTAATTGGCCTAGAACGATCCGCTGACCAGTGGTGAGTGGCGACCCGTCCAGCTGAGGAAGCGCGGGGCAGACGGGGGGTTAAAAACCGGAAAACAAAAAGCCGCGACTAAACAAAACCGGAGGCGAGCGGAGCAACGCCGGTGAACGTTACCGTGCGACCAACACAAGCCTCGCTTTTTCCTGGAAGCAGTTGCTCGCTCGTTCGTCGAGATAATTTTCGTTCCGCCGCGGGACTCTTTCGTTGCATCGCCAATGGACTGGCTTTTTAGAGCCACCAACCTCTCTCGTTCCTCCTCCTCAGGTACCACTCTCATCCCCCTCGATTCCACCGATTCCTCGTTCACGAAATTCCTTGTCCAGCTCAAATCGCCATCTCTTAAACCTTGAGACATTGTTTCATCACGAAAATTTACCACCGTTTCAACAAATTTCCCATTGGTAAATTTACCTTCTCCCTTTAATCGCACAGAGTACGTAAACAACTCATTTTCTGGAAAATTTTACTATCGAGCGATGAAAAGTATGTTTAAATCGTAAGCTCGAGTTTATAACGTCAGGAACGTAGAAGGTAATATCTCCTGGTATTTGTTATTCTCCCCTTTCCGGTTTCATTGGCTACCAGAATCATAGAAACGTGGTTCCTTATCTTTATCTCATAACCGGGCGTAAATTGAACATCCATCGACGAGGATGTAAGGAACTCAGTAATGTTTTATCTCGTCGGGTTCGTTGTTGGTATGATTCTGAAAACGGTGGAGTTTTATTCAGAGGGGTGAATGCGGCCAATTTCTCTGAAATTCGCAGCATCGACATCCGCCGGGCTAATGGCTGCGCGCCTCGAGAAATCTTTCTTCTCCCTAACCTTTTGGTTCCACCATAAAAATCACAAGTCTCAAAGGAAATCATTGAGAAAATATCCAGCGCTGCTTAGAAAGAAATTCACAAATCCCCTCCGTTTTTAGAAAACAAGGAACGTAAAGGATAACTATGTAGGTTTTAGCGGAGAAACTCGATGGGATGTTCGCAAATGGCGTTTTGACTAATTCTCGAAATGGAAAAGCTCGGTTATCCGGAAAGGGGAGACGGACGTGAAAGAATGGGGGTGCGTGCAGAACGCGCGAGCAAGGTAACGAGCGAGAAAGAGAGAAGAAGGAAGGAAAGCCGTAGAGTCCGGGTCCCCCTTGAACGCGAACTTCCGGTGTTGCGATAAGTATCGGCTCGCAGGGGTTCCTACCTGGCACGCCACGTCCGACTTTCCGATAGGGGGTTCGTTGCGTTCCACTCGCTCGGAACGTTTTTCGCAGATGACGGGCGTCACGCGTCCAAACGGACGTTTGTCTTCTAAATACCACTGTTTGTTCCTCCTCTTCTAGATTAATCCAAGGGTGGTTTAAAACTTGATGAACTGAACGCGTGAAAATTAACCGAGGTAAAGATAAATAGAACGAAGAATTTCGAGAAGAAGAGCGAATTTTCGAGAGGGTGAAAGATAGACAGGGGGTGGTGGTTGAAAGAAGAGGGTTCGCGAGTCGGTGGAACGCGCGGATTTCCACAGATATCGAAGAGGTACGATCGAGTCGCGGACATGGCTTATCCGCGCTCGATCTGGTCGGACATTATATAAGGTCCGACAATGTGGTAGGGAGAAGCCGGGGAGATCTGAGGGCAGCGTCGAATAAAAAAGACTTTATGAAAATTGCCGGGCAAGCGGAGCGTCCGCTGGTCCCCACGATCGGCCGTTCGACGCCCTTCGAAACCGTGGGCGTCGAAGCTCCGCCTCTTGGGTGAGCGCGCGATACACCGCCTCGGACCGCCTCTTTCGACGCGCGGTTCCCGCTCGATCCACGATCTCGCGGTTATTCTCCGCGTACCCGTCCATTCCCTCCGTCCCTCTTTCCATCGCGACGCTCTGCTCTTTACCTCGTCGCGGATACTTTTTCAAACGGTCGCGATTGCTCGCGAGACGCCCGGTCGAGAGGCGATTCTTCTGGTCTCGGTTCGCGCTTTGTCAGTGTCCGAGGCTCGAGCCGTCGCCTCGGCCACCGCCTCTGCCTCCGCCTCCAGCTTCGCACCGCAGCGTCGACTCCGCTTTCTCCTTCGCCTTCGCCTTCGCCTTTGCCTTCGCCTTCGTCACTCCGCCGACCCTCTCCTCTCCTCTCCGCCTCGCTCCTGCACGCTCCGCTCCTTTCCTCTCGGCTCTCCCCGTCGCAGGACGACTGCCGCGCCAGAGAGGTGACCGTCCAAAGCCAGTGTCGAAGCCGCAGTCACCGGTTGCACCGCGTTCTGCGAGTAGTTTCGTTCGATTCTATCGCGGCACCCTCGCGTATCGGTTCCCTCGTCGACGACGAATGTGCGCGATTTCGAAACGCTCCGTTTCCTCCCGCCTCCCCGAACGTCGCTGGACCGAGGACTACGCCGCGCGTTCGACGACGTAGCAGTTTCCGCTCCGAGTTTCATCCTAGCCCCCGAATAATAAGAACCCTCCGAGTGCAACCCGCGAAGAAAAGTGTCACGCGATCCATCGGGGATGTCGATCGCGCGCGCCTTCCCCGCCGACGGTCCTCGCCGGCATTGAATCGTCGCCAGGATAACGAAATCGACGATTCGATGGTCTTTATCCGAAGGAAGGGTGACGGGATTAGCTGGGATCGCCAACGAAGGATTTCGTGAAGAAACCAAAGTATCCAGTTCCCAGGAAAACGGGAATCAACCAACGGAAGACGAAACGGAAGCGGAAGATACGAAGGATCTCGGACTATCTATTGGTCGTCGCTACCGGTGCAACGGAAAGGAAACTATTCTCGACTCCGTTTTCCACCCTTCTGCGATGCCGATCATCGACGACTGAGTATCGACGCGTGAGTACTGGTTCAGTGTTATTTTTAAGCTAGCATTCGAGTTCGATCGATCGGAAACGGTGGAGGTAAACGTTTGCTTTCGTTACGGCAATTACCATGGGACCATCCGTTCCGTCGAAAGGATACGGGTCGTTATCGCGCCGGCCGACTATCGGCGTTAATTAACGATAACGAGAATGGCGGCGAAGAGCGGGCGGCATGGCAGCGCGAAACCCGTCGGCTTTTGCCAACCCCTTCGAACCCGATCGTTCGACCACCACTTCCGGTAACGATCGACGTTCGCGCGTTTGTAGGTAAATTCGAAAGCCGCGGTTAGTAAAACAGCGCGAGATAATAGTTCGCTTCGAAATAGTCATTGTTCGAGCAACGAACGATAATAGTAGCATTGCGAACGTTTATCGCGATACATCGCGAAGCATGCCGGCACCGCCATTATTCCCCCGACCAGCCGCTTTATCCGAACGTCCATTTCCCGTAGAAACCGCGACAAGACACTTACTTAGGTACACCGGTTACGCGTTAAAACAGAGTGCTTTTCATTATTAAATTATCCAACAGTTGCCGTTTTCGACTTACAAACACCGCGTATCGTTCCTTCGAATAAGATCTTATCACTGACGAAACGAGCAGAGTGTAAAGAGTTAGGCGAGGAACGAGAGAACGCGGTCGCGGTCGAGTTGCGGGAAAAAAACAAGCGTGCCGGAACGACGCGTCGAAAATTCACGCGAGTGAAGAACGCTTAAAAGCGGAGTAAAACGATCGAAGGCGACCCGTTTCAACGATAACGTATCGCGGAACGATAGGAATAGCTTCCGGTCTTCTGCGACCGGGTACACTCGCATTGTTTTCCTCCTTTCCGCTACGCGTTTCGAAGGCGCAAACTTTAAAAATGTAAAAGCAGCTGTAGAGTGGTTTCCCAGCGTCGGAATCGAGGGTGTAGGTTTCTGGATACCGATTCTGGCGCCGACGGCACTAGCGGCACCCGTCTTTCACGAGGACACTCGTCCGGTTCTTAGGCCTAATTGGTTGTCGCCCCGGCGCCTCGTCTTGTCCTCGGAGAAAGCAGCAGACCTCTTTCGGTTTCCACGCTGTTCCGTGTTTTTTTCCTGCCACCCTTTCGAGCTTTCAAAGTACCTGCGAGATCCCTTTCGATCCTGCGATCCGCCGGCAACGAACTCGGTACAGCGCGGACCGCGAAGAGACACCCCAGCTGTTTGTGTCACACGGAGAATTTTGACGATCGAAGAAAAACAAAGGGGTTTCGCCCACGGTTTCTTTAACACGGATTCGACGAACAAGTCTCGGAATAGTTTCTCGGTTTCGAACTCTGACCGTATATCGTAGGAGGAAACGGAGCGAAGAAGAATTTTTATCTTCGTTGAATCGTTCCGAAGAAGAGCAATCGGTGAAAAGTGCAGTGCTCTGGTAAACGAGTAAAGTGCATAGGAAATGGCGATCGGTAAATGCGTTTAATTTACCGCGTAATAACGATTCCGCGTATCGAATAGAGATACTTTTATTGGCGTTCGCTTTCGGTGCGATACGCGTTTATCGAATGTCGCGCTTATATCGGCCCTCGTAAAACGATCGTTAATGCTTTTACGAATCGATAACGATCGTCACGGGTTCTCGTAATAATGACGTTGCCACGCTGTCTGCCGTCGGATCGATAAGATCGGAAACGATCTCTCGGCTGGTTCGAGATCGCGAATAGCTGGCGAACCGTAATGTATCAGCGGCGTTGCCCGGCCGTGTCCGACGCTCGGCGTCTCGGGCCCCGATTTCTTTTCTTCGAACTCGTCGAATGGAAAATAGTAATCTTACTATAATGCTGATCGGAGAAAAGGTAGAAACGGGGGACGGTGCAAGACGGAGAGTTGCATCGAGCGCGTTATAACGCGGCGAGCCGTTTGCACGATCGTTTCGACGCGCCTCCTTAAATAACGATCATAGGCTCGTAACTAACCCGGTCCGCCGCTTGAATGACGAAGATAGGAGAATAGCGAGTCGTCGGACAGAAGGAGAAAGAGGAAAGGAGGCGATCAAGCGAACGATAATTGTCGCCTGGCCACTCACGCGATCCATACGCGCATCAAGGTATACGATAGTTGACTCGTTCCTCGAGCTTCGGATACCAAATGGGTTTCTTGTTGTAAAAGGAAAGTACTCGTTCGTTGGATGGTCGAGACGAAAACGGTGGAAACGCGGCGTTTAATCGTGGAAAACGAGCGCGTTCCGTGGTCCTGGTTTATCTGGTATCGCCGGCTCATTGTATTCATCGAACGGGGAAGAATGGAATCGGTGCTCGCGGTATCGTTGGGAATAATCGGGGATCGGTAAGCGAGCGTAAACCCGGGGTAAAATCCGGTAAAACGATATCGAGCGATCGAGGCGGCGAGCGAGTTTGCGGGCATCGGCCAAAGACCCGTTACGTCGGAGGACGAGGTAATTAATTTAAGCCGCAAACGCCTCGGCACTAGGCCAATGCAAACACCTTCTTTGCTCGCTTGCTCGCACGCACCAGCTTCGCTCGTGGCCGAAGCCCGCTTGGTTATACACCGTCGCCTCGCGTCCGCGGCTTGTATGCCAGTTGCCAGTTACACGACTCCCGGGATCCACGATCCTTTGACTGCTTTCTTTTCTTTCTCCTCGCTTCGTCTCATCGTCGTCTTTTACTATTTCCCTCCTTTCCAGCTATTCAAGACGGCCAGATTCGTTCCCTCGTATCCAGGATATAACTGTATAAACGCGGTGGTCGCGATTTCGAGCCGACTAGCTCGACCGGTACGCGCGACCGTCCGAGAGGAAACTTTCCGTCTCCCGGCTCGATAAACGGAAAGAAAGAAACGACGCGGGAGAAGAGCGAGCCGCGATTTAACGAGCAGACCACGATTCCGTATCGTGGCGTTAATTACCGGCCGACGTTCCAGCCGGGGCTTTCGATTCGGAGCGACGCGACGGCCGCGGTCCGCGCTCCGTGAGAAGATCGAGGAGGAAGAGGAATCGGAGCCCGTTCGAACCCGCTAGCCTTTCTCAACATCCCTTATCGGGTAGCACCGTTTCTACGTCGTTCTCCACGCGGAAAACGTACGCGTCACGTGAGTTACAGATCGGACGGATTAAAAAACGTCGAGGATCGGGCGGAGGTTGAGACGGAGAGATAGGAAGGAAGAGAAAGAGAAGAGGTGGATTTAACGAACCTACCGACGGGACGTATCGCGGACGTTAATTACCGGCAAGGGATCCGACCAAATGCGCGCTCGATGGTTTGCAAAGAGGGGTTCGGCCCACGGTACGATTCGGTTCGAATCGGATGGGATCGGATAGGATCGGATCGGTTCCCTCTCGCCTATCTGCGAGGGACGTCCCTGCGAGGCCGACCTCGACGTCGCGGCAGATGCATTAATTGAACCGGCTTAAATTATAGCCGCTCGCTAATTGCGCTCTTCTCCGACCACGGAGCTGTCTGCTCGCGAGAGACGCACGCACCGTTTCCCTTGCCGATTACGCGCGATTAATCCGCCACGCGAAACGGCCAACGAGAACCCGATGACGGGGCGAGTCTTCGATTTTTTCCATTTGCCGAACTCGCAAGAAAGCGGCTACGTATTTCCCTTGCCTTAACATTCTACGAGAACGTGTCGCGTCGATTGAAAAACGTAACGTAACGAGCAGAAGCACCGGAAGAGGAGGGCGCCGCGACGATAAACCGCGTATCGTTTCGGAGTAGCCGCGATATCGCGACAGCTCTTTCGTTGTCCGCTCCGTAAGCTTAGTCTTTTCGAAAGCGCACGCGAGACATTCGTCCGGATCCAACGACTCGGCACGCGCTTCGCGTGCTTAGCTCCGATGTATCGCGATTACGTAAGTCGATTAACGGTAAAATCGGTCGTAGCCGTGGCAGAACGATCGAAGATCGGTAAAAATCGACACGCGATTCGCGATTCCAAATGACTCGGTACTTTTTCCACGCGCAGGGAAGAACATCGTGACGAGGCGTATCTTTCGAATGAAAAAATAAAGAAACGAGGAGGATAAAATCGCGATCTAGCCGGGACAATAATCGTAATGTGCAAACGAGCCCCGGTAGTGGCGATTCCGGTTCGTTTCACGAATAAACTCCGCAAATTCCCCTTATCGTTAATTAGAGGATAATGGTTAAGGCGCCGTTTCGCCGGATCTTTTTACGCGCACGGTACCGAGGCGAGCCGAGGCGACGATTTATTCGACCGGATCGTGGGTACATCGGGATCGATACACATGCGCGTACTTTACGTAGGTAGGGGAATCCGGTGCACGGTCCGGTTTCGATCTAGACTCGCGTTCGAATTAAACGCGTCGACGGGAAACACCCGGCGTAAATACACGAGGCCCGCGACGTATCGCGATATCGAAGAAGTTACAGTACGCGAGTTTTCCCTCCTCTTCGTCTTCCCTTCTGTTCCGTCCGCTGCGAACAAAGCGCGTCTCCGAAAGCGCGAATCGTCCATTATCCAGCGTCGTTACACTCTTAATCCCGCTAGTATCTTAATTATCGAATTTATTAACTGGCGATTCGATCCTCGAAACGATAATCCTGAGAAAAGTAGCTCGGTTTCGCGGTCACGCACGAACGAACGAGTCTCCCGATCATGGTACGGAGCAGCGTTCGGAAAGTTAATTAGAAAACAAACAGAAAATTAACGCGAACCCGGCAGCGAATCTTTCCAGCCGGCCGTTATTCACGATTTATCGTAACTCGTTCGAGTCCGGTCGGTGACCGGTTTATAAGCGAGAGATCGGCGAACGATGCGCGGTCGCTTGCTCGCGCGGTCTGATCGACGATCGAAAATCTTTGATACGCTCGCGAATCCGTTCTGGGTGTTGTCGGTTGGGATCGTCGAGCAGGAAGCCGACGCGGCGGTTCTTTTCTCGCGAGAGCGAAACCAGTTTGCTTACAGCGAATAAAAATCTTGAATTATCGCGTAATCGCGAATACGTTTAACCCGTTAACGCATCGACGTTAATCGATCATTTTCTTTTGCTCTACGTCTATCTCCTTCTCCCGCGTTTCCTTCTGTTTCCTTTCCTCTCCGATCGCGTACGCCGAACGCGAAGCGCAAAAACCGACTCGAGGGATCTTTCGAGCTCGAAAAGATCGGAGCTCGCGACCGGTTGGTCGGCGAAAATCTTCTCGACCGTTAATCTTGATTTATGATAACCGCGACCGCGATCTGCCCGGAGACTGAGCGGATAATTGGATCGCGCTTGTACGTGCCCTGGCTACCGGTCTCGCCGGCCGTCTTCTCCGTTTCTCTACCCTATGTTACCTTCTGCTCGCTAATTCGGGCCACGCGAATTTCGTTAAGCATCGAACGCGAAGCGGGCGGGATTACCTCCGTACCGTGTCACGCGAGATTGTCACGCCCGGACGGACGTTCGCGTGGCTCGTCCAGCGGTCCTCGAGACGGGTCGCGACCACTGCACGAAACTTTCCGGATACGTTTGAACGGTAGAACCGGTCCCGTGATCGTACGCGCCGGTTGGAATAATCTACTCGCCGGTTAATTGGCTCGCCGATCGATTCCTCTCGGTCGATCCGCGATCGACGCGGAGCAAAGTTCCTCCGGTTCTCGAAAAATCATCGAAACGATCCTCTCTTCGGTGGCTCTTCGGAGAGGAATAAAATAAGAAGAAACAAAAAAAAGAAGGAAAATCGAGTCGACGTCGGTCGCAAAGTTGTCGACGAGTTTCGTGAAGCGAGAAGTCTGACGCAGGTCGCGTATAAGCGAGTGTTGGGCCGAACTGGCTCGGATGGCTGGCTGACTGGCCGAGTGGCTGCCGTGCTGCCGGTCGGTCGAGAACGGCTGCTCCCGTGAAACGGTGTTGGTTCCACGTCGGTGTGCGTCCGATCGTGGGATCGGTCGTTAGTGTTGGTGCCGCCGATCGAGCGCCTTCGAGGATATAGAGACAACGGCCTGCCGATGCACACACACACCGGCCGTGCTTCTCAACCAACGTGCCGCGTTTCTTCGTTGCTTTTAGATTCCACGAGGATCGACCCACGCTCCGATACACTCTGACCTTTCCTCCGTTCTCCGCGAGGTCGCGAAGGAGAAAAGAATCACGGACACCGCGTCGCGCGTCCTCCGCTTATCCTTCCAAGGATTAGAAAGTCGATTCCGGAGGATGAGTTGGGAGTCGCGGCGAACCGCTTCGTCGCAGCCTCGTTCCCGAGGGAAACGGATAGGAAAAGGAACCGCGGAGGAACACGAAAGTCGACGAGGCGCGCCGGGTTTTATATTATAATTAGCCGGAATCCTCAGCTCGGATATGGCGAGGTAAAGCGAACCCGCGCGATACCGTGGAAATAAGCGGACCCGGGTTAAATACGAGTCACCGAGAGAACCGGGTGATTTCGTTGTCGGTGGATGGAAGAGGAAAGAAGAAAGGAAGGGAAGGTGAACACGGATGGTGGGTAGGGATGATGGCGTTGAAAGGCCATAAACCGAGGACCCCCTGCTATCGATGGGCTACTCGCCGTTGATGGGGGAACTAATGACAGGACGGTTCGGCGTAATGGACTGCTTATAGTCGGTCGCTCGCTCGGTAATAGATTCGGGGATGAAACGTGAAACCGCGATGGTGGGTCTGCGTAAAATGGCGCTCGAACCGAGGATCTTTGGCGTGCGTAAAATCGTAGCCAGACAATTCTACCGACCAGTGGACGAAGAAGAAGAAGAGATATCGAGAAGGAGATAAACGGGCGTAGGACGCGTCGCGGCTCGTACCTGGACGATCTCGAAGCCAAAAGCGACGGCAGTCGGCTACGACCTTATTGGAAAGTCGTGTTCCAGCGCTAAAACCGGAAGTCGAGAGAGAAGCTGACACAGTCCGAAGGAGAAACGAGCTCGCCGCCGGGCCTTTACCATCACCTCGCTCGAACAACGAACCTAAATTCTTTTCCAATTCGTCGTCGCCCCTTTCGTTCCCTAGCCTTGTTTTCCCCACGAATATAAAGACGCTGCGTTTCTGAATCTCGCGAATCGTACGGCAGCTTCTCTTCGCTCCGTGTCTGAAACGCGCATAAATCTTCTTTAGACTCGCATGAATAGCGCCCGCTTAGCTTCCCGGTTCAAAGCCGGCTGAGGAAAAATCTACGAGCGAGCTGAGACGACGCTCTGTAATTCACGCGCGTTCGCAATCGCGGCAAAGGAGAACCGTTCTCGTCCCTCGAGGTGAACCGCGTGTCGTCGACCGGAGAGGGTGGAAAAGCGGCGCTCCCCGGGTCGCGTCGCGACGGATCGATCGCGACGCCTCGATATCGTCGAAAAAATAGAGCGAGAAAAAACACAGGTGGTCGTCGTGTCCCGTTCGCAGCCACGGCCGCTCGTTCTCGGCGATTCGAAGTAGGCGTAAGTAGGCAAACCGGGTGTCGCGGATCGCGCTCGTTTTTCATTCGTTCCCTTTCCCGGTTTCTTTTTTCCTGTTTTTCTGTCGTATCGCGCGAGGCCGAGAGTAAGCGAAAAAGAATGCGCGCGTCGAAAGGTCGAGCCAGGTTTCGGGCCGGGACATCGTTTCGCTATCGGGCCTCGTTGTCTTTCGTAGGGAAAAATTGAACGAACCCGAGTGGAATCTACGAGAGGAGAAAAGGTAGTTTGCTCGCGTACGGATAGGAGACGCGGGGCACGGTCGTCGGGTGTGATACTTACGATCTCGCCTCGTTATTTCGTATGCGCGATCGTAGAGATCTCGTTTGTACCGCGCAAAAACTCGAGCGTTAGCCGAGAGACCTCTTCGACCGGCGGCACCGTGGAATCTCGTTGACCGGTTTAAAGGCTAAGCGTTTGTTATACGCCCGGTAGAGCGTAACCTGGCGAACGAGCGACGCTCGCGCACCTGGTACCGCGGAATAATATCGTAATTGGGTAATAAGATGCGGTACGAGGACCTTGCTTACCGGTCGTTTGCCACGTCGCCGCTGCCACCGATATCCGACGCACCTACGCGCCTCGTTTTCGACCACGGACTTGTATTTTCCGGTGTCTCTCGAACGGTTCGACGGAAAGTGGCCGGAGGAAGAGAAGAGGGTCGGCGCGTTCGCGCTTTAATCGTCTAGCTGCTGGCCGGAGTCGGTCGCCTTTGAGCTGCACCTTCTCTCGGTCGACAAGCGGAAACTATTCGAGGAATTTCCTACGGCCGCCCGGCCGGTCGCTTATCACCGAAAACGCAAACGGCTGCGAACCGAAGAGCGAATCGTTGTATCATCGGTGATCAGTGATCGGGATTCGGTAGTTTCGCCCGGGACGATTTTATTACGCGACTCCAGCGGTGGATACATCGAGCTTAGAGGACACGGGTTTTCATCGACGAAGGTTCACCCGTTTACGGTCTCGTCCCGGATCCGTCTATCCGCTTGCTCCTGCTCGCCGCCGTGTTCCTTCGAAATTTATCGCTACACACGGGATACACTCTTGTCGAACGTCGAAAACGTGGAAGTTTCGAAGAAATTTCGCGAATCGATCGGAATTTCCACGTGGCAACCGAGCATCCGAAGTGGCAGAAATTCTTGCAGCGCAGGTACGAGAGAGCCGTCCTCCTTTCTCCGCTCTTTCTCTCTCCCGACCCCGCCGACCCCTTTCCCTTTTCGTTTTCTCTCTCTCTCTCTCTCTGTTTCACTGTTACCACTTACTTACATATCGCGTGTATGTTTTTCCTTTTTCTTTTTTTCTTCCATTTTTCTGTTCGTGCCATTCGCAGCGTCCGATGTTACGCTCGCCGAGGCCCGAGGGGGAATAAATTGAGAATTCCGTGTAGGAGTACTAGCGGACAATGACGTTCGGCATCGAATCGCGTGCGTAAGGTCGTCGACGCGGCGTTAAAGCGTGGACGGGTGTGTTACGCGGGCCTGATCGGGGGATTATCTAGCCGTGGCAGGGCTGGCGAACGAGCTCGCAAAGCTGAAGAGAAAACGGTAGCGAGAGAGTCGGTGAAGGAAGAAAAAGAAAAAAAGGAGCCAAGGAAGGCAGGCTTCGGGTGGATCTCGTGGAGATCCTGGAGACCAGATAAGCTCGCGTGGCTGTCAACGGAGCGGCGGAGGAACGGGAGTGTGAGAGGCGCGTGCCGAAACTGGACCGGAGCGCAATTTCCGAGGAATCTTATCTGTCGTTTGCATCTTCGGTATCGGGTTACCGAAAGGGACGTTCACACCGAAACCGATACGCTGCCGTTATCCTTCCTTTCCTTCCGCCTTCGTTTTCTCGAATAATAGAAATTTCCTTAGATTCTTGTTGTCGTTGAACCAGCAAGTCGGATAAGCTCGAAAAAATCGAAAAGGTCGAACGAAAGGATCGGAGGATGAAATAGGTTGAAGCAAGTTAGGTAGAACGGATCGGAGCGGAGCTGGAGTGGGTGTGAGACGGGGACGAGCGTGCGATGGTGTGCGTCGCGTGGCTGCGACGGACTTACAAGGAAACCCTTCTACGCGCTCGGCGCCGTGGCGCCTCGGCGTTGAGCGGATCGGGACACACGGGGACCGGGATGGCAGCGTGGCCGAGTCATCGACGCGACAGCGGCACCGGTCTTTGACTCTTCTACGTCGCGTCGATAGAAACGCGTCGACCGAGCGGATGCGAAACGCGCGCGAAGATCTTGCAGAGAGACTTGGAACGGAACGTGTTTCCTCCGGCTCGGAATCGAACCGGTGTGTACGTTCGAACCGATGGATCGAAGAATCTGTTTCTCCGCGAAGGCTGCCAAACCTGTATATCGATCGCGAGGAAGAAAAAGAGAATTAACCGTCGATCGAAAGTAACAGAGTTCCAGAGTAAGACGTCTCGCGAGACACCGCTTCCGAATATGCATCTGGCGCGCAAAGGACGCCGCCTGCGCGGCTCTAAACAGGCCTACCCTCTTCTCGCGGTGGTCGTCGATCTCGCGTTTCGGAGCAACGGGATGAGAGCGATCGAACCGCGGCTATAGGTCTAGCTGGCGCCAGATGCCCCGTTCGTCCCGGCGCCGCGCCGTTCCAACGCCGAAACACGATTACTCTTCTAACCGGTTCCCATTAAAGCCAAAGCCGTTTCCACCCCGCGTCCGGTTGTCCCTTCGATTCGGCCCCGTCTCCCTTCGCCCCCTCTTTCGACCGCGACGATGACATCCTTTTTCGCGGAACGATCTTACGTTTCGCGGTTATACGGAATTTTTCTCGCTGATCAACGGGGAAGGAACGTTTTATCGCAGCGTCCTCGTGGCGGCTCGCGCGAACCGCGATAATCGCGACTAACAAAGGGATCGTAAAAAAGGCGACGGATGAAGCTGAGAATATATCGGGGCATAAACACGTGCAGAAATCGTGTCGACGCGACAACTGAAACGCGCGTCACGATTTATCGCGCTTCTTTCGCGTCGCGTTTTTCAGCGTTTAAAGTCGATAGTTCCGAGATCGATAAGTCGAAACGACGAGGTCGTAAATCGCGCTCGTTCCAGTCAACACCGTCGACGTCGAAGTCGTCTCCGTTCGGCTGCGTGCATCGACGGTGATAAACTGGGAATCTGAGAAATTAACAAAAGGGTTCAATTCCAATTGGAATCAATATAAAACGCAAAGTCTCCTCCGATGTGTTGTACAACCGTGAAGATCGCTAGGCGAAGGGTTAACGTTCATGGAAAAGAAGTCGGAAAATCGGGAAATTGATTTTCGCGGAAGCAGAGTAGAAGGGCGAAAGGGAAGATAAAACGCGGGGCCGCGAAAGCGGCGAACCCTTGGTCCCGCCTACACGGATCTTATTCGTGGCCGCGATGGCCGCTATCCCGTATCTCCGATTCTCCGCTCCGAGCGGAGTCGCGCCTTGAAGGTGGAGACGCGTCTGCGCGCTCTCTCTTTCTCTCTCTCGCTTTTTCTCCATCCCCGTCCTTCGTCTCTCTTTCACCTCAACCGTCGCCGCTCGCGTACTCGTCTTTTTTTCTCTTTCTCCTCGTCGTTCCCCGCGGTTCTCGCCCCCTTGCGTTCGTCCTCCCGTCCCCCTCGCCGACGATCGCCACCCTCTTCCCTAAAAGATCTCGATCTCCCTCGAGGACTATGGCGACTCGGAGGACGGTAATAATCGATTTGTTTCGCCTGAATTCGGCAGATGCCGCGGTGTTAGCTCACGGGGAGGATGTTCCACGGGGGCGGAAGCGGTGGTTACGGCGCGAGTTCCGACTACCAGCAGCAGTCCCAGCAACAGCAACAGCAACACGGCCAACAGCTCCAGGCACCCGTCTACGTTCCTTCATCCAGGCCGACCATCCCTTCGGCAGCGACGGCGGCGGCGGCTGCGGCGGCCGCGCAATATCATCCGTTTCCCACTTCCGGTTCGCCCGCTTGGTAAGTTTTTCATCATTTTCCTCCCCTTCTGCCGAGAGCATCGTCGAGCGTTTTTCAACAAGCGTAATTGGAACGAAAGGGAGAAGACCGCAGCTTCGTGGCAGCATGGAGTGGACACGTACGCGGCGCATCACGCGTTGGCGGGCCATGCGAGCGGTTCCGCGGCCGCGGCCGCGGCTGCCGCCGCAGCGATGGGCCCGCATTCCGGCCACGGTCATCCGCACGCGGCCCACCCGCACACCGGACATCCTCATACGAGCCTCGCCGCGGCCGCCCCGTTTTACGCCCAAAACGTCGCCATGATGTCCTCCTGGCGCGCCTACGACGGAGCTGGATTTCAACGAGCCTCGCCCTACGGTTCGTATCCGAGTTCCTTTTCTTTATTTAACGCACCTTCGCGAAAACCGCGCGAACCAGCAGCGTAGCTGGAGGGTTAAGAAACGGACGGTAAGGGGAGATGGAAACCGCGCGATGGCAAAGTAGGAGCACTCACCGTTTTAGACGTTAACCAGACTGGAGGGCAACGGAAAAGCTAGTGCGATGGCTATCGAGGATAAGGAGAAAAAAGCTACTTTGCTGGTCGACGAACGCAGGGCCACGCGGCCGGGCCATCTGCGACGGGTAAGCGATAGCGGCCTCTTTGATACGAGCTCTCTCTCGCAGCGTCGAGTGGTTTTGCGGTGCATCGCGCGCTCCTTCTTCGCGACCGTTTCTTTTCCTCGCAGCGTCTGTCGTACGGAACGCGTTTCTAAACGTAGCGACGTGCGTTACCGGGGATGGAGGATAGGTAAACGTGTGCTCTAAATCGATCCCCGATCATTCCAGATACCGCGATGGACTTTCAATTCGGCGAGGGTCGCGAATGCGTGAACTGCGGCGCTATATCGACGCCGCTCTGGAGGAGAGACGGCACCGGGCATTATCTCTGCAACGCGTGCGGACTCTATCACAAGATGAACGGAATGAACAGACCGTTGATCAAGCCCTCGAAACGGCTGGTAAGTTGCCCCGACCAACCGATCCTCCTACGTCGCTGCTTTTATCCCGCATCCGAGTTTTCTCGCGAGTTCCGTGCCGCGGTCAACGAATCCGAACGGACGTCGGAATTTCAGACAGCGACCAGACGGTTGGGACTATGCTGCACCAACTGCGGCACCCGTACCACCACCCTCTGGAGGCGGAACAACGAGGGTGAACCGGTGTGCAACGCTTGCGGTCTCTACTTCAAGCTCCACGGTGTGAACAGACCTTTGGCGATGCGAAAAGACGGCATTCAGACGCGGAAACGGAAGCCGAAGAAAACGCCGGAACCGAACGCGAGACCGTCAACCGGCGACCACGAGACCGCCACCGTTTCCACCGCATCGTCTCCGTCCACCGGTGAGTTTTCGCACGAAACAACCCTTTCCCTCCTCGATGCTTCGATTCGCGACTTCTTCGAAATTTCTTCTCTCTTTCTTTTCTTTCGTCTTCCACCAACCGACACGGTACCCTTCGCGTAATTCGCAGAAATGAAGAACAATCAACAGCAATCGCAACAGCAACAGCAGCAACAACAGCATCATCATCAAATCGAAACGTCCAAGTCGTCCGGCGTCGGGGCATCGTCGAGTTCGAACGAGAGGCCGGTGTACCTAGGGCACACGTCCCTCTTGGCCACCGGAAGCGTGGCCACCGTGAAAACGGAACCTCGTAGCTGCGACGGGATCGTCGGGCAACCGTACTCCTCGTACTATCAGCATCCTCACCAACTCGGGGTCACGACTAGCGAGCACCAACAGCAAACCTATTACGCTAGTCAAGAAGCGCCTTATCATCATCAACACCACGTCACCGCGGCTGCCAAGTTGCTCGCTTCCTCTTAATTCGATCAACATCCGGGACCGACGGAAAACTCGTGGTTCGCGTTGTTCCGCGAAGAGATGATTCGCGACCGATGTACTCTATCAGCCAAGAAACGTTCGCGATTCGAACCGAGTGATTCGACCCGGCGTTCTTTTTTTCGCGACACCTTATTCTTCGTACGTTCCTTTGCGTTCGCGCGGCTAGTATACCCATCATTGACGCATTAAAAGTACTTAATTGTAAATACCTATGTATCGAAGTTGTCCGAAATCGAAAGACTGGATATCTAAAAAAGCGTATCGACGATTCGGGTTGACTGGCCGAGAAGGCGGCGGAAAAGTAGGGTGGCCCCGTTAGCCGTCGCGTCGCTTTCGCACCCTTGTGCCACCAGTCGCGTCGCCTCGATCGATCTCCGAACCGAATCGATCGGTTTTTCTTTTTCTGTACAGTTCCTGTATCGTTAGTTATTTTTTTTTTTTCTCTCGACGCGCAATAAAGTGAACAGCTTTCGACCTTGCCTCATCGAATGCTTGGCGAACCAGTAAACGCGTTATCGACCCCGTTCTCGCGCAACCCACCGTTATTTCCTAACCCTCTCGAAGCTGTCGAGTCGCGAACCAACCTACCTACGCTCCCGCGATTCCTCCACGTTCGAACGATCGCCTTAGGCCTCGTCAGTGCTCGGTAAATATTATCTTTTCGCCGGTCTGACCGGAACGACTCGAGTGACATAGGTACTCAACCCCTGAGAGACGCGCTCGTCGATAAACCAAACTACCCCTGTGACGGGCTCGAGAATCGTTTGCCCCGCAATCATTTGCTTCGCCTTTATTCCTTGCCACCTTTACTACCTTCCGTGCGATCAGTCGATCCACGTCCCTGTTCCTCGCTGCATCGCCGATATTCTACTCCTCGAAGCTCACTGTTTTTCCGCCCGCGGAAAAATGGGTAAGTAAAGATTCGCCCGGGGTGAATTAGCACGGTTTCGTTTTCTTAATCGCACCGTCTTATCGGGACAGGAAGAACATTGCCCAGCCCCGTCGATTGCAAGGTCTGCGGGGATCGATCCTACGGGAAGCATTACGGGATCTACTGCTGCGACGGTTGTTCCTGTTTCTTCAAACGATCGGTGCGTCGCGGCGCATTGTTCGCGTGCATAGGTTTGTTTATGCCAGGGTGATAATTAACGCTGTCTCACGGCATCGTCCGACGTAAATCGGACTCGATCTTTTCAGCTGGCACCGGGACGTGCGCCGTCGACAAAGCGACACGCAATTGGTGTCCGCATTGCCGTTTGAAGAAGTGCTTCACCGTAGGCATGAACGCCGCAGGTAAGAGCAATTTATCTTTATTCTCTTCCTAGAGATCGTGTTTATCTTCCTGTTTCACCGTGAAACAGGATGATCGCGCTCTTTGTTCCGTTAAATATACAACAGGCAGCTCGATTACTGTCGCGAAGTACTAATTAGGAACCGATTCGGATCTAGAATAGCGATCGAATACCACTCGCGAGAGACGATTTTCCGAGGGAAATTCCAACGCGTTAAACGAAGGAAACTATGAGGAAAGAAAATGGAAATTGATGATAGAATTTGCGCGATTAGACTCGTTGATTGCCGCGTTTTATTCTACCGCAAGTTCGATTCCGTTCGATCGAAACGAGATGCAAACAATGCCGCGTGTCGATTGTTCCACCCCTATTGAAAGACTCATTCGATATTTTTATACCGTTACCGAGAAGCGCTTAGTACTTTCGATAACTTCCTTCTCAAGATCCCTTCGTTTTAACCCTTTGACTGCTGAGTACTCTATGCTTGAACGTTCTGCGTGTACGAAATAAGAATCGAGTCGATAACAGTTGTCGCTTTTATTTTTATTTCATTTCATTTTACAGTTTATTTCTTAATTTCTTTTTTCTTTTACAGTGTTTTATCACATTATTATTTATTCATTTAATTATATACAATTATATATTGAATATAAATGAAATCAAAACGAGTTGAAAATGTGATGTATGTAATATTAGTAATATGTGTTGATGATTTTTATTCGATTATGATTAGGACTTGGACAGCGGTGTCCGGTTCAAAAATTTTTCGGAACCAGAATATTCAAATCCAATATTTAAATTTCACAATAAGGAATTATTTATGATAAGTACAAATTATAATACAATATTACATAACTTTTCTCGCAAAATCTTTGATTACGATGTAAATCGGTCTTAGCTTATTGATGATCGAAGATAATTTTTTATTAATTTCAACCGCCCCTAAATTAGGATAGCTTTTCCCTGACGCATTCGCGCGTCCATAGCAGTCAAAGGGTTAAAACACTAATTCGCTCGTTGAATAGTAAACTCTGGAACGCTCTTTGTTCTCCTCGATCTAGCCGTGCAAGAGGAGAGAGGACCGCGCCACGTTCGAAGCAAGATCTCGGTCATCGAGGGAACATCGCGAGTTCCTTTCCTATCTAAATCACCGCGGATGAATCTTCCCATTTCCGATTCAGAGATCTTAGCATCGAATTTCTCTGCAAAATCAACGGCGATTGGAAACAGGAGACCCGATTTTATTCCATCATCGACAGCGAGAATCTCCTCGGGTAATTAAACACCGAGGATTTCTAATCGATCGGCTAATTAGATCGGCGTTAACGAACGGGGATTGCTTGCAGAACCCACCGCCCGCTACGAAATCGCGGCCCAGATATTCCTCGCGACGGTGCGAGCCGCTCGACGACACCGCGATTTCTCCACGCTCTCTCTCCATGAACAAAATGGAATTCTCCGGAGAGGGTGGGCCGCAGCGTTCGTTCTACGCGCCGCGATTTGGCCGGTGGATCTGACGAATTTTTGGAAGACGGAGGGTGTCTTAATTCGCGAGGGTGTGCAGGAAGTCTTAGCCGCGGCCCGTTCCGCCGTCTCCGACTTGCGCCTCGATCGAACCGAGATCTCGGTTCTGGAAACCCTGTCCCTCTGCAGACCTGGTAAATCTTATAGTTCTTTCCCTCGGATCGTTATACTTATTGCTGAAAGTTTTCGTTTCTGGAAATCTCTTCAGAGATCGCCGAAACGGCGAATGGTTTCTGCGTGACATCACGAGCAACCGATTCGGCGCTAGAGATCCTCGTCCGTCATCTCGCCGCTAGATCCTCCTCGCTAACCGAGCGATCTCGAAGATTGGCTAAGATCATGCTGGTGCTTCCCATTCTGACTGCTTGCTGTCCACGACAATTGGCCACGGATCTCTTTGCGCCCATTATCGGACACGTAGATTTCGAAAAAGTAATCGCCTCTGTGCGTTGATCCTCTTCTTCTTCCTGGTCCTAACTTCCTTTTTTTTAAAAAGTAATCTGGTCTCGGTGGTTAAAGAAGGAATGGATCGTTTAAAGGGGAAAGAAATTCGACTGGTAATTTTCTTTGGCACTTTATTGACGCAAGTATAACAACCTTATGATACTTGATATGTACAATTACTTAAAGTAATATGGCGCATCGGTGTGGAACACGATGAGAAAGTATCGACGGACACGAGACGTTGCGGAAGAAACGCCTCGCCAAGTTATCGACACGAATACAATTAATCATCGATATACGAATAATAAGATTAAAAACGCTACTGTAATTGCGGAAGCTCTATATGGACAGCACGCGCATGGGTGCGTGCATAACTGGTCGTTAGTAGTAGATTTTAATAAATTAGAATAACTCGGAGTGTAGAAATTGGAAGCGTCTAAAGCGCCGTCACGACGCTGCGTGGAAATTTACAGGTTTAAGTTATCTTCGTGATTTCGTCTTTGTTTAACATCACAAAGGAACGTTATTGCACAAATGTGTTACCGTGTATCGAACTTGAAGAAACGTCACGGTAAAATGGTCCGCTTGTTATACGCTTAAATTTCTTGTCAAAGTACTACTTACAAAGACGCGAGAACGCGATATCTTATAGAATACAACTGCACCTTGAGTAATGCCGACAGTCGGTAAGTCTACGACCGACCGGGTAAAAGTACGCGCCTGCGTCGTAAATGCACAATTAATGTTAGTAATACTTCTTTTTGTACTTTCGATATCTCTCTTCCTCGGAATGTCGGTGCAACTGGCTCAGAAGATCGTTCGGTACGTACCACAACTTGTCCGAATTCACGAGAAGAGCCTCCGTCACTTGGCAGCATATGGCAGCCATGTTTACTTGGGCGCCCAAGTCGCTGCGGTCGCGTGGGTGCACGTATCGCGGCGGAAACAGAGACGGTGCTACGATCATGGCAACGTTATGGATCGACATTTTATTCGATCTTTGATTTGCTACGATCAACTTGAAAAAACTGACTAACACTTTTAAGGTACAACGGTGTTCTATCGGTAATAATAGCACCAGCAAATTTAAAGAGTACGATAACTCTTGACGATCCTTCACTCCTATTAGAAAAGAAAAAGAAACGTTTGTATTAAATAGATGATGGATTTTTTTCTCTAAGATGTTACTTACCATCTTATGGTAAGTGAAGCGTCGGTAACTTACCATGGCTTTGGTAGAAGGCGTCGATAAGTTCAACGGTGAGCAATGGCTGCGGTAGATCACGCAGTAACTTTTTTAAAACGGCCGATAAGTCGTGACACGATATGCATTTGAACAATTTGTCCATTTCTTTGGGTTTGCAATAGAAATCCGTTTCCAACTGCACGCATATCGCTTCGACCTGAACAGAACAATGATCATTCAATCGAAATCTATCGATACCTGTTTAAGGATCAACCATAGATAAATTGTACTTTTTGCTTGTGTCCTCCGACTCGAAGAATTCCCTCCTCCTTTACGCCACGCTTAGTCAGTTCACTTAGAATCTTTTGAAACACCAGTGGAATATTGCTCTCCTCAGAGGTCAGTTGACTGTCACGAAGCAACAAAGTCGACAATGATACGCCAAACAAATTTCCAGCTAAGAGTACAATTAAACGATTATTAGAAATAATTTCAATTTACACTCATCCTTCATAGTTCATGCGAACCTTTTGTCCGACGTTTGTTTGGTTTCCGTTTCTTCAATGGTACGTTATATTTATCAAACACCGCTGTAAGTTCGAGCCACAGAAGCGGCTGTAACCTCGTGAGGTCTCGTTGGCTCAACGCTTCTATCCCTAACCGGTTCTGTATATCGTCGGAAGTCAGCGCTTCCGATTTCCACACCTGAGGCTTCACCTCGTTCGCTCGACACATCTCCTCGAAACTCAGGTGACCGTGAGACGAGGTTCGATTCAGAGGATGTGTTATTAACCCTTCGTCCGCCGGCCTCGTTAATCCGTATAGACTGCTGTGGCTTCGAGTTACCGTTGCATGATTCCCTGCATTCCTTCTGAAATTTCGAACACATCAACGAACAAGAATTACAACGCAACTCGAACTCTAATATTACCTCAACGTGGAATCCTTTGTGGCATTCAATTTTTTCACCGATTCACTGCCTAAACTCGTGGTATTCGCCACTTCGCTCGGATCGCTACCGCTTCTTCTTTGTACAATCGGTTTTGGTACGTGTATCGTTCCCAATCTATGGTACCCCGTTAGCTGAATACCTTCTGCAATTAAATAATCCTCGTTATATATTTACAAAGTGTCTAATGTGATTACAGACAATTCGATGCACGCGAATGATACCTGAGTCGTTAGCAACGTCTCCTCGCAGCCAATTTCCAGCACGCCTAAAAATTTCCTGTACGGGTAACGGAGTTGCCGATGGCGGTGGTATTGTGCCTACTGTTGTAGGCGGTGCGCTCGGAGTTCTGCGTACCGTTTCTTTGTCCTCATTCGGTATTCGTTGGAACACCGACATAAAATTTGGAACGGTAGTGCTTTAGGGCAGATAAAACGATTGATACAGTATCGACGGCTGGTACCGTAGAAACGAGATACGAACGTCTTACTTTGGGTGATGCGCGTCGATGGAGGTGACCGTTGATGGAGGCGATGCGTTGTCTGGTGTCGCACCCGATACAGAATCCAAGGAGTCTGGTGTGGCGCTACGCGATCTTGTTCCGGTACTAGATACCTTAAATGTTAATTATGCAGTTTCAAACTGTTTGCTATTTACTGCAGCAATGGTCAACCAAGTACCTCTATATCCTTGAAAACATCTCTGATGTCTGGTTTGCGAACGCGTTGCCGTTGATTAAAGCGCTGTTTTACCGTGTGATTAAGAGATTTCACGCGACGTTTTACCGCTTCTGCTTGCGCCCTAGACAAAGGTCGCAAAGCTGCACCCAATTCTTCTGGTTGTACTTCTCTGCCTGCTTTCCATGCCTCTGTTAGTTGGCCTAGACCTGCTGTCCGTAACCACTCAGCTTCCTCTTCACCTTCTATTCAATTGATCCCAAGTTTATTTCAATTGTAAAGCTGGATACTTTCAAAGCAACTTACCATCATAGTTGCGTGGACATTCCTCTTCAAGGTAATCGTCCAACAGTTTAGTTTCCTCCATCATTTTCTTATATTCTTCCCAGTAATCCGAAAGGTGGTTATCACCTTCCATGTACATGGTTGTTTGCGATTTCTCCATGATTTTTTATTTTATACTTGCACCTTGATAATTCTTAATGTATACTTTTATTTGTAGTCCAAGTTTAGAAATTATTTTCACATATGTCTAAAAACAGAGAAAGATATGATTTATTTAGATGAAATTCATTTTCTCTATAAGCTTGTTTTCTAAAGTAGGACGTAAATCGAATTTACATATTACTAGTAGCTCGAGTAAGTACTGACACTTTTAAACGAGTCGGGGAAAAAATGGCACCAGATGAAAATAAACAATCATTTAAATTCTCCTGTCGTACGAGATACACATTGTTACGTGTTACGCAAAGTAAGTGCAAACACAGGTATTTGTGAACCATGACCGCATAAAGTTAATGAATTTATACAAAAATTAAAAAAAAAAAAAATTAATATCAACACCTAACCTCTTCGCAGTACATTGTTTGACACACTTATATAAAGTAGTCGTATAGTAAAATATTCGTCAATGAAATACGTACCTTTATAAATAGCCTTGATCAGAAAGTGTTGTACCATTGTTTGCACGATCATCTTACACCGAAAATAAACGTTGAATCGATGATGGTGATGCGCGAATCTCGGAAAGGGCAGATTTAAAAAAAAAAGAGGTAGTTTTTTAACGTCTATATCCGTAGTAAGATTTTTTTTTTCTAGAAATAGGCGGGTTTACGCGCGAATAATATTTCGAGGTTGTCTGCTACTTCCGAGGAGTAATATATTCAATGCATGCCTTTGAATCGCACCCATCGTCAGCGAGATCGTCGACTCGACCTAAATACGACATTAGCTATCCTTACTCAAAAACTTAACAGATAAACTCGTGTGCATAACTTTTCTTTCTTTCGACTTAACTTACATTGAAAAATAGATAAAGCGAGAACGTATCCTCGCGAGTCGCGACTTAACAACCTGTTGCTGACGCATACGACTCCCACCTGTACGTATATACTTATACACATGTACACTGATTCACGGTTTTGCCATTTTTGAGTTGACACCTGCGCCATTGAGTCACTCAACCTTTCGCGCCATCTAGTTGTTTGAATTTTCAATCCTTCCATTACCATCGCGAGCGTTCTGTGTTAAAAATCTCGCGTATGGTAAAAAATACTCGATTCTACTTGAGTAGATGCATGCATGAATTAAGGAATAATGCTGGGGCCATAAACGCCATAAACAGTAGGTTTTACAATTTTTAAGTGGTTGCATTTATGCATTAACTATAACGCGACGCAATGCGTGAAGTCTCCCGAATTATTAACGCCTTATAATTAACAATGCCGTTATAAGATTAGCGCGTTAATCCATGGCCCTAGCATAACTAATGTAACAAAAGATTATTATTCCACAAAAGCGCATAACGCTTTTCATTTATTTGTAACGACATCTCAAACAGAATACCATAACGAATGTAGGGAAACATGCAGGATAAACATATTTTCAAAAAGAATTTAGTACACGATCCTCTTGCGTTCAACTTCTGTTAGCGCGATTGCCCCATCCTCTTCTATGCGTGTCTTTATACTCATCCATAGCGCGTAATTGCCTCAATGTATCTGGATCATCTGCATCTATCATTCCTTCCTTTTTAATATCGTCCTCCTCGCTGCCAGTTGCACCGGTGTTTGCAACGTTTTGTAAACACTGGGAATTTTGTTGTTGTTGAGAAGGATCTGGCCAACTGAAAGTAAGAATTATTAAAAATGACTTTCAAAGGCTGTGTTCACTGATCGAATTATAAATTCTTGTACTCACTCTCCGTCTTTTATGCGTTGATCATAAAATTCTTGAACAGTGAGGATAGGTAAACTAGGATAACCAGCTCCATATACTTTCTTCTGCATTTCGTCTCGGGTAATAATGATCGGCTGTAATTTGTGAGGCGTTGGTTTATGCTTCAGTATAGCTTGATCAGACATAGTTTTAGATTTTGACATTCTCTTCATGTGTTCCAGTATCGGTTTCTCTGCAGCTAGGGAGCTCAATTCATCTATCGTCAGATTTACATACAATTTTATAAGTGTTACAAAATAATCCCTCTTAACTTCGTCATCTATATTCGGATTCGACAAGTTTGCTTTCAGAGTTTCTAAACGCGATTCCAATTCTTTCTGCTCCTTGTATCTCTGTAGTTTCGTGTTTCTTCGGTTTACCTAGAAATTTAAATAACAGCAAAGTTCATTGAAAGATCTTGGACCGCAAGTTGCAGAAAAACTCTTACCATTTCTGTAATTAATTCCGCGTTCGTTCGAACTCTTCCAGAAGTGCTTTCTTTCTCTGATTCTGATTTAATTTCCGGTATCACGATATCGGTTAATCCGTAAGCTTTAGCGCGCTTCAAAAAGTCCACAAAATATATTTCAGCAACGTTAACGATATTCATCCGGTTATCCGCGTTACAAATTTTTGTAGTCAGCGTACCAAGGAAGGCTGGCAATAAGAAATATTTGATGTTTTCTGTAGCCACTTCTTCGAAACTTTCGTTTTCGCTAAACATGTCGACTATGGAGACTAGTTTTGTCGCGTCTTCCAACATTTTCATGGTTCTCTTGATGTCAGACTATAATGTACAGCAACAAAAATAAAAAAAGATATATTTATTTTTATCCTAACATACATAAAAAAACAAAATTTCTCTAGGAATTTATTAATTGTTCGAGAAAACACGGGAAAAATAGTTTGCAAATATTTATGCGTAACCTTAACAATAAATACCTGAACTTTTGAACTGTTTGTAGGTTCGGTTGTTTTATTAAGATCGTTAAACATTTCGAATGCTTTGTCAAATAATTCTGACAGCGTTGCACTATCTTTTACATCGTGTACCAATTCGGATGAATTTTCTGATGACATGATTGTTGTTTTGACAGTTCTCTTCTTTTGACAGAAGTATACGCTAACCACATAACCGCTTACGGTAGAGGTTATGTACGAACAGAAAAGCTTAAAGTGAAGTTGGCAATAAAGCGCATTTCATACGATCAATCGATTACTTTCTAAAAACAGTTAAACGCGCCGTCGCTTGTTTGATTTGAAATTAAGATGTAAATAAATGTACACAGATTATTTAAATATAGGATTTTTATTTGTTTTAATTTCATCTCCGTACAACTGTACGATATTTTGTTTAACAATATTTATCAAAGTTTCACGTAAAGCGGGTATTCGATAAACGAATTCACGATTGTAAAGAATCGAGCAAAGTTGGCTTCCATAAGTATTAATTCAAATTCTCCCGCGTAAGTGCGCATGCGCAAGTGAGTGGTCCGCCGCAGACTTATATAAAGGAGGCTCTCTCCCTTACGCCGGCAGTTTCCCCGTAGCCGCGTAAGGGGAAGGATGGATGCCTAGAGCATTGTTATCTTTTCTGGGGAAGTCCTGAGGATACCATACTCGATACTGTACAACTGTTACCCGATCGTTTCGCTAAAATTCACTTACAAAATAAATAAAACTGTAATAATGGATATTTTCCTGATAAGTAACTTTCACCGATGAAATCGATTAGACGCGTTCGTGTAAACATTATTCTTTCAAGTTGTAATTTGCAACCTTTGCGAGGTTTAAGTTAAGTTTCTCTTTTGCCACCACGTTTCCGATCGATTGAAAATTCACCAAATCATCGGTAGAGACAACTTTCAATGGTTATCCTTGTTGAAAGGCACGATCGGTTATCTCCTTATGTGGCTAGGTATAGAAATATTTGTAATTATTGTGACAATGCCTTACACTGTTTGCAGTTTTCCATTCGTTCGTCGAATTCCTCTATCTGGAGGGTCATTTCAAAAAATTTGTACTTGTCATGAATATTTCTCGTTGCAGTGCGTAGTATATCTTGAGGACTTGTCCCTGGTTCTTGAATAAAAGAAAGAGTAATAAAGCATCCGTCTATAAAGAATTCATGAAAATTTCAACTCGAAGAAGAAATCTGTTCTTACTTATCGCGAGATGAGCAGAAAGCGCTGTTTTATCCAACGAGAGCGCCCAGATACGAAGATTGTGCACCTTGACCACACCCTCGATTTGCATAAACGTACTCTCCACCTGGGAATACTCGAATCCCTTCGGAATTCCTTCCATTAAAACGTTCATCACGTCTTTGATTATTGCCACTGTGGTTAGCATCACCAGTATCGAAAATAAAAAGGTGCAAATTGGATCGACTATGCTCCAATTTGGCTGTAAATAAGTAATCGTACGAATTAATAAACAAACGTTTTAAAGCGTATTGATAAAAAGACTAGCTCATAGTGTACCTTGAAGTAAATAACTAACGCTGCAACCAGCACTCCTACGCTCTGAATGAAATCCCCTACAACGTGGATAAAGGCAGCGCGTACATTAATATTTTTCTTATCGTGATGAAAATCTTCGCCAATTTTTCCATTTTCCACGTTGTTCGTTTTGTGCGAATCGTGTTCGTGTCCATGCCCATGTGTGTGACCATGCTGGTGTAACGACAAACCCATTCTACAAGATTGAATCATTCATTTTATATAGCATCTACTTATATGGAATTAAGTTCAAATGACATTACTAACACTAGATTGATCGCAACGCCAATGGCAGAGGTGATCAACATGACAGTGACATTCAATTCGAAGTCTTTGTGGATTATCCTCTCGACTGCCAAATAAAAAAGGATTCCAGTCACTATCCATATGAGTAGAACCGAAGTCAAAGCTCCTATTACCTATAAAAATTCGGTTTCAATGAAATCGAAATTGTGTTCTACATTGAGATAGTATTATCAGATACCTACTTCCGCCCTGTACCAGCCAAAAGGCATCTTCCGTGTCGCTGGTCTGCTCGCAACCCATATTGAGAACAGGGAGATCATGAACGACGCGAAATCGGTTAACAGATGCGCTGCGTCCGTCGCGATCGCCAAACTGTTTGACCATATACCACCTGAAAAAATGAACCCATTGTTTCCGCTGAGAACCCGTTTAACTTAAACTCCTTTCGTACTATGTACGGTTCTTTTTCGATACGTATTTCAACGTATGCGTTTCGCTCGTACGTCTATGTATGATAGTGTATTACCTACGATTTCTGCTATCATAAAAATTACGCATAGCGCGCTAGCAAGCAGTAATTTCTTTCTTGCCTTTTTATCGATCTCCTCGTCTCTTTCTCTATGGCAATGATCTTCCGGTACGGCTAAAAGCATAAGGCAAATATATAAACGTACGGTCAGATTAGAATAGGATGAAAAGGAAAGGATGCGAATATACGTATTTACTGGAAGAACTTTTTTGGAGATCGCCGATTCCATTCTCGTCGATCGACGCGCCCTTCACGACCGTGCAACAACCCGATAGTTTCCCGTGGACGCAAAAGATTACTTTTCTAGAGGTCACATCGTTCTCCTCGACCTCGTTGTTATTCGGTGGTATGCTCGTCCCATACCCATATATAGCCTTGTCCTTGAATCTATCAAGCAAAGAAAACCAATTGATTTCAATATGCTATTAGGAATTGCCAATGTAGTTATTTTGATTTTCGATAAATATCGATATCATAGACGCATCGCCGCCCATATTTTTCGTTCCCTCTTTTACCCAGTCTTTGACCGGAAACTGAATTTATTTGAAACGCCTAATCGACTCTTCCATTTTTGCGTTTTAATCAGTGCCGTAAACATTTTGTCTTTCCACGAGGAAAAAGGACGATTCCAGGTAACCCAAGGATTCATTTTACCAACGCAGGAACCATTTTTCAACATTATGTACCCTTCGCGCATGCGCAGAGGAAGTTAACCTTAATTGGACTATCGCGTCGCGCGCGTTGAAAATTTACTATAGATAAAATAGGATTCTCAGACTTGAAATTAGCTCGTTTCGAAGACATAAACGGTGACCTTTTACTTCTAAAACTATAAAACAAATTTTCCAATCTCTGCTCAGCGTAATTCGCTCGTTCCTTCTGTTCGTTCGTACGGAACGATTATCCCCAGGTTTTTCTGTAGATGGGTGTATTATTGGCGTGCGGGGATTTTTTTATAAACGTGCCAGGTCAGGCGACAACCGGAAGAGGAGAAACTTTCGCTTCGGCTACCATTCGCTAGAAATTAATTCTAGGCCGTGGTACGTGTCGAAAACGCTTCTCGTTTATTTCGTTCTGGATGTCCCACGACCCTGAACGTTATCGCGCGGTACTCATCGCCGTCGAGCGCATCGTGCTCGACCGGGAAAAAACATTCCTCTGAACATCGTATTAAAAAGCGCATTATTTTTTTTCGAACCTCTACTTTAGATATCGGAAATGTTTATGATCGTTATCGAAATAGGTGTAATGGATCCTTATCGAAGTTATCACGAGAAAAATTACGTTCTGTTTTTGGATTCTGTTTTCGGCTTTTTTGGGCTTTGACCGAAAGTGCAACGAACGGATCACGTACTCAGATGGTTTTGTTATCAATAGAGGAGGCGAGAGGAGAAAATTTGGATACGTTGATTGGGACGGGGGAGAACGATGACGCATCTTATTCATTCTTATCGTTATCTGACGACACGATATCGAGAATGCCGTGTGCAAACAGATATTTGTCAGATCGTTATCCGCGAAGGTACATTTTTTCGCCGAAAACAGTTATCCTAGAGCAACGACGATGCCGTGTGCAAAATTGTTCCAAGTGAACAAAGCATATCCGATTTACGGAATCAGGGATTATTTTTCGAGATATCGTTGACGTCGATTATAACCTATTTACGAATTTTTATTTCCATGTACGATGATTGTAATGTTGGATTTGAATAAGAAAATGGAAACGGCATAAAAGAAAATCGAACAGACAAGAAAAGAAAATATTTGGAAAGAAGAGCAATGAGTTAGAATCGTTTATCTCTGACGTGCGTCTTGTCTCGACACGTGCCTCCGTATATCGATAGATCGAGTTCAAATATCGTTTGTGATTTTGGAATTTCAAATAAAATTCAGAAGAAATGGAAGAAAACAAACGAAGAGGTTTTCTGATTCATAAAACGACTATCAAAGAAACACAATGAACGTTACTCGAGCATTACGATTCGACGAGAAATTCGATCGCGATTTGTTTGGTAATCGATCCTATAAACGCAGGCAATCCACGGCTAACCGCAGGTCGTAACTCGATCCCTACTGTGCTGTTCGTTGATCGATCGATATGATTTCGTCGATAGGACAATTTTCCGATTTCTATTCTATCGAAGAAAACTGGTGTACAGTAAGAAAATTAATGAAATTATACTACCTCCGGAAAGCAAAACGCAAGAGAAAACAAAAAGAATGAGGAAAAGATAAGTAAAGAGAGGAAAACTCGCAAATGGTATTTATCGACTTAACAACTACAAAGCAGCGGATAAATTATCGCGACAACGCAGTTTTCACGAAAGGTATAATCGAATAGTAGGAAGGAAAGAAATAATGAAAATCCAATTCCAGCATAGGGATCGTTGCGTTTCTATCATCGCAACTTCTGTTTCTCTTACTTTCAAAGAATGTACTATCCGTACTAATGCGTGCGATGGGTTAATCGGTGGGAGAAGGTGGAGGGGAAACGATCGAGCGATCCGATCCGATTCGATCCGAGTCGATACGATTGAATACGGAAGGATATTCGAACTCACAGCTTGATTTTCTCGTCGTCCATGATCCTCGGAACGTTGCTTGTACGGTGGATCTCGATGCTGATCGTGACGTACGACAAGCAGGACGGATCGATTCGCCGGACGATGGATCGATTGAAAATATGGAAAAGAAAAGCGAAAGGAGACGAGAACGACAGACGCGATGACGATGGAGAAGGGGGCGCGGCAGTAGAATCGTCGCGTCGGTCGAACGAATTCGTCGCGTTAAGTCCTAGGCCGATCGGATAGTCGTGGATGGATGGTATACGCGTCACTGGTTACAGGAACAACAAAATCCGTTTGACACTTCATGCCGTCTTTTAGTAGAAAACCTTCGGTCCGGCTTGGTCCGTTTATTTTACTAGATAGCTTAACTCTCGGCGAGTTTCTCTCGCTCTCTCCCTCTCTTACTCCCTCGGTCACTCGATTTCCCCCTCCTCTCGTTCCAAGATCTCCACCGATCCTCTTCCTCCTACTTCGCTTCGGCTCGTGCAACCATCGTTTCCCCCGTAACCGTTTTCTCTATCTGCTTCTGCCTTTCCAACTTCCTATCTGTTTCGTTGCTTGCTCCGTCTTCGTTGCGCTTGAAAAACGATAGCGTCGCTGGCACGGGTGTATCGTGCTTTCCTGTTTCCGTTATTTCCTGATCGCGCGTGGAACCGCGATCCACTGCAAGCTTCCCGTGATGTCGATGGAATTTCATCGATCAGATATCGACCAGTACTGATCCCAGTTACCAATCGATCGTTTCTACACGATCAACGACACACTGCGTCCCGCTCTCTTTCTCTCTCTCTCCCTTTATCTTCTTTCCTTTCGAGCTTTTTGTTATTTGGCTTCTCGGACGATTTGCAAAACCGTTCAGTTTCCGTCCATCTGTCAGCCACGTATACAAAACGCTCTTCCGACGACGATATTGTACACGATTATAAATCCTGGAAGAGAAATAACACGCGCGCCGAAAAACACATCGCCGTTGACTAGACTGTACGCGTTAGCACCCGTCGCTTTCGCGGCTGACCACCTAACTAACTATAAGTACCGCTTTCGCTCAGCCGCGTTCGGGAATCGTTACCTGTTGCGTTTGATCGTGTCCGGTAAAATAAGGGAGGGAAGGGATCCAGAGGCGTTAAATAAACGCATTGCTTTCCTACGATTATTTCGACCTCCGTTCTTGTATAAATCATAACGCTGCATTTGTCAATTTACTCATTATGGTATCAGCACGTGTTATATATCTGCTACTTTTTTTATCAACAAAATCTCATTCAAGGTAAACGCGTGTCGATGATTTAATGATTTGAGAGTAAGATGTATGTATTGTACACACAATGTGTACATACGTAAGAGATTAAGCAACTTTAGGCGCACGATTATGGACCGGATAATGATGGTATGGTATTTAAGGTATGCTATTATCTCTCTTGGCACTTGGATTCTTTTGATCGAATTCGAAACAATGAAAAAGAAGATAGCACGAACGCGTAAACGATACTTTAATTTTACGTGAACTTATTTCTGTCATTGGGTTGTATGCATATAAATAAGCAAATGCTTAAGTAAGTATATCTTCATATAAGGATGAATCATAAGATAAAAAAATTTAGTAAATGTTTAATCGAGTATTAATCGAGCCTCGAAAAGCATGTTTATCGTTTTCCGTAATAAAATCGATTAACAGGGCCGCCCCTGGGCCTAGGCAGACTAGGCGACCGCCTAAGGCCCTCCAAGATCCAGGGCCCCCATAAGACGATTTTGCGTCTAAGAATGCAAGAAGAGTAATGTTTTAAATTAGCTATACAAGCTTTAATGCTAATTTTATAAATTTTATATCAGCTACTTTTTTTATGTCATATATTTGAAGGGGCCCTTTCTCGGGGCTCGCCTCGGACCCCCAAAATCTGATAGCCGGCCCTGAGTCGCAACAGCACGATTCAATTTTAAATAAAAAAGGAATGCTATTCGTTACGAAGCGACTATTTTTTAAACCGTGTACGCAGACCACTTTAACGAACGGAAAAGAAATTTTACCGCCTAAGAAGGTTGTTTGTTGACCTACACGAATCGAAATTAATACGAACGCATTATGATATAATGCTTTTATGGATATTAAATTCTGTTTTCGTTGATACGATAACGAACAAGAAAGAGGAATGTCACTAAGCGTTTTATGTGAAATTAAATTCGTATTAAAATTTCTAGGTAATACGCGATTCGTATCGAATCGAATCAAATCGAATTACACCTAGCCGTTAACTAGTCTGTTTCACGTATTATCGTTATTTCATAGTAAATAATCTATTGTTACGGAAACGTACAGCCACCTGACCCTACTAAACACGAAGAACATACTGTAATTACGTACGACATGCGATCATCTCGGATAACTTCTTCCATTCTTGCGATTAGGTATTGACGTACACTTCGTTCCCTTCAAAGATGCCAATCTTTCTATCGATCAAATTAAAGGATTAACCTAAACACCCGAACAAGATAACATTCAACGATACACGCGGAAGAGCAAGAGCTTGGCTCGCGCGCGCAACGATCTACAAGAGTATTAAGTTTTTATACGGACGAGAGATGTCATTAGTAGCGAATCAAAGTCTATTCGCAATCTTACGTTTCTAAATGTAGATTTAATCTGTCCCTTCGTGATATTAGATCGTTTGATACCGTTTGCTGAATCATCGAAGTCAAGCTGAAACGAAAGACATCGAATACTTACTTAAAATAGGTAAAAACAATTTAAAAGTCGAATGTTCTTTTATTGGTGAACGAAGAAACGCTTCTTTTCCTTTTTCCATGAAAAGCATTGAAGACATACTTACGAGTACTGATAAAAGGTAGTTTACAAACATTACAAGTTTATTTCTTACGGTAACCATAAAGTAGACAAATACAAAATCACCATTGTGTTTAACAGTGCAAAGATAATTCCATCTGTACGGTTAATCGCGATACACCGTGACGAGAACGTACGTTTTCGTATGATTAAACTGTACGAGTGTAGTTCCGTTTCGCACTTATTCACATAACATTTAACTCTTTCCTGGCGTATGTTTTCTATTCGTCGAGCTGTTGCATAAAAGGTTGCTTGGAGCGGTGATGCGTGAAACTTTGTTTTACAGTCTTCAAGTTTAGCCAACACTGTGTTCTTTCTCTGCGTGTAGTGGTATAAAATAAAAATTATAAAATAAGAACCGATCTGTAAGAATTTTTCTGGAAAAGTCTTGCATTACCTTAGTTCCAGTTTGTGACTTCTTGCACTTTGTACCATTATTTCTTCTTTCTTATAATTCTTCGTGTTTCGAAGAATCCTCGGTGGATTCGAATGTTTCTAAAAAGTGAAAGGAGAAATAGTGACATAACAATTACATACTTAACGAGAAAACTATTCAAAATACATATATTATCGTTTAATCGATCCACACACCATTCGCTTCCTTTTCCGTTTGTCTATTTTCGTTCTCTATCTTCAATTGCAACGCTTTTATTTCTTCATCGTATCCGACCCATTCTGGTAAAATGCGCACAGCAGCTTGTAATTTAGCTTCTTTAGTCATAGGATTGTTACACTACGATAGAAAATGATTGGTTACATTTCGGTGTACGTTTATTACTATACAATTAATTAACTCTACCTACCAAATCTATGGTTTTAGCGTACTTTTTCGATGCGTCATCGCACCAAGTTTCGCACCACAACCATTCTTGCGGCAGTGTCTTAACGGCCACTTGATGTATCATGTTATTAGGGAGATCCTAAAACAACGCGTTACAAGTAACATTTTCCATTGATATTATCAGGGTTTCCCAAATTATGTTCCGCGGAACACCAGTGTTCGTTTCATATTTAAAAATAATTACTAACTAAATAATGTGTTTTAATAACATTTCTTTTTAATTTTTACTAGTAGGAATCACCCAACTTAAAAAGTAAGCTAAGTGTTCCGTTAATATTTCCGGGTTTTCGAAGTGTTCCATTGCAGAAAAAGTTTGGGAAACCTTGGTATTACGAATTCATTCATTTGATGTACACACTTGATCTAAATTGGCTAAGCTGTTAGGATCCTGGCTCAGTGCTTGATATTGTCCTCTTAATCTATCCCCGGCAGCGATGCGCCGGAAACGCTTCAAATCCACCACGTACAGTGCACTGATGTGATATGCGCGTCCTTGTAAATGATTTCGCCAGTATCCTTGCTTCCAAAATCTGAATCCATCCATTTCCTTTCTGCTGTCGCAAAATGGAGTGTACGCGTACGGCGCACCGCCGAGATCCATGGTTGCTAATTCCTTCAAATCTGCTCTCACGACCTAAGCGACAAAGTTGCTATGAAATAGAATTATTCTAGGCGCGATGTACGTTCATAAATTTTCTTCCGTATACCTGATCCGCGTCGACGAATATTATTTTCTTAACGTTTAACGGAAACAGTACATCCAAGAATAATATTTTATAACCCCATATGGTTCTCTGTTTCTCGGTTTGTTGATGAAGCCAACGAGGCCATTTATATTGTACGAGTTCGTATTCGAAACCATATTCCTTTGCCATCTGCGGCAAAAAGTCCTAATCGAAAAAGATTTGTTCTCCTGTCAATCGTGCATTTGTCATTCAATTACAGTTTGCATTGTCTCTTACTTTTAACGTTGGCGAAAGGTAATTTTTTAGAAACCAAAATTTCACAGGACTTTTCGTATGCTTTATCACGCTTAACATCATAATTTTTAGAAACCTTTCGTACAAATGACCAGAGGCTAGGGAAAAGATGTTCAACTTCTCGTCTTGATCCTCGCTATCGTCCGCCGTTGTAAATGTCCTAATTAAAAGAGAATAATAACAGTAACAATAGCATTCCTAATAATAATATTAAACCGTAGAAATGAAAAAGTAAAATCATTTCTTTCATTGTGGTGTGTATGAGCTACGATAAGCTATGATGATTAAGTAGTTGTGGGAAGCTTACCAAAATTTGGAAAAGCTAAAAAAAAGAGAGAGAATAAATAGAAAGTTAAAGTTAGAGGATAGCTAAGTGAAGTACTAAAAAAGTAGTACATATACTTACTTGGTAACAACAAATTTGAGATTACCAATCGACATAATATGAGTGTACGATTACAAATGCGGGGGGATAATTTCACGTACCTAGAAATAGAGTTCCATAAGCCAGAATTTTTATCATCTTCGGACAGAAGATCCATTCCTACTTTGTCCGGCTTCTTGGATACTTTGATTTTCAACACGTGACTCCTTAGAGAACTTATAACGACCTTCACTTCGTTGCCTTTTTGTATAACATCTTGTCCACCGACGGTAGTAAAATCGTATATTTCTGCCGATCTACCCTGACGTAAGCGTAAAATCCATTCGCCTGGATTCGCTTTCAATTGAAAGTATCCCAAGTTTGCCATCACTATAGTGTCTACCATTATAGGTCGTTTCTCTGTTCCCAATGTGATTTGCAATCCCCGCGGTGGATTTACCATCACTGCTTCGAAACAATGACCCTCGAGTAGTAGATGCTCTAATTCGAATTCACTGTAAAATTGAATAACGCATATACTAGGCCGCCATCCGGTTCGTGGCTGACATACTGGTGCGAAGCGATTGATTTGCAGTAAAAGTAATTTTAACAGAGTTAGGACACAATATAGCAATTAAAAGTAGTGTTTAATTGTTGATAATGTGGCGGAACACGAATTCAATTCCGATTTCTTTCATAGACTTAACATGGGTATCGGTTTCTGTGACCATTCCTCACGGACCCCACCGATCTCTGATTTTATTCTATATAAATACTCACAATGACCACTGTGATCGGCTTGCAAAGAATGGTCAAAATTGATAATCTAGTTTTTAAGTGAAAAAGTCACCAAAAAATCCCTATCAGTCGTTTAATAGCGGAGCTTCGCTCGCTTCGCTCCAATGAACACAGTTTGCATGTTCTTTCCTCTTGTTCGATGATTCTTACCTGTGTACTCCCATCGCTACATTGTCGAGTTTAATGTTATCTAAATCGTAAACGCTTCGAACTACTTCTACCAACCAATTTTCTGGTGCGTGAATATATTGTGTTAAAAGAGAGGATGTAGGCAGTTTCGTAAACTTAGCTATGGCTCCATTAATATGACCATCGGAGGAGAATTGTAATTGAGGTTCAAATACGAACCGATAGAAGCTGAAACATCACGTAGGCGTTTTAAATAGACGAATAATTAATCGAACATTTTCATTTATGGAATATACCTTTTCAATGGCATGTCGCTGTTCTTGTCTAAACAATTTAAAAATACTTTGATGTCGCAATTCAAGGACTGTTGTAACGTTTTCAAAATTGGGCCCAATTTTTGGGCACCGCGCGATACAGGATCTACAATGGCGATTAAGCTGAATGCCACTTCGTCGGGATTTGTTGCTGGGATTTTTATGGCACTAAAAAAAATGTAAAGACGTGTAACACGAGTTGTTCAGATATTTATACTTAGTGCATTAATTTGCACCGCTTACCTGTATTCGTCACCGTGGAAAGGAACATCGAATCTACTTCGGGTTTGGGGATGCGACACTAATAACGAGGTAATTTTCATTATCATGTCGTCTGTGATCTCACTTTTCTCTGCATCGGGAATAATTATAATAACGTTATACTTTTGAATATACTTACTGCAGCAACCTTAAAATGAATAAATTTGCATAAATTATTTTTCATACCATATTCATCGTCTTCTAATAATTGTCCTTTTATTAACTTTTTGAATAATTTATCGCCGTAAGTGCTATGGCTGAATCTTTCCAACAATGAAAAGTCCTCGCTTGTAAATTCCTCGTTTTTATCTAAAGGGCCAATTAATCGTCCGTTGCACACGATTGCCCTGGCTCCCTTTGATAATTTTAATACCGTTTTAACATAATACCGATGTTTAGACAATTCCCCGCTTTGTTTCTCCAACTGTTCTTTCACAGCCTCTTCCTGATTCATAAACGACGTATCAATGAAACAACTGTTACTCTTTTGAAATCGACAATTTTTCAAAAATATTACCTGCATATCAAATTTGCCATTAACAATATCGGTAACAATATCCTCTTTGATTATATTACGAACAAAATGCATCGCCTTTTCCACGGGAAGAACGTTTATCGCAGCTGAAACTATTTTATTGATATCCATCGTGCTATCAACATTATCTGTATCACTGCTCGGATTAATTATTACGCCAATCCTGACATCTGCATTTGACTCCTAAATTGTAACATTTTCATTTGAGTTTCTATAAAATATTTACCATCAGGTTACTACATGAATTACTTACTATGTACTCAAGAGCCTCGCGTAATAATTGTCTGCCCTCTGAATCATTTAAATCTGCAGCAATCCAGAAGGTATATAAATGATGTACATTCGTACGACGCGGTACGAACACATAACGCATTCTGTTCATGAACCACGTTGATAGATCTTGAGGGCTCCATTTGGTATAATCATCATCGTTCGGTAAAGTACCAATTAAATTCAACCATGTATGTTTCTCTGGCTTTAATATCCTTTCGTTTAAGCTACGAAGAAAATAAAAGCGTGTAGATTATTTCAATGCAATGATTATATATATTAACTTAAAAATTCGTACCGTGGCATAACGTTCGGTTGGTTCATAATATAATCAACTACATCATCCGCTTCCGATATTTCGCCTCGATATACCGCTTTCTGTAGCGAAGGTGTTTGTGACATAATAGTAGATAGAACAGCTTCCTCAAAAGAATCAGCATTCAATACATCAGAAGACAGGGGTATACCGTTTAATAGAACCTGAGGGAACTTCTTAAAACCGGAGCGTTTCACAAAATCGTTAGCTAAATGCCGTCCCACGTCGTATTCAGATTCTTCCCCGAGAATATAGTTTATATTAGCTGATGAATCCTGCGCTTTTATAGCTTTCTTTACATCCTCTACGGTAACTCCATCCGGTCTGATATAATTTCCTAGCTAAAATGCAATATTGTATATTATCAATGATAAATATTACACATAGTAATTGACAAATCTGCAACAAATAATCGACTACCGTAAAGTCTTACGTCTATTAAAAACTGTAATGCATGTTCCGACCCTTTGGTTTCCGCAAAATAATGGTACGCATTATTAGCTGCAACACTAGCATCCGTTAGACCTGTTATTGAAGTATCATAATTCGTTACGAAAACGAAACCTACTCGTAACGGTGCGGAATGTAAGTATAAGGATTGTGCTAAAGTGATCAGCGGCGTGGATTCTCTACTTAAAGGATCCACGATAAGTACCTGTAGAAGTATACAATTTTTTAAGAAATTTGCGCTTTTAAATTATACAATGTTGCATTGACGATCAATAGACATTTACGTACCAAATTGTACAAATTTCTCCTAATATTTCTAAGCATTCCAGGGAAAGTTGGTCTCAATAATTCTGTTAATGATGGTGACCATCTTGAATAAGCTGAATCTTGTTCGATATCGTTCACCCAAATAATAGCCGAATCTCTTATGTCCATTGCGAAATCTTGTTTATCCATGTTAGTGGATAAATCCAAAGCTAATAGCTTACTCATCTTTTTATTACTAAATCCTATAAGTAAAACGTTCGATGCTATGTTCATTAATGTTTAACGCGTTATTCTCAGTATAGGCGCGTTTATTTTACCGATTTTACGAAGGGATTCCATTACTCTTAATTCGCTTCTTAACGACTCCAATAAACTAAGTACGTCTACGGCTTCCAAATCGAAAAACAGCCCGTTAATAAAGAGTGCAGTGTCCGTGGGTTGTATGTTTAAACTTGTGGAAAATATTGCTTGATTGAGTTTCATTTCTTTCTTCATTTCACTGTTTACTTTTGTTCTAATTAGAGACTTTGCCTTTGAACAATTAATGATTATCATTTATTAGAACAAACTGAAATATGAAAAATTTAAGATATATTTATTAATATCGTGAAATGAATATTTACTTGCATCGGGAAATTCTGAGAAATATCTGTTAAAACGTTAATAGCCTCGTTTGTGGGAGAATTCATTATTCTCTCAGCTGCCTGATGACTTAATTCTTGAAACTGCCATACTTTCAATGCACCAATTTCGTGACTACTTTCAAGTAAATGAGTCTGTAATTTATCTAACTCTGCTTGCTTATCAGGATATAAATTTCTGAAACAATTATGCTATACTGTAGTAATGTGTCCACTCAAATTTTATGTATCATTGTGAATGCAACTATCTTACTTTAAAGTCATAAAATTAATTCCATCTATTTCTTCTACATTATCATTTGCTGTTTCCGAGTCTTTGCCGCCGTTATCTTTAATATCTGAGTCATCTGTTGCTTTGTACTCTGTAGATTTCATTTGCAACTCTACACCATATCCTGATAGACGTACATTCTTCTCTGCTCTGTTCTATATATATATATATTATAAGAATGAATGTATGTTGCACACATTTTATTCTCATTACCATTAAATACTATTGAAATACCTTTAAATAATGTCGTAAAATATAAGTAATTCCACTAGTTTCTGCAAGATTTTTTAATGTGTTGTGAAAGTGTGAAAATTGTGGTGTTCCCACTTGACCATATAATATAATAACTTTTTCAGATTGCTGAGATGTATGATAACAATGATCTACACTGTATGTATCAGGATTCTCCCAAGTTTCCTATGTAATAAATAAATTAACATATGTAACACATTTTGCATAAATATGATTTTTACAATTATCTACCTGATTGACTAATTCTTCTAATTCTTCTAAGGAACAGGTAAATATTCCACCAATGTTCACCACATTGTAGCAGTCAAAAACAGAAACATTTTTATTTTCTGCCATTTGGGTGAACATTTCAACCCGTGCTGAATAAATTCGTAAAGATAATCCTAATTTGAGTAATGCTATTTCTGAAGGAGATAAATACTTTTCAGCAAATTCAATAATGATGTTATAATTCTCCTTCTCTGTAGCTATGGAAGAACAATGTAAAATTATGTTGTTTTAGAGGATAACATAGTTGAATCAGCATAAAAATTACCATTTCTTAAATCTTGATCTGCAAAAGTATCTACAAATTTCCAAAAATAACTTGGATTTTCATCGTTTAGATACTCTGCTGCTTCAAGAATCAAGGGTGTTTCTTGCCACTTTGCATCTATTACTGTAGTCACATATTTGTTTATCCTTTTGTCTGCTTTAAGATGTATTGTACAAAAGAATAAGAAATAAAAGAGTATAACCAACTGCATCTGTAAACAACATGAAGATTGCTAATAACAATAAATAAAATTATAAAATGTGTAAAACATTACTGAAAACTTCAAAAATATGTTTCATGAAAAAATACTATTGTATTTGAATATCTTCAAATTTTCGGGAGAATAACAATTTTACTCTGATACATTTGTGATCGAATCAAACGAACACAATTTCAACTGATTTTATTATAGATTAAAATTCGTCCGAAGAATATTCTTTGAATACTGCATTATAACAATTCGAAATTATACAAACCGCGTATCACAATAACCACTAAACTATTGAATAAAGCAAGAGATGGTGGAATCAATGGAAACGGATATAATATAATGGTAACAAGATCATTACAAATTTTTCCAATTGTATTGTACGTGAAACATATTTATTTTATACAATTTACGTACTTTTAAATTTGCTATAAAACTCATGTTATTAAAGGAAACGTGGATTATGACGGTAGCCTGTGACTACAGATAAAAGAAGACTGGACATGCCATTGTTCTCGAGAGGACATGATTTTGGGGTCCCAGACACCCTCAGCCGCAGTTAGGTCGACGTGTACGGAACACAGTCGGTATCACAATCGTGCCTGTTTTACCAGAATGGAGAGTGAAGTCTTATGCAAGATTTCCCCATGTTAAAAAAAAAATATGTAAGTATGTATATACCGCAGTTCACCAGAGTCCATAACTGCGAAAAGACCAGTTTTCGTTCTTCGCGCTTCTCCAGTGCGCATCTTCGCCCTGATTGGCGATACTTCCAAACGAAGTGGAAAGCGATTAGCGGAGAGCTCGCTGCGTTCCCCCACCATCTTCCAACCTGCGCGTCGCAGTTATGGACTCTGGTGAACTGCGGTATAAGTAAGTACAGCACTGATTCAAGTAAAGGTATCTGACTGCAGCACCGTCATCAACCGTTCGACATAGAACGAAATGAAACAGCATCAGTCTTATAACGACCGCCGAGGGGTGCAGATCTACCTGCTAAACATACTTACTTGTATCTATATTTTATTTTCTACTTACGTTCATTTAATTTGCTGTATTTATCTTCTTAGCTTATTGCATAAACTCATTAAGAGGTTGAACGTGTTGATTTTATTACTCCTGTGTGCATCCTTTACATCTCTGCACCCCTTATATCTGGCATCATTTACATTCCAGCATTTCTAACATCTCTGCATTCCACAGATCTCTTTTTTTTTTTTTTTTTTTTTTACGTGGTGGAAATCTTCAGAAAGACACCTCCAACCCCCCTGGGGAGGGGCCGGAGGTAGTGTGGGATTTTTACCCACTAAAACCACCACGGTGGCCTACACTGGGGCTATAGGGAGGGTCCCGGGACCTCTGGCCAACACTGACGCCCCTATCATGGGGGAGGGTATAACCTTCGACCCTACCCCATGTACCAAACTTCGCTGGCATCGGGGGCCACGCCCGATGCCAGCACTCCTCGGGCCGCGTGCAATGGAGACCGGGGCCCCAGCCCGGCCTCCTGCGGCCCTACGGTTTCCTCACATCCCTGCTGCCTTTCTATCCCTGGATCTCTTACAACACTGCATGCCTTACATCCCTGCATTCCTCATCCTTTACATCCCTGCAGTCCTTACATCTCTGCATTCCTCATCCCTTACATCCCTGCATTCCTCATCCCTTGCATCTGTTTATCCCCAACATCCCTCAAAAACAGCGCCCCCTAGCGGGAAAAATGTGAACTAAAATTTCGACATTGCGTCAGCGCCATCTGGTTTTTGAAAAAGGAACTAAACCAAGCAGAGATTTTGGCCCTCTAGCAGCAAAGATGCGAACTAAAATCTCGACCTCGAGTCAGCGCCATCTGGTTTTTGAAAAAGGACCTAAACCAAGCAGAGATTTTGGCCCTCTAGCGGCAAAGATGCGAACTAAAATCTCGACATCGAGTCAGCGCCATCTGGTTTTTGAAAAAGGAACTAAACCAAGCAGAGATTTTGGCCCTCTAGCGGCAAAAATGTGAACTAAAATTTCGACCTCGAATCAGCGTCATCTGGTGGCAGAAAGGGGAACTATATCATGCCGGAATTTTGGCCCTCTAGCGGGAAAAATGTGAACTAAAATTTCGACCTCGGATCAGCGCCATCTAGCGGGAAAAATTAGAACTAAATTTGTACCGATTTCTTTTTCAAAAAGAGCTTACAGCGATACAAGGGATGCAAGAATACAATACTGGGATATGGGAGATACAGGGATACAATGGATACGAGGATACAGTGATTTGGGAGTAGTCCCTGCAAGGTCCATGAAAAGAATGAAAGAAATATATGATTACAAAGGGAAGCCTTGGTCCATAACGAGTAGGAATAGGATAAACAATAACTGAGAAGGGTGGTCCCCGCGAGACCCATAAAGAGAAATAAAGTAATAAATAATTAGGAAATAAGTTTGATTTTCATGTATATTATGTTTGTAATTTATTAAAGATCAAACAGTTGTTTTATATATAAATAACTGAAAAATGAAGTTAAGTAAGTACATTGAATATCTAAAATGATAGAAGAATGTAAGTCAATTAAATAAATAGCTGAGAAAAAAATTACAAGCATTAAATAAATAACTCAGAAATGAAATTGGGTAAATTAAATAATAATTCAGTCGCTTTTTTCAAATGATTTATTTACCAAAATGCATAAAGTGAATACAAGTTTGTCAAACAATTACAATAATTGGCAATAGGTAAGCCACTAGTGCCTGCCTATAAAATATGTAATAATTATCTATCTATAAGTCTACTACGTCAGGGTTTCTCGTCGCAATTTTCGCCCTATTTCTGGCAACGGTGGATATAACCTGTGTATATAAACTTAAAAAACGTATTTTCTTCTGAACAAATATTTATTTATATCAAAGAAGTAGTCATACAAAAGCAAGTTATGTCTGAACAAAGTGATCAAAACCAATTTAGCGATGCCGATGAAACTACAATACGGTATTTGTATTATATTTTTTTTGGAGAACTTATGCAATTGTGACAATGATTTTAATTTTTATGATAGATTAGAAACATGTAAAGGACAACCATTATTTCACCGTGAGCTTTCCGAAGATATAAATAAATTACATATTTCAAATAGTGAAGAAGATGAAGATGTTGATGATGATGATGAAAATTATGATGATTTAGAACATGATGTCTTTTGGGATGAAGGTCAAAACAGATCTGGACCAAAAAATATTACTAAAAACATTCAAGGCGTTAATGCGCAAAATGTTTCTAATAAAATGACTAACTATCAACCATCGGATAAATTATTCCGCCGTTACGCTAATAAAATCAATGTTGAAAAATATGAAGGTCCATCTTTGCCGGGACATGCGGCGAATCTTCTTATTGAAAATGATAAACGTGTAGAAAAAGAAAGAATTCGAACGAAGGACAAACATGATCGTGCTACTGTTGAACAAGTTTTGGATCCTCGTACAAGGATGATATTATTTAAACTCTTGAATCAAGGAATAATTGCAGAGATTAATGGATGCATCTCAACAGGAAAAGAAGCTAATGTTTATCATGCAACTTCAAAGACAGCAGTAGAGTTTGCGATAAAAATATATAAAACATCAATTTTACAATTTAAGGATAGAGACAAATACGTAACCGGAGAATTTCGTTTCCGTCACGGATATTGTCGTCATAATCCACGTAAAATGGTACGGACCTGGGCCGAGAAAGAATTTCGAAATTTGATAAGACTTCAACAAGGAGGAGTAATTGCTCCAAAACCAATTCTATTACGTAGTCATGTACTATTAATGGATTTCATAGGTACTGATGGCTGGCCATCGCCGAAGTTAAAAGATGTTGTTCTCACTTCTTCTAAACCAAGAAAACTTTATAGAGAATGTGTTGAAACAATGTGGAAATTATACAATAAATGCAAGCTTGTTCATGCTGATTTAAGTGAATATAATATGTTATATCATGATGGATCTATTGTAATAATTGATGTATCTCAGGCAGTTGAACATGATCATCCTATGGCACTTGAGTTTCTTAGAAAAGATTGTACAAATATTACTGGTAAACAAAAATTAAAATTTTTAATCAGAACATCACTGATGTATTTTATAAGGAAGTCAGAGTATTTTATCGTGAAATTGTTCAATTTTTGTTTTTAGAATTTTTTAAGAAGAATGAAGTAGGTGTGATGACTGTCAAGGGATTGTTTGATTTTATAACAGATCCAACGATAACTGAACAGAATATGGATAAATATTTAGATACAATATCAGAACAAATGGCACAACAGAATAACCAAGAGATAGACCCTAAACAACAAATTGAAGAACAAGTATTTAAACAGGCTTATATTCCTCAAAATCTTACCCAGGTAATGTTAAGAAACAATAAAATGTACATTATCGAGCGAGAAGTCTACTTTACTCGATACTGTGTATTTACCTAAAACATAACACACATGAATTAGCGTATTTATATTAATTTCCACAGGTATACATTTTAATATAAGCATGTTTAGGTCATTGATATTGAACGTGACATCAAACTTGCTAAATCTGGAAAAGAAGATTTAATATATAAAACACTCGTTGGCTTAAGAGCAGATTTATCTAAGCCAGTTTGTACTCCGGAAATTCTTACCAAACCTCATCAAAATACCGATGATACAGACTCAAATGATTCGTCTGAAGAAGTGGAAGATTCTGATGAAGATGAAAACAGTGAAGAAGAAAATGAAAACGAGTCAAAGTTCATTCATTCAGCACGACCACGAAACGAAAGCCCGGAAAGTAAAAAAGTATTGTACACGTTTTAATTTTAATACATCTGAATAAGATACCCTTTGATATAACTATTATTAATTATCTGCATTTAATTTCAGGCTCGAAAGAAGGCAGTAAAAGAACAGCAAGCTGAGAAAAGAAAGACTAAAATAAAGAAACATGTAAAAAAAAGAAAAGAAAAGATTTTAAAGAAGAAATAATAGGTACAATATTACTAAAAAGAATATCTTAAAAGAAATTTGAAATACAGGTATACAAATTCTTCATACATTTACTGATTCTTAAATTATAATAGGAAAAAAATAAAAATACTTTGAAATAAGTTGATTTTTTAATATAACGAAGATTAATTTATTCCTGAAACATATTCCTTGTGTAAGTATAGCATCAAATTCTGAGACCTCTATAGCCATCTATTATTAGACTAAGAAACCAATAACAAAAACCGCCATCTCTTGACCTGATAATAAAATTAAAGTACTAATGTTACGCCAAATATTTTGCAAATTAGATGCAGTGACTACAGATCTATCTGTAGTCACTGTTGGATGTTTTGGATAACTTTTGGATAAAAAAAATTAATGGAAGATTACTTTGGTACTATATCCTATATAATTTATAAGTATCCTATCTAATAAACTAAAACTTTCATTTTATAATACATATTGTATCGATAATACATAGATGTAAAAATTTTAATTTTCTGTATAAAATTAGAAACTGCAAATACAATGAAAGAACGAGATAAATTTCTGACAACTGGTTGCTCAAAATTGGATACATTACTGGAAGGTGGTATTACCACACGCGGGATTACACAAATTTATGGAGCTGCCAGTACAGGAAAAACTCAATTGGCCTTGCAATTATGTTTAACTGTACAACTTCCTGAAACAGAAGGTGGTTTTGCTGCTGGTACGTTAAAAATTTAACATTATATTACAACTAACATAAAATATTTTTTACTAAATACATTTAACACTTAATAGGTGCTGTGTACATATGTACTGAATCGATCTTTCCATCAAGAAGATTACAGGAATTGATACAAAAATTAGATGTTACTAAGAAGTATGGAATAAATGGTGATTTAATATTTGTGGAACATATCTCAACTATTGTAATTATAATTTGTTCTTAAATTATTTAAAAAATTATTTATTATATCGGTTTATTTCTTATTTTTATAGGATGAATTAGAGACGTGTTTATTACATAGGATTCCAATATTAATGTCTGTAAAAAAAATAGGATTAATAG